TTGCAGCACCCACCCCTACCTCCTCATCCCTACGGAATTCTTGATCAGCTCTGCATATATCCGCATCTGGCAATGGAAGAAAGGAGGGAGCAACCTCTAAGCAGCGCTTGGCCTTTTTCAAGCGCAAACGCATGTCAGTATATTGCATGGAGTTATGTGGCTTGAAAGCAGAAGCGAGAAATGACAAATCCTCCGGACTCTCGTCCCCACGCATGCCACGGGAAGCGTGGTTGTGGAAAAACTGGTTTTAGGGCCATTGTCTATGATACCAGGAGAGTCCCTCCGAGTGATAAAGTCATCACTTTGGGATGTATCTCGCTGATGGCTTTTGGAATTTGTACCCGGCCTTGGCACAAAAACACCCCCCCGCCCAAAACCTAGCTTTGCTCATTTGGTAGACCTCTAGTGTGGATGGACGAAATCCTGCACCGCCTAAGAATCCCTGGAATGATGCTTCGCCTGTAAATACCCAACAAACCATGGTTTCTGTGGTTTCAACTTGGCGCGAAATGGATTTCGTCCATCCACAGTAGTACTTGGCATTAAAAACACACCCCGCCGCCCAAAATCTGTTTTTTTGCATTTGGTAGACCCAGTAAACCGGCGGATGCAGTCCTAAACGCTTTCTTTCTGGGGCCGGCTGTTTCCCCCCGCCCCTTCAGGCCGCCGCAGCCGGGGTCGAAGCAGCAGCTGCCAGAAGCCTCGGACCGGATTTCTGCAGAAAGTCGCGCGGAGTCGAGTGGACGGTGGAGCCTGTTACAACTCGGAAGGGACGACTATAAAAACACCAGCTAAAAATCAGCTAGATACCAGCTCAACCAGCTCAACCAGCTCAGATTTCTGCAGAAAGCCAGCGAAACAAGCTCCTTGGCCGGGAGGGAACTTTCTTCCCCCCCCCCACCTCCGCACCTGGGCGCGTGAAACCTTGTTTTGGGCCTAGCTCGTCGCTCGCGCGTTGTTCAGACGTCGCCGGGTGTGATTTTTTCTGCAGCTTCCAGGCCGGGCAGCCAGAAGGCAGGGAGAGGAACGGGTGGCTCACGGTTTGGGTGGTTTTTTTAGGCCCGGTGCCCTAAAATGAGTGTAGGCTAGGTCTTCAAAATGAGTTTGTCTTATAGCTCCCCTAAAACGGGGAGATTATTTTGGTGTCCTAGGTCCCCCAGTGCCCTTTGACCCACTTTCTTTCTTTGGGGGAGGGTTCCCCTACCAAAATAGACCACGGCAAGAAGGGTACCCTTCTTCTAACCTCTCTACTGGACCTAGAAGGGAAACCAAAAGGAAACCCCAAGCTCATTTTGGGGGGCCCAGGCTTAAGAAAGAACACATCCAGATGGAGAGGGGGCGTGTGCTCGGTGCTCGGCCTGTCCTTTGGGGCCAAGTTGCGAAATTTCAAGCAGTGGGTCAATGGTTGCTGTGAGGTACTTTTGCATTTTGGACAGGTACTTCCAGGGTTGTGGGATCAAGGACAAGATTAAGGGGTTTATCCCCACTTCTGCGATACAAGGGAATCCCCCTTTCTATGAACAATTCAGTCTTGGGGAAGCCCTTTCTGTTGTATTATAGAAGTGGTCATTCCCCACGGCCCTGGGTACTTCCAACCATGCAGCACTGTCATCAAAGCTAGCATCGGTTAAATGCCTGTGGCGTTTGTTTACCCCCCCGCCCCAACTCGCATTGTGCATCGCCGAAGAGCTGTTTTAGGGTTGGGCTAAATGACAATCCTTGGCTTCTGGTGACTTAGATCCAAACATTGCCCCAGCGGGTAAGAGAGCAGAGGTACAGTCTGCCCACTGATGGTATGACGTCTCAAGTTCGCCTGAACAAGACAAACCCAAGCCAATCCGAAGCCGGCTCCAACGAATCAGACACCATCTACACCCCTGCGGCCGGAGACAAAGCCAACGCTTTCCACACATGAGTGCGTGTTCAAAGAAAGACCCCCTAAAAGATGGCGTCTTTTGGGTTTCCTTCCAAGGTAAAAGATGGCTTCCTTTGGGTTTCCCCTTAAACCAAGGTAAAAAGGCTGCCAAGTCTACAAAACACAAGCCCACACGGCTAGTCTTTTCAATGGAGCAGGACGCCACACTGTCAACGGTGTAGCCGTCCATGGTAACATCTGCCGTGAGACGATCGCATGTTCAGTTCCAGAGTGGGAATCGGACATGCCAACTGATTGCTCTCCATTGCTCCCCACTTTTTAGGTGGACAAAGATCCCAAGCCGTGTGCTCAGCGGGGGGTGGGTGGGGGGGTGAGGTGGTGTTGATAGAGAAGCTCGAGGTTGCTTGTCTTTTACTTCCAGGAATGCCCGCAGCCCCAGTTTTTTTGTCCGCGATATGCTTGCTATCTTGCGATGAACAACGGAAGAGCCTTCGGCATTTCAAGTACTTTGGCAGATGCTTTTGGTGGCCTGAAATTTTCTGCCTTGCCGCGCGTCGTTGGCAAGCTCGATGCTTCGACCCAAGAACCAGCGGCAGCTAAGCACGGCAGATTTCTACATGAGCACTGGTCAATGTCAGCATGTGTTGTTGCAACGGGGGATCCCGTGTCATCCGTTGCCATCTCCCCCAAATCAGAACTAGAAGCCCTTTCAAGACTTGTCATGTTCGCATGTGGCTATGTGTTAAAAGCGGGTGTGTCTCTAAATCAGACATTCGAAAACCATCCCCATATGGTTTATCAACCTTGCTTGACAGAATTTGAGTACTTGGGCAGAACTGCCTGTAACGTCTTGTCTTCAAGAGCTCGGACACGAGCATGTGCATGTGAACTGGAGGGAACTGCCGACTTGACCAGGTGACCAAGTTGTTTTGCTGGAACCCAATCTGCTGGCTGCTGCGAGTGCGCGGGCGCGCTTTAACACTCAAGACCAATCGGTAGATGGCTGCAAGCAGCGCAAAAGTTCAGCTGTTGGGGAAACCACCGTCGCTCGAGGCTGGAAAAGAAGCGGAAGAAGGCAGGAGCTGCTGGATTCTATTCTTAGGCTTCTTGGGACAACTGGGGATAGCAGTCTTCGTTTTTTAGCTTTTCTCCTGCAGGCCTCGGTTCGGGCCACGCTTTTTTGCTCTTGCTTTGGACCTGCCTCTACTAGGATCATCGTGTTTTGGAGCTTGGGGTCGTTCCCCAATGAGGGCGAATCGCGGAGCACTTGGTGGTTCTCTCCCCGATTGATTCGTTCAGGAACATCTTGGTGTCTTTTCATTCTTTTAAGGTGGGTTAAAACGGAATGTCAGGCCATTATGGGCTGGATTTTTGATACAGACTTGCTTTGCTAGGCATTCCGGCATTGCGGCGTGTCATGACAAGGGTGTTGTGTTGGTGTCACTATAAATTGACCTCTCTTCAGGCAGTGTCGAGAGCCGTGCCATGGTTCACAGCAGGTCGAATGGCAAATCGGCTTCTGGGATGGTCGACATGTGGGAGTTGATGATCAATATTCCTGGCCCCCAAAAGATCATGGGCCACTTTTCTCATTGAGTGGGACACATCATCTTTCTAGTGGTTCTCCCCTATGCTCATCCCAAGTAAAGGACCTTTTGATCAACTGTCATCCACCTGGTAATGCGGATCCTCAATACGCAGTATAACGATTCCTGTTGACAGAACCATGACCATGGGCCATGTAGGAAGTTTTGACTATGGCAGACATGGGAACCATGTCCTTTAGTTTCCCACCCAATTGTCATCCCATGTATCATGAACCTTTTGGTCAACGCCCATGTCTAGTTCTATTGCCCTGAACGTCTGAATGGCCAGGGCTGCTGTTGCTGAGCAAGGCCGCCTGGAGTCCAGGCCGGGCGATCGGTGGCGCCTTGCTTGGCTTTTTTTTTTGGGGGGGGGAGAAAGACTTGGACTAACTTGGAAAAGTTGGATTGGAGTTGTCCCTTGAAGGGGCGTTTTTTCAACTGCAAGTTTTTGGTTGTTACTGCTGTCCTTTTTTTTTCTTCTTCTTCTCCCGGTGTTTTTCCCCCCTTTTTTGCAGTGCGCTTGCGAGGCCCAGTCTCACCAGAGCCCTTCTCGCCGCCTCGCGCGGAGAAAGAGCCATGCTGCGGGGTTCGGATCTGGGGTTGATTCCCCCCTCAGTGGCTGGTGTGGTTTGGTTGAGGGTGGCTTCCCGTTTACCCTCACAAACTAGGGGTTCACATTTACAAACCTCTAGGGGTTGATTCCCCTTTCCATTCTTTTCAACCATCGTTCTTCTCGAAAGCCGGATCTGTTTTTTCAGGGTTTTGGGCGGTTTTCTAGAAGATTCGGATCCCTGGAAAGAATGGAAATGGAAGGTACCCCCAGAACAGCATCTTGGCGTCAGCTTTCAAGCGCAAAACACCACCCCCGCCGAGCAACCAAGTCGCAAACAGAGGCTGCATCCAGAGCAGTGAGCGAGAGTAAACGTGATCTCTTCGCAGCCCTGACTACAGGGGAATGATCATCATAGGTGTCCTTTTGGTTGATTTGGTTAAAAATGGAGGGCGATTCCTGGTTTACCTGGTGGTTCAATCATCAACAACCTAGGGCCATCCATTTTCCCAAACAGATGATCATGCTCTTTTTGTGCAGAGGACCAGTTTGACCATGAATCTTTCGACCATCTCCCCAAGCAGCTGCTACCGGCGAGAGAAACTTTCTTCGCCAGACCCTTGACCCAGATGTTCTGCGTACACATCACTGCCCTGTTCTTGGGAATTCAAACGTTTTGGCCATCGGCCCTGGAGGAAATTGAAGCGCCCAACGCTTCCATGGGAGTTTCTGTGTTTCTCACACGGAAGCCATACATCGTTCTCAAGTTGACATGATTGCGTTCCCCCATTTGCTCAAGGCGCCACCCAACAAAGCATGTCGACCGTGACCATTTCATTTGGGTATGGGTCAAAGTTAAACCACCAGGGGACCGCAGGTTTTAGTCCATGTTTCCATTTACCAGGGTTCCATTTTGGGTACCTTTCTTGACCCGCAGCCATTTCCCTCTGAAACCAGGCATGATCCTTGAGCTTGGATTCCGGCGCAGGAAGCTGCAGTACGGAGGTCGTCTCATCTACAGCCAAAGCGCGGCCTGTGCCTCAAGCGAGCTCGCTGACCCGTGGGCCGTGGGCCAACACGACGGAGCGCTTTGCACTGGGTCTCCTTAAAAGATACATTTGGCCCATTTGAAACATGGCTTCTTCCACCAAAATAAAGGGGAACCGCCATTTACAGGGCAATGTTCCGGTGTATAATGTAAGGATCCCTGCTTGGGGTCTCTGAAGGATGGAAGACTTTGTCCACACAGCTGCATGGGAGTTTTGAGGCTTGATGGATGCAGACTACAGGCGGGTGGGGGCGGCTGGTTCACAATCTCCAAGCAGGGCGAAGGCGCCTTTGCTGCCAGATGGATGAAGTCAGCAACGCAACAGAAACCTTTGGCGAGGGAGGCTTGCAGATGCCCAGTAAGCGCATTAAGGATGTTTGCCAGTACCCGGAAAAACATTCACACCCTCTAAGCAGAGCACGTCAAGCACGACCATTAGTGAATCAGCTAGCTACTGACCTTTTGGAATAGCAGGGCCGTAAAATGTTCCTCGGCCCACGCAGGCAGAAGCTTGCAGCATTATGCAGCAGCTGTGGCCGAGCGCGTGGCATTTCGCAAGTCGTTGCCAAAGAAAAAGGGACTGCCAGCGTGTGCCGTCATTATATATCGGTGTGTTGGTTTTCGAGGTACCCTCTTCACCTTGTTTTACAGGGAAGTTAAAAGGAAATCCACAATTTTGGGGGTCCCTCCGATTTTAACGACACCCATATTTTCGGACCCTGAATGTCGCTGGAGCCAAGAGGACGTGCAGATCCGCCGGCAATCGTCCGAATGGCCAGATGGCATGGTTGTTGCAGACCTTACGGTTGAGAGCTCTGGGAGATGGCGGCGGGTCATGAGGTGAGTGCTCCTTTCTGCGCTTTTTGCATTGTTCCGCGCCACAAACACAGCACTAGTTGCACATATATATGTATATATATATATACATACACCATATACCATATATATATATATATATATATTAATACATATGTACATATATATATATATATATATATATATATATATATATATATATATATCTGTGCATGCATATCTTAGACACCTATGATTGGGGAACGAAGAGGCAACCCAAAGCATATCTCAATTTCAATGAGCACAGGCCTTCAGGGCATAGATCGGCGGGCGTTCGGTTCGGCCTTTGGAGGGCAAAGATCCCCCCCGCCATGCCGTCGCCAAAGTTCGTGCAGGCGGTGGAGGCGTCGACGGGTCCTGGGTCAAAATCCAAATTGTACCCCCAGTGAACATCCCAATCCAACCACTAAAATAGACAAAAATGGGTGGTGAATTCACCTACCCCAAAATGGAACCATTGGCTTTGACCCACAGCCACACCAGGTACTTCTGCATTTTGTGCACATAAAGGAAGTCAGCGCTTCTGCCAGGTTGGCTTTCTGCAGTGATTTGGAGTGATGGTTTCAGAAGCTTACTCCTGATTCTTGTAGAGGCTGTAGCCAGGTTGCCCTTCTGTGTGGTTACTTGGAGTGATGGCTTCGGGGGGTTTTCCCCCTGATTCTCGTGGGGGTAGGCGGCAAACCGACCAAACCCCGCTGCGAGGCTGTGAGGCGGGCACCGCGGCGGATGGCCTCCGCTGAGGCGCGCTGGACGGGAGGTGGAGACGGGAGGCGTTCTGAGCCCATAGTTGAGCCGTGCATTTGCTGGAAGGAAACCTTTAAGGGGACGAGCAATCTTTAACTCTCACTGCCATAGGTGTCCTTTTTGGTTGTTTTGGTAGAAAAATAGACGGCGATCCCTGGTTTCCCTGGTGGTTCAATCAACTACCAGGGCCATCTATTTCCCCTAAAAGGACGCCTATGGTCATGACTGGTACATCCGTTTTTTCCCCAGCTGAAAGCGTCCTTGCCCAGCCCCGGATTGGTTGGGGCGGAGACGGGGCGGATCCGGAGAGGTGCTTAGGTGTGATTCGGGCTGGGCCATATTCGCCCCAACTGTGCTCCATAGTTCTCATCCATCCGCGGAGAGGGTGTTGGTGAAGCCAGGAAACGAAGGCAACAACTCCATTCTAGGACAATTCAAGCGCTCGGCCAGGCTTTGGCAGAGCCTGGTCAATCTGTTGGCTAAGGTCTCATTAAGTCTGATGAACAGCTCAAGGGATCTCAAAGGAGACCATGGTGACCCTCGCATTTGAGCGCTTGGCCGGTGCAGTGAGCGGCACTCGAATGGGAGATTCGGAAGTGGTACGCAGAACGAGACGAGTTTTATAGAAAGTTGGTGGTTGAGTATCCATGGCATGGTGTCTGCTGAGGAAGTCTAGGAATCTTGCTGGGATGTTGCAGATGCGTCCTTCTAGGCCAGGGTTTTTCAACAGCGTTGCGAAATGGTTCTGGTGGACGTGGCACTGGGAATCGGGAAAGCACAACCACATTGACCCATGCGAGAATCAACCAGGTTCCCCGAAGCCAAGGGCGCAATATCGGCGCACACGCACACAGAGAACCTTGTGCCATGTGCCTTTTCATCAGCCGAAGAATTTCAGGTTCCCTGGGTGTTTTCAGGTATCCTTACGGTCGCACCCCGTCTAAACCGCACAAGAGTCTTTTGGAGGAGTCAGTTTTGCAGAACCAAACAGGTGCTGTCTATGCGGGTGGTTTTCTTTGCAGGGGTATTCTTAAGCTTGTTTGGCTTGGTTTTGAAAGGACATTCACGGGAGAATACGCCATTTTGGGCGGTCCCCGTTTTGAGAGACACGCGCAAACTCGGGTCCCGCGTTGTGCTTTTTTGCGCCCCCGAGAAACGCGAAATCGCTCATTTCGAGAGGACGTGCAGGCAGAGGACCGGATCGGGATTGGCAGGTTTCGTGAACCGCTCGTCTTTGGAGTTCCCCTGCCACCCACAAGCGTGGCATAGGCGTCCTTTTTAGGCTAGTTTGACATAAATGGCACTGGTTTAGATGGGTTTTGTTCCATTTCCCAGGGCATCTATTTTTCGCAAAGGCCACCTGTGAAGCGTGGAACCTGACGTTCGGGTCCCTGTAAAAGGAAAATGGTCCAAACCAAGGACCGATTCCCCCGAAGCCGTCGAACGGTTCTATGTGACAAAGGAAGGGGAGGGTAATTACCCCTGTCCAAAGTGCGGTGGAGGGAAACCAAAAGTCAACGCCGAAAAAAAAAAAGGCGCCGGTCCGGGCGTCCGAGTTCGGCAAAGCGGAAAAAAAGTCTCGCCGCTAGCGGCGCCTTAGGAGCTCGATGGAGCGAACTCCAGCCCGGCTCCCAGCCGCGTGTTTTTGTTGCCTTCCTTAAGGTTGAGCTCAATCCCCAGGATTTCCGCTAAGGACTGGTGATTTCCATGGAACCAATGGAACCAATGGATCCACTTTTGGAGCTTCCCTTTGAAGGGAAATTTAGTTCAAGACCTCTAGACGGTTTGTTGTTTGTCGGTTTCTGTGCGGATGCTTTCTGCAAATCTGGGAAACCAATTTGATGCCACCCCGCACTTGCGCTATGCTTCAATGACCCGTCTCCGCGCGTGAACATACCAACCGTCGCAGTCCGGCTTGCGGCTTGCGGCGATGAACATCGCCTTGTTGGCTGACTCGAAGAGGCAACTCCCTTTGTGCGTGAATGGGAGGCGCAATTTTAACTGCGGGAAGAAACACTCACCCCTCCTCACGTGTCAAAACACCGCATTTGTTTTACTTTGTTTTGGTGACGAACTTGTGCTTTAGTGGTTTGGTTGGTGGACAGCTTAAGCGAAGCATTGTTACTTTACTCAGTGGATGGGACGGGAAGTTTCAGAGAGACACGCTACGCTTGATTTATTTTGTGGGCGGGCTGGGCAGCTTGAGAGACAGATATATTTACTTAGCGGCTTGGCTAGACAACCAACCAACGAACTGTTGTTGAACGCAAGGCTTTAGAGCCAGAATGTTTGGCTCTTTTTTTTAATATAATGCTGGGCAACACGTGTTATCAATGTTTGATTACCATTTACATCCACAGGCTGGAGAAGTGTATTGGACATCACTGTTGCAAACTAGGGTCTTGCTTCTTAATAATTCTGATGAGTTGGCATTTTTCTTGCCACTGGCTTTTCCTGCGACACATGTCCAGTGATCTTGTGACACGTCTTGTTAACTTGTGTCGCATGAAACTGAAGATACGTGTGACGTTTGACGGGTGGTTTTGTTACATCCTTTTGTATCTTGCACACTCCCATTCCCCATTCTGCGTTTATAAAGCACGGAAACCAATCGAACAACGATTGACATTTCGATTGATTGGAATGTAGACAATAGAACAACACTTGTTTCGGAAAGTTAACTCCACAAACAATTGAACAACGATTGAACATCTGACTTCTTTTGAACAACACAAATCTATAGTCGATTTGCAAAAATCAATCAACAATCAAGATTGACTTGTTAAATCATGGTTCCTTGCACCACCGAGCTGAGAACACCTTGGGGTGCAAAACATTGTTGATCTCATGAATGTTCCGCACCCCTTCCTCTTCCTTTTTGGGTGATGTATTTTTTCTTCTGGCCGCAAATATTGGCATGATGCCAGAGACGCTGATTGAAGCATGATCACAAGCGCCACGCGGCGCCGTGAGCCTTGGCCTCGCCCAGGCTTCGAGTCCGGCGTCGTGGATGTGGGGGCAACCTTCGGGACCCTGAGCGCGGAGGCACGCGGATCGATTTGGTACCCATTTTGGGGGCTTAGAAGGGAAAGCAAGAAGAAAGCCACCATTTTGGGGTTCACTTACTTTGCACACCCATTTGGCTGTGGCTCAAAAAGCCGATACCAAAAAACCCTGGTAAGTGGACACATGGACCAAAACCTGCGGTTTGCCCCTCCTGTTTAGTTTTGAGCCATACCCATTTGGAGAACTTGACAGAGTTGGGGATTTGCACGAAATGGGCGTTGGCACCGCACTCGCGCTGGAATCTGGGCAGTTGGGTCAAAGGCACATCCTCCACTGCTTGAGCTGTAGCCTTAGGCACAGTGTGGCTTTTTCATTGAGTCTAAGCCATACGGTCGTGTCTTTGAGGGGGACCCCGAAAATGGCTGGTTCACTGGCGGTTTCTCTTTACCAACCAAAAAGGGTACCCTCAAAATAGACACACTCATATATCTTTGTATGAAGTGCATCACAACAGTTTTGGACCTCCGAGGTCAAAAGGCAAGTTGTCGCCCAGTTGGGGTTGAGCGGCTCCGTGCAAGAGGCCTTCGAGATCAGTGATGCGCTCACTCACGAGGCGTGCTGAATGGGGGTGTGGCAAAGGTTCCTTCGCAGCCGTGGCTACACGGAATTTGTCCGGTGGTCATTGCCCCTGTCCAGGGTGGTTTTTGAGGCAGTGACATGGTCCTGTCAGTTTCAAGTTTTGTTTGACAAGGGTTTTGAGGGGATAGGCGTGCAGAAACAAGGAAAGAAGGTTTTCAGTCCTCTGGATGGTTCGAGCTGTGATCTCCGTTCTTCCCATGTTCCCAGGAGCCTTCGAAATCCTACTATTTGGTGGTTCATTTTCGGCCCCGTTTCATCCATAGGTTTTGGATTGTCCCTGGACCCGTTTCGTCCATACTGTGGATGGACAAAATCCTGCACCACTTTGAAATCATGGTTGCAACCATGGTTGGTTGGCATTTACACGGGAATCGACGCAGATTCCAGGGTTTCTGAACGGTGGTGCAAGTTCTGGATTTCGCAACCATCTGCAGGTTTTGGGATTTATTCACCCTACTTTTTTTTCTTCTTTTTTTTTTTTTTTATCGGAGCCCGTTGCATCCATAGATGCGTTTTCGTTTTGGGATGTTTTCACTCGCCGACCCTCGCCGCTTCCGCCGGTTTGCGGGGCGAGACGTCCACGAGGCGATCTCGGAGATCCGGAACTTCAACTTCTGCCGCTCCGCGCGGAAGTCGATCCTCTTGAGCCGGGGACCCGACTGAGCTACTCCGAGGCCGACTCGGAGCCATGGGGCAGGTGGCATACTGTGGATGGTGGCGAAATCCAGAACTCGCAGCACCTAAGAAAACCCTGGCTTCTGATGATTCTCCTGTAAATACCAACAAACAGTGGTTGCAACCATGATTTCAAGGGGTGCGAAATGGATGTCGTCCATCAGTAAGCCCAAATTCTCAATGATCTTCACTTGGTTGAGTGATAGGTTCATGGCTCTCTGACTCCTGGAGTTGCCTTTGCTGACTGGTCAGAACTGGGACGCCTGGACGTGATGTTCAATCACAGGGTCTTTGAGGTGGCTGCTGGCGCCCACAATCGTGGTTCCCGATGGTTTGCCTTTCACCCAACATGAAAAGGGCACCAACTCCAGCAAAGGCACACCCATTTCCCCCCACCCCCCAACCCCCCAATATTCCCCCCCCCCCCCCGCCCATGTTGCCTGTTTACAGATGGGGCGTTGTGACCATTCGCGGCATCTTGCATAGGCCTGGGCGTCTCACCTGGAGCTTCCCCCTCGCCGGAGATGACGCAAGGTTCTCAGACGCGGGTCTGGAGAGATCTCTTCGTCTACATGGGTGTGGCTCAAAATTAAACGATCGGAGGGGCAAACCGCAGGTTTTGGTCCATGTTTCCACTTGCCAGGGTTCCATTTTGGTACTGGCTTTTTGAGCCACAGCCACATGTCTGCGCCGCTTCGCTTTGTGCTGCTGCCTCCTCTTTTTTTTTTGCGGATCTGGGCGTGGGTTGCATTGCACGTCTGGTTGGCCCTGAGTTCTGAGGCAGGACATCTTGCGGCCGTACTCGAAAGCTTCCGATAGCGCTTCTTGGCGGAAGGGGAGTGCACGCTGTTTGCCGATCAGATTGATTTGTCAGCTTTGCCTGCTCCAAGTTGATGGAAGCTGTTTTACCACAACAATCCTCCAGCCATGCTAGGCAACAGTGCTCCAGCGGCCAAGTGCTGCCAGACCTCTTCGATTCAGAAGGCTATTTTGGCTGAAGGCAAACGTGTAAAAATGCTTTTGCCTTTCTTTCAACTTTTCAATCATGGCTGTCAAGCGCCTGCTTGCATGCGCTGTCGCGTTGGCGAGCGCGGACCAGTCCTTGTCGGGGGGTGGTATTTTCATGAAGATTTTGGGTCACAGTGGCAAGATCAACTACGCCACCAGCGAGCCCACAAACTCCGCAGACGACATGGTGCAGATTGTCATGGCCAACATGCAGGAGCTCGATGCAGCAGGCAACCTGCAGGGCTCACTCAGGCGACGCGAAGCACTCCTTCAACAGCTGCGACGCAGGATTTCGCTTCCAGTTCGCCAGAGTCCACAGTCATCGAGGGTGTCAAGAACACCACCGGCATGCAGCCCTTTGACTACGATATGACAAAGAGTTCGTTCACCAGCTACTTAGGAGGTGGAGACTCTGAGGCAGATGCCAAGCTCGTGGTGGAAGCCATCATCTTCAAACGGATACCATTTTGCAGATTAATACCATTCCTTCCGACGACCAACAAGGTCATCGCTGATGGCAGCTCCGAAGGTGGCTGGTGATGTGCAGGACCTTGGCGGTGTGTTCCTTTCCGTTTTGATCACTTACAGCATCGTCAATGGAGAGACATCCACCGAGTATGCCAGTTGCGCCCAGACTTTGGATCCGCCGGGCTACCAGGGTGGAAGCCGCACGCTGGCGCTGGAGTCCACAAGGCCATCGGTCCTGACACCCTCGTCTACCCGATGCTCAGCTACGACAGCTTTTCGGCCAGTGACACTACTGTGACCATGACCACAGCGCAGGTAGCGGCGGGAGCACCAAGCCCACCACTGAAGCTGGCAGCAAAGCCAGCAACGCTGGCGGCACGGCCGCGACTACGACACCGGGAGATGAATCGAGCAGTTCGAGCACTGAGCCTGGCCTTGGCAGCTGCCGTGTTTGTACGAGTTCTGAATGAGGATGCGAGGGCGGAACTGGGCCACGAAAGCCAGGTACCTCCTCAAACTGCGGCTCACCAGCAGGCTATGCCGGCTGCTGGTGATATGAGTTTTAATTTTTCGAGTTTTGGTTATTGAAGTGTTAGGGAGTCTTTGGACGTTTGGGTCTCGATTCTCGATCCAAAGGATCTTCAGGCCTAGACTATGAGGCCAAGTACCGAGCTCAGTTGGCCAAGCGAAAACAACGCATCGGCTCCGTGGCGCTACGTTTGTGACATCCCGTCGGACCGCCTCGCGTCTGAGGCTTGCGTGAATGCGTACATGGCCACGCTGTTGGGCCTGGGACTTACGGCAGCGGTTTCGCCGGCGCTCAGCGATCAGCGCGCTTCGATCGATCGATCCGCGAGCGCGATAATTACCAGGCCAAGTGGGCACAGACATATCCATACAAAACGTGTGTGACATGGGACCCACCTTTGCCTCAGGGCATTCAGGAAGCTGTTGCCTCTTTGCTCTAGTGGGATGGTCGGTTTTGCTTTTGGTTCGCCTGAGAGCCATCCAATTAAAGTCTCTGTCGTTGGGCTCCAGGGGGCGATGTTGGCAGGGTCAAGTTCTTAGCTCCGCGCGGCTAGCTCGGGTAGCTCGTCAAAAGAAAGCGCTGGAGTTCGAATCCAAGACGGAGACTTCAGTCCGTGGCAGGGTGAAACCACACGCGCTCGCCAGCGATGCCGAGCATTTGAGGGAGGTGTTAGCCACCTTCACGGCAGGCGCGTTGGAGGAGCCACACTTTCTTCCACACGTGTGATTGTCAAGGCTCCGGGAGATCGAACGAGTTGCATGGTTTACACAGATGTGCCTGACAACGGGCTCATTGCGTCTGCTGCTCAAAGGTCCCCAATCCAGGTGGATCAACTTCTGCGCAGAAGGGACTACCCCCCTTCCCCCCCTCCCCACCCGCACCCGCACCCCTTGCACCCGGGCTTTCCATCGATTGACGTCAGCCAAGCCGACGGCTCGGACTCGGCTCGGGCCCAGGCGCCGGCACCTTCAGGACAGGGCACTCGGGTCAGCGGCTACGGCTCGACTGAAGCATGGGACGCAAACGGGCTGAAACACTTGAGCTGTAGATAACATCCGGAGACTGTCCCATAATATCTCTACATATATATATATATATATCTATTATTGTAACTACATTATATGTGTGGCCCTTCTTTCGATTTCCCTCTGGACCCCAAGCGTGGTACTCTCGACATGCCCTCGGATCCGGCGGGGCCCAAAGGCTTTGGCCAGGCTGTCGAGGGCCATTTCCAGGTGCGGGTGGCTGATTGGGCCCGGTCCCTCAGCGTGGACGCTCTGTTTTACTTCTGTTTGCCTTTTTTTTTGAGGTTGGACTCAGCCCAAATGGCCGGTTTCCGTTTTTTTTTTTTTTAAAGACCCAAGAAGTGTGGGGTTTCCCAAAAGAAGACAGAGCCATAGCGCGTAAGGCTGTATCGCTTGGCAGGTCTCTCGCGGCCATCCGTAGATCCCTTCGAGCTCAGGTTTGGCGCCCTTGTGGTCTTCTCGCTGATGCACGTCTTCATCTGCCTGAGGCTGGTGGAGGCCGGGCATGGCTGAGCAAGGCCGAGCCATGGGGTCTGTCACTAGACATATTTTGTGTCTTTTTTCCAGACCTAAGCAAATGGAGGATTAGGTTCTCCTTACCAAGGAACAAGGAACAAGAGACACAGCCGCGTGAGCAGACGCGCATGGCAAAGATGGGGGGGGCCGCCTGAGGTACCCCGCAACGATCGCCCCGGCGAAACCCGTGACGGCCGTCGATGTCCTTTTCCGTTAGGACACACTTCGGTGCCCTTTTGACACCCCCCACAAAAGCCGCTGAAATCCTCCCCAAGAAAGGGATGGATGCATCGTCCCTCTTCAAACTTTCAGCCGAGTCAAACTCACATCTCTCCGCGCCTCGCTGCCTCACGCCACGGATCTGAGGCGGCAAGGATGGAAGGCACCTCACATGGCTGTGGCTCAAAAAATCGGCACCCAAAATGGCTTGCCCTGGTAAGAGGAACCAAGGACTAAAACGAGCCTTTGTCCCATTCCTGGCGGTTTCATTTGGACCCATACCCACCTCACACGTCTCTCTCCGGTTTTCCTCCAAGCCGAGAGCCGAACGCTTTCGCTTGCGGGAGGTGCCGCAGCTGATCCAGCGCGACGTGCCCAACGCCACCTTCCTGGCCAAGGCCGGGCTGCGGCCGCCTGTGGGATGGGGCGAAATCCGTTTGAGTCACAATCAAAACCCGGGTAAGTGAAGGTTAGTAGGGGAAAGACCCAACGGGGATCCTTTGAAGTGATTTTGGGTCCTCCATGTGGCTGTGGGATCCCATTTTGGTTGGTAGGTGGATTCACCACCCATTTTAGAACCTATTTGTTTAGTGGTTGGATTGGGATGTTCACTGGGGGTACGATTTGGATTTTGACCCATGGCCATTTTGCACTGCCAACAGAAACCTTGGAATGATTCGATTTCCCCGTGTAAATACCCACAGATGCTATGGTTTCAACCAGGGTTTCTCAGGATTTCGTCCATCCAGAGTACCAAAAGAGAAGAAAGCCGGGCCAGCGGCAAGTTCCGATGTTGATTCCCTGGACCAGGCTTTCGACTGGCAAGCCCACAGGCTTTATTGTTCTGGATGTGCAGTTTGAGGCCAGGGTGGATATCACCACCCCTGGCCCAGGTTTAAGGGACGACTTGAATGGGAGTGTGTATTCGGCTTCAGACCCCAGGCTTCCTATATGCGACAGTCACAGGTTCTCGGGGGCTATCGAGATCAGTTCAGTTCGAGTTTCAAAGAATGCTCCAGGGTTCTTTCTTTGCTAAGTCCATAGTTCTAGGGGTACCTTCCCCATTCTTTCCAGGGATCCTTCTTTTCGGGAAACCCTCAAAAACCCAGGGGAAACAGCCGGTTTCCGAAAAGAACGATGGTTGAAAAGAATGAAAAAGGAATCAACTCCTAGAAGAGTGGCAGCATCGCTGCCACAGCCTTGTGCCCTTCAAGATCTTCCCAACTGAAGACTTTGGCAAAGCGGACGGAAAGCACCTGCTCTCGCCCCCTTGAGAAGGCGCTCTCGCCAGGACGTGCCTTAGATTCCCACATGGTGACACGGTGGCTATGATCCATAGATTCCGGTTTTGCCGGGCAAGAGGCTTGGCTCACAGCTCTCTCGTTTTCGGCGGCTCGAAGCAAAGAAAAGCTGAAAACGTCAAACCAAGATGCGTGACATGCAACAATTAAACCAAATGAACACATGGGTGTTTCTCAAATCGGAAACCCCTCCAGGTAGGTGGTTTCTTTTTAGCTTCCTCTGGACCACCAGATTCCCATTTTGAGATACCCCCACATGAGTTCGCAAGAAGAAGCTGACATAAGGGAACCCCCGCACAAAAACAAAAAGGGTGGTTTTCCGTTTGCTTTTCCTTTAAAGCCGCCCAATAACGGGGCTCAAGAAAAAAGGGCAGAGCAACTCTGGCCAATCTCCCAGGTCTTCCTGCACCGCAGGGCCTACTCCATGATGGCGATTCTGTCAGCGCCGCTCACAGGTTGAGCGTTCCTGCCATCGGCGTTTGGTCCACTCCAGGTTTATGGCAGAGACGGTTTTTGGGGCAGTTTGCCTTGCACGGACCTTGTTGACTTGCCTGGTTTGGGTTGGTTTGGCTTTGGCTTTTGTTTGGTTTGGCTTTTGTTTGCTTGTTTTTGTTTTTGTTTTGTTTGTTTGTTTGTTTGTTTGTTTGTTTGTTTGTTTGTTCGCTGCTTGGTTGGTTGTTGGTTGGTTGGCTGGCTGGTTGGTTGCTTGCTTGCTTGCTTGCTTCGTAGGTTGGTATGATTTAGGGCAGTGCCCTTCAAATGATTGTGTATCAAAACGAAAGCATGGGCAGCAATTGTAGTGTGTTGCATGGTGTCCCTCTTAATAAAGGATACCCAGTCGTTAGAGACAGTGTCTTCAGCTGCTCAGTGGCTATCCTACGCCAAAATCAAGGTTTTGCAGATAGAACTCAAGGGCAGGGTTTTCGAGCCATTTCCCCTTCTGGAACTTCCAAAGGTGGCAGTTGTAGCGGAAACCACGAGTGAATTGCAACTTTCGAAGGGGTAATCCAGTGACCTGAAGGGGATTTTTTCGGAGTATCTCACACTCTTTTCTTCAACATTTTATGCGAGCGCCTTTTTGCTGAGAGCTCGCCGGTTTCTCTTTGGATTTGACTTCGCTTCCCCTTTGAGGTGCTAAGCTGGTTCGGCGCCTGCGCCATCCAGCTGCAGAACGTGTTCACCAACGCCGGGATGCCACGAAAGGGGCGGGCAAGCCCTTTCAAAGACTGAAGGGGATAGCCTCACAAAAGGCAGATGTTAGCTTCCCTTTGGTTTTGGATTGGTCTTGGTGTTGGTCTTGGATTTGAACCCTTTATTTCTTGTGGGACAATGGGAAGCCAACATCCCACGCACCGGGACCCAAAGCACCATTCTTAGAGAGAAGCTGACAACACCAACGAAGGCCTGGGGAAGGCTGGGCTAGGCCAAAACCCCTTCCCCCACATTGGTTCGACCTCAGGACAACTTTTGGGCATGGGAGGTTGTTGGCCAGGGCCTGCAACTATGGTTCATGCAGGACCTCTCATACAAAGGTTAACCTTCGGTAGGGCCGAAGCCAGGATCCCTGCTGAGAAGATTGATCCTTTGCGAACCCAGGTTGAGCGAACATCAAACATGAAACACGACAACATCAAGCATGAAACACCACTTCCAGAATCGATATTTTCAGGAATGCAAATCGACCGACCTCCCAGCCCCCGCCACTTTCCAATGAAAGTCATACGATCAAAGGTCCTCTCGGTGATCGCCGCTGACATCGCGGGGCAGGCGTCGAGGCCCAGTCCAAGGGGAGGTGAGCCACTTGCTCAAAACCGATTCGGGTAGATGAAGGCTAGTAATTAAGGGACCATCCTAAAATAGCTGCGGAGATGCGCTTAATTCTTGAAGCACGGTTCTGGGATTACGACCATTTTCATACCGGGTTTTGAGCAAGTGACTCAAGTGTGGTCGAGTGTGGGTTTCCACGGCTCGGATGGGCTTGGGCTCCAAGTTGCACAGGGTGCCATGCTGGAGGCTTGCCTTCCTCATTGCTTGCCCCAAAGTTCGACCAAAGTTCGACCAAAGTTGGACACAAAGGGAAGTGTGGTTGAACCAAAGCAGGTGGTCAATTTGTTGTGAATCAGCTTATCAAGTTGCTTCAGTTTCGAAGCACCCAAGGGCACAGCAGCCTCACGGGCCAGGCACGAGACGCCTTTCGGCTGGAAGCTCTTCGGCACTTTCGTGCTGGCCCTGGTCATAGCGCCGGCCCTGGATCCAGAGATTTGGATCTTTACCGCGATGCTTGGCCCGTGGTGGGCTTCCTGCGCCTTTTTTTTCTCAAATCTTTTCGGCCATTGTTCTTCTGCAACACCCGGCCCCTGCATTTTTGGGTGTGCTTCTTTTGAGGGCAACCGGGTTTTGGTGGCTTTTTCCAAGGACAAACCAAAGGAATGCAACAGACGCGTCCCTTTGCCGGTTTTCTTTTGAACGGCAGATCCTTGGAAAGCACAGAAGTTTTCCTCTAGATTGGTTCGCCCTCAGTCTTAACGAGTTTTGGTGACATGGCATCCGCGTGCTGTCGCCAGCTGGTTGGACGCTTTTGACTTGAGACCCTTTGCTTGCTCCACTTTGCATTCTCGAAACTGACAATTCCGTCCGAGCCACAATATACTCCTCGCTTTTCCAAACCCCGCCAACCAGAAACACATGTTCTTTAGTTATGGCTTTATAAACTCTGAACCATCTCTGACCAACTCTGAACCTTCGAACTCTGAACCCGAAGTCTGACCGTTTCGACTCTGACCAAGCGCGGTGGAGAATTTCTGTTCGCAGGTGCCCCTCTCGCTGAAGACCAGCGCCAAGGACCTGCAAACTTCAGGGCCCACTTTCAGCGATACGAACAATCCAAATATTCAAAGTGGTGGGAATGACCTGGTAGAGTAGGGACCCTCTTAACATGGGACATGCCTCCCACATCTGCCAGAAATTCGTGAACCCTGGGTTGCCAAGGATGCTCATACATCCTTTGGAATATGCAGGCGACAAAGGCGCTTGCGACAATCTCCATATGGTGTGTGGAAAAAAGGGACCCCCAAATGTATTTTTCCCCCTTTTTGGTTCCCTTCAAGCCAACCCCCAAAAGCGTGCCAGCTCCAAACAGCAACTCCCAAATCAGTTTTTTTTTTATAGCTGCATACTGTGAACTTGAGTGGTTGCACGCCATTTAAAAGGACATTGGGATACCAGATGGCTTGGAAGGGATAGAAAACCTGACGCCAATCATAGAAGCCGTCCACAGCCAGGAGCGCGTCGCAAAAAAGACCGTCAAGTGGGTTGCAACCAAGTGGTACTTTACCATGGTTATTCCCCACGCACCGGACGTACCGAATCGATCGCCCCTTCAAGCTGGTCCGAGGGACGGAGGCGGTGAGCGATTTCAGGACCTGCAAACGAAGGCCTCCTATGCGGTGTATGCCATGCTGGCGGCAGGAGGCCCCAGGTCGCCTTGGCGGCTGGACGGCCGGACGCGCGTGGGAACGAGCGTTTTTGCGGATGCCCAACATGGATCCTTTGAAGTGTTTTTGGGTCCTCCAGGTGGCTGCGGGTCAAAACGAATGGGATCCCATTTTGGGGTAGGTGGTACGGGATTTTGACCCATGGCCAAGCGAAGTAGCCATAGGTATCCTTTTTGGTTGTTTTGGTAGAAAAATAGATGGCCCTGGTGTACCTGGTGGTTTCAGGGCCATCTATTTCCCTAACAGGACACCTATGGAAGTAGCACTGTGGCTTTGCCGTAACGGGCAAACTGAGGAACAGCAACCAAGTGGAGAGCGCCTCGCCCCTCGAAACTCGAAACGAGTTTCGAGGTGATGCTGGCCAATTCCTGGCGTCCTTCCCAAACGCAGGTCTTTCTTCACGCCAAAGTAGCTTCCCCCTCTCAGGGAGTCCTGTTGGGAGGGAAATGGTCTGGCATGTGTCAGAATTGGTGGGGCCCAAAAAAGCGGGGTGTCCTTTCAGTTTCAAGCTCGCAATCACCCCGAACTGGAGACCGCAAAAAGCAACACGGAACCTCAAAAGTGTGTGACATGAATCCCCACCCAACACTGGCGTCCACGAAAGGGTCCGCCCAGACAACTGGGTTTGTGTCCCCTACATTTGCGCCCCTCTCCCAAACAAAACACACAACGACTGGAGCCTTTTCAGAAGGTCGATGTCCTTGTTTTGCTCTCAGATTGGTGTGGTAGAGATGACTTGCGCCTTCATCCACGGGATCTTCAAGCGACAGGCTTAGAGCAATGGTGACGGAGGTGTGACAGACGGGTCGGGTATGGCCGGTATGGCGTTATGCCTATGAGTATGAAGGGAGTCGATTGGTTTGGGAGGTCATGGGAGAACACTTCCCGAAGCTTCCAGGGGAACAAACCAATCTGTGCGCATAGACAAGCGGCGGCTTTGGGGACGGAGCTGAATTTCCCCATGGATGATATCGCAACCGGTCCTCAACAGCAGTCTTTGGTTGCCTAAAGCCAACCAAAACCGCAAAAGATTCCCAGGGTCGGGGGTTGACCCCTTGGGGCGCATCTGGGGCGATGAGGTTGGTGTCAGATCCTCCAGACTACCACAGCTGTGGGAACAACATCACTGGAGGCCAAGCCCCGAGGGGGTTGCCACGAACGCGCATGAGGACTTTGGTGGATATCCGCTTGATCTGAGTTTAGAGGGACTCATGACATGTCCAACTAAAAGTCTGACTTTCAGCAAGGGATCAACGAGTCACAAAGGTCCGGGGCCCGTGCTCTTTCCCTGCACCGCCTGACTCTTCACAAGACGCCTTTTGGTTTGCTCTCGCTGGTGAGGGGAGCTATTCCCTCGCAATTCCATTTACAATCAATTTGGACAAAGCTTGGGGTGTCATGAGCTCACCCATGACGGAGGGGCAGAGTGGTTCCTTTTGGGAAGGGCCATGTTTGCACAGAAGCACGGCTACTCGCTGCTCTGTGCTTTGCTGGGAGGCTTGTATGACATGCTTCTGGCATTTGGCGGCATTGCCATTCTGCCGGACGCCCAGCAGCTTTTTTTGTTTGCATTTGCGTCAGAATGTGGTTGTTTGTTCCTTTTTGGCTTTAGAGGGAATCTATCGCTACTGCACACATATTCTCTTGTTTTGAATGGGGCGAAAACGCCAATGCAAGTTTGGGTTTCCGGGCTTCCCCGTGTATATCCCTGCCCCAAGTAGCAACATGTTGCCAGCCGGGAGTTGAGCAGGAAACGTCGAAAGCGCAGAGTTGCAAGGGGCAAGAGGCAGTGGGAGAGGGTCCCTACCTTTTTTGGCCCATGCAAGGTGAGTATCCCTTGCTGGGGGTGATGTTTTACAGGGAAAGAAAGGGTGCAAGTGGCAGTGGGAGAGAGTGAATGCCAAGGCCGTATGTGCTGGCCGACATGCTTCAGCCGCAAAATGCCCGGAAGGTGGTGATAGAGGCAGACATAACTGGAGCGTTGATTGGCGCGTGACAGGTTGGACAAACTTGGAGTGAGACCAAATGACAGTATCGCGTTACATGTTTCTGCATTTTATCATGGTCCTTCCTCAACCTGTCATGATCATTGGTCTCATGCACAGGAATGACACACTACTCACAGGCCGTACTGTGGATGGACGAGATCCTGCACCTAAGACACGCTGGAATGATTTGATTCCCCTGTACATGCCAACAAACAATGGTTGCAACCATGGTTTCATTTCGTGGTGCGAAGTGGATTTCGTGCATCCATAGGACCCTTTGGGTATGTGTCAAAATCGGGAGCTCAAACATGTCGCTTCAATCCGACCAGGGGAAAGGAACCGGGCCTGCAAGCAAAGTAGAGATGGAGATAGCCAAAGAAGCTATCGCCTCTAGGATGGTTTCCTATCTCCAAGCCACTAGCCACAGATGGCGTACGGTACAGTTGATGCCCTAAACATTGCAAGTAGGGAACAAAGGAAGCCCTGTAAATTCCCATGATTTGTGGTTGACTTACATGCAATATTTAGGGCATCCACCGTGGTTGGTTTCGTTTTTTTTTTTTTTTTTTTTTTTTTTTTTTTAAACCCTTGGATCCTGTGGAAACCTGGCAGGCCACGACTCAGATCATGCTCTACTACCTCTCCGTCGCCATGCACCTCTGCACGATTCGCGCATTCTCCACCCCACCGCTACGTATAGGGAAATGGGCTGTATGGGTGTGTGTGTGTGTGTTGCTTGAGGGAACCTTTTTTTTCTTTCTCGGGTCCCCTATTTTGAGACACACCCATATATGCAAACATGTCATTACACAACATATATATATATATATATATGCGGGTTATACTTCTTAAACCCAAAGTATGCACATCCCATGTTCATCTTCGTGGACATCTTCTGGGACTCGCGCCCTGCAACTTGCTGGGGTCTTCTGGGCGCGTGCGCGACCTGGCATCTCAGGATTTGCTACTTCGGGTGGGCGGACTCTATCCAGTCCCGCACCCCGCTGCAGCAGATGATGTCCATGCGGCCCGGCTCAATGGTGAGGTTCCGGAGAACCGTGGATATCGCTCGTCGTTAGGAATTGGGCCCGAAAAAGGCGCCTTTCGGGTTTCCCTTTTGCTGTTTCCCAAACTTGGAAGCTTGACTTTTGGAGGCTTCAGGGTCGATGCGGCTTGCATCTCCCGGCTGTGGCGTTTCTTGTGTTCACGTCGTTGTCTTTTTGCATGTTGTCGTGGAAATGTTGCACCTTCAAGAAGAGGTGTGTGGAAGAGCCAAAGGGGGCACACATGCGCGAGGAGCTTGTTCTACCAGAATGCAGCTCGGGTCATCAGCTTTCTGTTCATCATCAAGACCGCTTGCCTGGCTCGCTTGAGACGGGACCCGCGCTCAAAGCGCCGAACAACTCAGCCTTTGGAGGGCGGTCAAAAATAGGTACCCTTAGAAAGGGCCCTGGTTCATGTGGGGCTCGCCAAAAAAAAAGGTCCAAAAAGGGGCCCATACTGTTGACCGCCCATGACTCCTTGACTTTCACCTTGCGCGAGTTTTTGAAACTGTCGCCTTTTTTTTGGGTGTTTTCAGCTGGGGATGTGCAATGGGTGTGCCTCAAAATAGGATATGATATGGGCCCCCAAAGAAAATCGCAGCGCTTTCCGTTTGGTTTCCCTTTAAACCGACGCCAACCCCCCCAAAAAGAACAAACCGCAACTGGCAACAGTTTGCCTTGGGTTTCCCTTTAAATAGGGTACCACCCCAACAAAACCATGACGTACTTGAGGGTCGTGGCTCCAGCGGTTCGAGCAGGTCACCACCTTCCCGCTGACCTTCTGGCCGCTGTACCGGGAGGCGGGTGACGGGGTCGAAGGATGGCAGTGTCAAAACGCTTTCGGGTGGTGCAGAGCTTAGGGATTTGTTTCAAGTCACATGGGTCAGTTTTTTTTCTTGGGGGGTTCCCTTTTTGTATGGTTTTAAAGGGTCCTTTTTTGAAGAGGGGGGTCCTTTTTTTTGGGGGGGGGGTTTAAGGGAAAACCAAGGGGGACAACCACCATTATGGGGGGTCCGACCTTAAGAAAGACACACGCACATGGACCCTCCGAGGCTCACGGAAGTTTAATCATGGCCCTGTGCAAGAAAACCCTGGATGACGTGTAATGGTATTTCACGCGCTTTGGTCTTAACGTGCGGAGCTGGCTTGCGCCAAGAACACCGCAAAGACCAGCGGCTTGAACCGTTACTGTGCTTTTGCCAGGACAGGAATTCTAATTGGGGGCCCTTTGGCGGACATCATTTACATGTTTTATGTCCAACCTGTCTTGCAGGGCTCCATGAAAACTCACGCAGGACCCAAGGGCTGTCAACTTGTACCTGCCCAAGGGCAAAACGGACTTGGAAGGTGCTGGACCCTGCGAGGGTTTTCACTTTTCAAAAGGGCACCCCTTGGTACGCAAAGACCAGCGGCTTCAATGTTTCAACCGGTTCTTTTGCCATGCATTTTGAGGACATCATTTCGACTGGCATTTGTGACCACCAAGCTTGTGTGAGGGGCTAGCCTATTCAATTGGGTCCATTTTTGTGGTTTAGGGAAACGGAAAGGAGAATTGAACTTTCCATTTTCATTGGGTCCACATCCCAAAAAAAACAGGACACACGCACAAACCCGAATTCATCAGCCCAAGAGCCAGGTCACTTTTTCCCCTCCGTCATTTTTCTCGCGGCTTGTATCATTCCAAACGAATTCATAGCCAAAGAACCCGCGCGCTTTTTTTTTATAATTGTTTCTCTCTCTCTCTCTCTCTCTCTCCCGTCGTTTTTCGGCTTTTTTTGGTCGTTCCCTATCCAAGTTTATGGCCCAAGCCGGCGGTTTTCATCATTCCAAGCCGACGGTTGAGTGTTTTGAGCGGATGGAGGTGGAGGCCTTGCTGGACCTGGACGACTCCCCGGGCTTGCAGCTGCAGCTGCCCTGGGCCATCCGGCGCCAGCGCTTCCTCAAGGCGCCGGGGTTTGGAGGGAGCGGGGGGGGGGGGGAGGGGGCCCGAAAAACCGAAGGAGGGGGTAGAAGATCTGAGGTGGAACAAGTCATGGGGTTTTTGAGTGTCTGGGCCATGTTTTTTCAAGGTTTGGAGTTTGACGGTTTCCGCAGCTCTTGGGCGAACGGGAAGCATTGTTGCTCATACGTACAAACCCTGCATTCCAAGTGGCTTGCTTCGCCACAAGTTGAGCAGGTGACTTTGTGTGCTGAAAGAGGCTGAATGTCTCACGGAAGCTTGGACACACCTCGTCCAGGGACGAGCAAGACAACGTACTTCATCTTTCTTAAGATGGGTCTGTTTTTTTGTTGCGAGTACCCCTTTCATCAGTTGTAAAGGGAAGCCAAAAGGAAACCAAAGACGGGTCTGTCTCTTTTTGTTGAGGGCAAGCCAAATGGAAACCAACCATTTTGGGTCCCCGAACAAATGGCATACCCAGATAGCTGCAAGTCCTCGCGATTATATCTCGTTCCTAGATGACCAAACCTCAAGTAGAACGCCATTGTTTTTTTGTTGATGTTGTTCACTTTTCGTAGGGGGCAACAAATAGAACGACCACGGTGTGTGCTACGTGTCAAGGGGTTTGGATCGCCTCGTAGGTCTTCACCAAGGTGGCGCTGGTGTCTGCGTGCCTGCCGGAAGCCCAGAGAGACTTGGGGCCGCAAATGGCTGAGAGATGGCGGGTGGTTGCGCGGGGAGAAATTCGGACAGTTGAACCATCTTCCTGGGAAAAAGATGCGAAGCAAGAGGTTGGTGGTTGCTCAACCTGGTGGCTGGTTTTTCGGAAGGGCGACGAGAAGGATGTTCCGCTTGGGGACTCTGAGTTTGTTTGTATTTCAGAAAAGAACGATTTCTTGGGCTTGGGGACTCTGAGTTTGTTCCTAAACTTTAGTTTGCTTTGTTTGTTCCGCTTGGGGTTGTTGATTTCTTTGGGCTTGTTTTTTTTCTTTCTTTTTTTTCTCCGTTCCCCAAGCGGATGATCTTGCTGAAGAAAGCAGGACCTTGCCGCAGGATGACCTTGCTCCTGGACAGCGAAAGCAACCACACCATGGTCACCGCCTTCATGGGCGTGCCGCAGCTCGGCGCCGATTGTGCCATCGATCGATCCGGAGGGGGAAGGCAGAGGTCGAGCCCAGATGAAACCTGAGCCACGTGCTGAAAACCGATTCGGGTAAGTGAAGGTTCGTAAGGGACAATCCCCTAGCCATAGCTGCGGATATCCACCTTAGATCTTGAAGCGTGGTGGGTCAACCATTTTTGTACCAGGTTTTGATTGTGACTCACCTGGCGGACCAGGGCGTTTTTGGGGTTCCCACCCCAATCGACCAGGAATTTCTTGGGTCTTTCTCTGTTCGGCACTGTGCCTTGAGGATCGGAAGGACATTCTGTGGCTTGCCATTTCGGACATGTTGGAAAGCCGCCGGCAATCGAGTGGGGAGTGGGTCCCCGATTTCACGCGGGATGGAGATTGGTCCCACTCACTTGATACAAGCTGGCGGCATGTTGCTACCGGACTGGGGCCTATCCACTTGTAGACGATGGTGCAACTTTTGATCTTCGGAGCTGATGGCAATTTGTCTTTCTAGGGGTACCTTCCATTTCCATTCTTTCCAGGGATCCGAATCTTTTCAGGAAATCAAGAACCCAGGGGACACAGATCTCGTTTTTGAGAAAAGAACGATGGTTGAAAAGAATGGAAAGGGGAATTAACCCCTAGAGGTTTGGGGATGTGAACCCCTAGTTTGTGAGGGTAAACGGGAAGCCACCCTCAACCAAACCACACCAGCCACTGAGGGGGGAAGCTGACACAAGGATTCAACCCGAGTCTTGCGTGCCACGGGCTTGTGTGGGGTGGCCCAGGCCTTTCGCTCCATAGCATTTCGGTGCGCCAAAGCAGACCGGATAAACCGCAGGATTCTCCGCTTCTGTTTTGTCCGTTGCCTTTGGCCTTTTTTTCCTCACCCGACAGGAAGGGGTTGTTAGATTTTATGTTGGAATCCGCGTTTGCGATGCTTCTACACCACGCCCCCACCCAGTATCCCGCCAGAGCAGCTCGCCAGTGGATCCCGCCGAGTATCCCGCCAGAGCGGCTCGCCAGTGGATCCCGCCGAGTATCCCGCCAGAGCTGCTCGCCAGTGGATCCCGCCGAGTATCCCGCCAGAGCAGCCGCCAGAGCGGCTCGCCAGTGGATCCCGCCGAGTATCCCACCAGAGCAGCCCGCCAGTGGATCCCGCCCGCTGAGTATCCCAGAGTAGCTCGCCAGTGGATTTCGCCGAGCATCCCGCTGAGTATCCCTTGGCGGTGGATCCTGCCGAGTATTCGGCCAGTATCGAGCTGGAGCGGCTCGCCAGTATTCGCCAGTGGATCTTGCCGGTATTCCGGCAGAGCAGCTCGCCAGTCTGGTTTTGCTTAATGTCCAAAAGGGCCGATGGGAATTTGGAGTTGAAGCCTCTAGGATGCGGAGGAATTTGTCGTAACGATCGTAAGCTGGGCGGGGATTGCTCGAACCTTCTTTCCCTCTCCTTCTCCTTCTTTCCCTCTCCCCCCAATAAATCGCTGCGTCGAACAGACATTGCGCGCTATCGCAAAGGCAAAGGGGGGCAAGTGCCATCATGTTTCCTTTTGGTTTTCTTTGAAATACTTCAATCCAAGGGGGGCAACATGTGTTTCCTTTTGTTTTCCCTTGAAATACTCACTTCTATCTTGTCTTCAATCCAAAGGGGGGGGGCAAGTGCCAAGTTCTCCATTCTGGCCCTCAGGCTGAATGTGGTCCACTTCGTGTTCCCGGCCTGCGTGGGCTGCCTGGCCATTCGCATGCACCAGAAGATCCTCCACACGTCGCTGGCCTCAGCGAGCCGGGAGAGGGGGAAAACGCCGCCTTGAGCCACCCAGGTGGACCCCAAAAGAACAAAAAATCCACCCCAGCTTTTTATATATTGAGTGTCCCTGGGTGAAACGCTTTTGGAGTGGGACGTTTCCCCCCCTGATCAACTGGGGTTGATGAACATGGGAACTTCATTTGGGGCATTGATCTGGGAACCCTCCGAAGCCCCAAGGGTGCAGGTTGCTATGGATCTGCCAAAATTTGCAACCGCTTCTCGGAGGCTGAGATGCCGGGGATGCCACAAGGAGCGTGCCCTCGCTTTGGGCCGCTTCCATTTGTGGTGTCTTTGTGTAGACCCCTGAACATGGTGGACTTTCTTTGGGGTTTCCCTTTGAAACCCACAAGCACTTGCTGGTGCAGTAGGGAATGCCCCTCAACCATCCACCGGGTGGTTTCCTTTAAGCATCCAACTGGTGGAGCCCCCTGAAGGGGAAGGTGCATTCGCCGCTTTCCTGACCTATGGCACCAGCAAGAAAACGGGTGCCAGAGCCCTCTGCTTTCCTCCGGCCCGCCTATAGGCGCGCCGAGGGCGCGGACGGGGGCGTGAAGTACATCTGCAACAGCCTGAAGCCCGCCCGGCGCGACGTTGTTTTTTTGTTTCGGCGCTTTCAAGCGCCGAAAGCTTGCCTTGCTGGACTTTTTCGCCGGGGAAGGAACGTTTTGTTTTCGGAGGAAGAATGCGTGTTTAGAAAGGCTTTCATGGGCACATGGCATGGAAGCAGAGGGTGCCTCAGAAGAGGAAATTGATCTTCCAGATACACTCCCACAAATGCTATGTTAGTGGGAGGCAGGGTAACAAATGTTGAAACACCAGCATGTGAATGAACTAATCTGCAGTGCAGATTCTTTCAGCCAGCGGATTTTCCTGCCAGAGCTGTCGATACTGTGTAGTATTTTTGGTTTCCTTAGGCCTGGTTGTTGAAACGAGGTGCCCCCGAAACAGTGCCACCCCAGTTTTCCCCGGCGTCGAGCAAATTTTGAAGGCCATGGATTTGGTTTTGGAGGGCAAGTCTTTTTTGTGCAGGTCTCCAATTTTGTCCGGCGTGGCAAATTTGGGAAGCATATAGATCCCTGAGGTAGGTCCGCAACAGCCTTGAATGCTTTTGTGTACCTGCTCACTGTTGGAAATCATGGTTCATAGAAGCTTGGGTGCACACGGACGCCTGAAGCGTGGGGCAGGCAAGAGCAACAAGGAACCGCATTCTGAGCTATGTCTGGGTTCTCAAGATCGGCTTTTTCGGTAGAGAAACAACCTCGCCGCCTAGAAAATGCGGAAAGCGCCAAATTCCACTGTCGGATGCATTTTCTGGATGACCTGCCATGAGGGGTTACCCGCACCTGAACCTTCGATATGAACAGCTTCGTTTGAGAGATGCTGCTGGGAGTTTCATCCTGCTTCCCGCAGATTGATATTCAGCGCGGCAGACCATGCTGATTGCACTGATTCAAGTTTCCAATGGCATGGACATATACATACGCTATACACCGGCACTTGCATCCTGTTTTTGCTGAGGAGGAAAGTGCTGCAGAAAGGCAGGCCATGCTGTTGGCAGCTCAACGTTATGCCAAGCATGAACAGATACACAGACTACGACGGAGCAAAAGACAAAGAACCATTTTCACGTCACAACAGCAACGTTGGGCACAGACTCCGCAGGTGAAGGCCGAATCATTTCCCTTCTCTGATCCATTGTTCGTTGGGTTGCTTGTTCCATGTTGTTTGTGGCAAGGAAAATCAGTCTTGTGTCAAGGAAGGGGGCAAACGCCGTGGCTTCATTCCAGCAACTCGTTCAAGAGCTGACTTTTCTCTTGATTGTGGGTTGCATCTTTAGATGTTATCTTTTTGGCTGAAATCATTGGGGTCTTCCAATTCAAGCTTTTTGCAGAGGTCAGCTGCATTTGGAGAGCCAGAAGTGAGACAGCCATTAAAAGACCCCGATCTTGACAGACTCTGAATTTCAAGCTTGCTGGTTAGCGAATGAGTTGGAATGACCCTGATAAAGCATCCCCTCTCGTTTCCTTGGGAACCCCTAGGTTCATTCCCAAAACCTTGGGTCATTCCCTGAGCACCAGTACAGAACCTGAATCCATTTTCACAAGTCCACAAGATCCCCCACGATTCACAGGCCCATATGGGCGGCTCGTCTTTTTGAGGGTACCCCTTTGCGGTTTTCAGGGAGCGTCAAAAGGAACACTCTCCTTTTTTTTGGGGAGGTCCACCCTGAACAACGTGGTGAGCCATAGGTTGACTCTCCTTCTTGGCTGAAAAAAAGGTGGTGAGCCACCCGTTGCTGACGTTTTCTTGGCCAGGATCCACTCCTGCGCGATGCACCTCCTCGCCGGTGTCATGATCCTGATCGGCCAGCGGCCCAGGCAATGGCAACCCGCCGCGCGCGGGTCCGAGGCCAGGTTTTGGTCGGGTGAAGTGAACCCGAGCGTGTTCTCGGTGTAGCGAAAATTTGGCGACCACTTTTTGGAGGGGAAGCCAGCAAATGGGACGGGTTCATGAATACATTCTCTGGAAAGTACCGGAAAACCATTTCAAGAGGGGATGCGATTCCCAAACATCTCTGCAACAGAGGTTGTTCGGATGCCAAGTTCATCTGGGAAGTGGATCGCCCTCCTTCGACCTCATCTTGAGACCCAAATGGCAACCTTAAAACCGTGCACGAGAGGTTGGGCAAACAACCTGAGCCGCCCTTGTCTCTTTGGGGAGAGGACAGGGATACAAGCAGGATGCACATGCAGATCACCAGCAAGCCGCTGAAAAAAAATGAGAGTTGCTTGTCAGAAGTTGCTTGGGGCCAATGAAGGGGGCTTGATCAGCCATATGCGTTGAAGTCGTGGAACCTGGGTCAGATCCAATATTTTTAAGGCGCAAAAAGGCTAGACCTTTGAGGGCTTCGCAACATTGCCCGTGGGAGGGTTTTGTGGATTTTTGGGGCTTTTGCGGGTTTCGCCTCCCCTTCAATGGTGTCGGGCCGTCGGGCGGCTTTGAACCGAGGCGCCGCGTTGTTCGGGTACATGCTGCTGGACATTTGGACCATTGAGGGCTGCTCCTTGTGGAGCAAGTCCTGCGAGCCACTGTCCCGAAAAAGGAAAGCAGTGCAGCGCAGTCCTGGAGTCGCTCGAGGGGAGGTTCTGCACCACTAATTGATGCAGAACCTTGGGGTCATAGGTGTCCTTTTGATCAGTTAGGGTTGACCATAGATGGGCAAGCCACGCGTTTAGATGGGGTTTTCTGCCCCATTTCCCAGAGACACCCATCGATTTTTAGCCAAAATGGTCGCCTGTGCTTGAGCCCTTAGGTCTGCACTGAAATCTCTCAGGCTGCCGGTGCTTGGTGCTTGGTCGCCGGCAGCTTCGCTTACTCCAGAGCAGTTGCCAATTGCCGAAGATTGGGCCGGACACTCGAGGGAAAAACCGCGGTCTTGGCAGTATCTTTTTTTTATTTATTCGACACATATTGGGTGTATACCTGGGGACCTCTTCGCGATCCTGGAGCCATGTCGGACTAGCTGTGGGCCTACGGCCCAATGGAGGACGGCGACGGATTGCGAGGCCGCGCAAAGCCGCGCAAAGGCGCGCAAAGGCGAGAAGAAGCAGTTGTCGGTTTGTTGGGGGCACTTGTTCATTTTGCAAGCCTGTGAGGTTCTCCAAGCAGCCCAAGTCTGTTCTTTGTTTCTAATTGCGTAACTACTTTAACCTGAACAGTACCAGCAATATTCAACCTTACATTTACCCATCCTACAAGTATCCGACAAACAAATAGCTGGTTTACCCTGGTTACCATAGACTGGAAGCGCTGAGTGTTCCTTTGGAACAATTAGGCAGGGCAGGTTGGTGACAGGGTTTTAGACCGTTTAGAACGCGGGGTTTGCTGGTGAGGCGGAAGATGGACGCCGTGCCGCGAGGCGGCAACAGGGGTGCGAAGGGAGGGGGCCCAGAAAGGTGCCACGATACTAGGGGTAGCTTCCAATTCCATTCTTTCCGGGCATCCTTCTTTCTAAAACACCACCCAAAGCCCTGAACAATTTCAGCGATCGGTTTTTAGAAAAGAAGGACGGTTGAAAAGAAAGGAAAAGGAATCAACCCCTAGAAAATAATACAAGCATCCATGCATCCGTGCACCATTTTTTGCGCTTTCCAAATAACCGACAGCCCCCCATGCTGATCACAGTCTTGGCCTCAAGACCCGAGCCGCGCGGCAAAAGCCGCAGGTCTGATCGACGAAAGTGCCAGCCACTGCGAGCCATGTTTTGGCTTCTGGCTGCAAGTTTGGTATCAGCTTCCGCAAATGTGCAAGGCTACTTCACCATTCGGAGCTCAGTGGACACCAGCAAGTGCCTCACAGTTGGTTCGAGAGGTTATTATAGCAAACTGAATTTGTGGATGCAAGACTGTAATGAACAAAGACATTCAATGGCGAACTCTCATGTTTGGTATTGGAACAATACCTGGCTGGTGAACGGATTCCAGAAATTCGAGCATGAGCGGACCGAGTACACCGGCTGTGCCAGTTTCTATAAGGCAAGTTACGGGCTTCACGGAAGACCCTTGCGGGTCAACAGCTGCGAGCAGGGTCTGCAGTACCAGGATTGGATTTGGGACAATGGGCGTATCAGACACCTCCACAGTGACCACTGCTTTGACCTTCCAGGCTTCAATTTCACTGACTTCGAAGGCTATGATTCTTTTGCTCACTATTGGAAGGTGGGCACCCCGGTGCAACTCGGAGCACTGGACAATGCAGACGACGACCAATTCTTTGAGCTGTGGCCAGTGACGAGTCTAGGAGCGCCCTCTGGCTTCGAACCGTGGACTCCAAGTCCCCAACAGGTGCCACAGGGTTGGAGCAGAAACTTCGAAGTGGTCTTTCCGGGGTGCCCGGACGGATCTCCTGGCGAACGCAACCTTTGCCCCGTAGACCAGCGTCATTGGGAGTGGGACCCGTGTTTCGGTGGTAGTATTAGACTGCGCCCTGTTTGTCCAGCTGGGTATTTCGTGTATGCGCCGGCAACATCCCTTTGGGATAGCGACGGTGGCCATGTGGCCTATACTTGCTGTGTGGGAGAGAGTGATCGTGAGATCATGGACTGGCTTTTCCTCCCACCTCTCGCTATGTGCTTCCTCGTCCTAGGGATTGCAGGCGTGGTGGCTTCCATCCTATTGAAGATCTGCTTGAAAGCCGGCATTGCAGCGCCAACCGCTGAGGATACCCAACTGGTGGAAAAATCCTCCGGTGTACGATGGAGCCACACTGCACCGGGAAGTGGACCAGGACTTATGGTGTGTGACTCTGGCAGATTTGCAGCAGTTCAAGCGCCTGGTGCACGCTGCAGTCATGAAGGGCGACATCCGTCCCACCGATCGCGATCAGTTTCTGGTGAAGGACAAAACGATTGGGCCGTCGGTCTACACTGTCACAGAGCAGTTCATCAAGCCGGTGACACTAAAAGCTGGGAGCGTCAGTTGGGCATTGTTAAAGCATCCTGACGGCCTGCGCTGTGACGTCTTTGTCACTCATGCATGGTCCGAAGGCATCTATGAATTCATCGACAAAGTCGAGTATTCTTATCCCCCGGGAGCAACCGGATGTGACTCAGTTTGCCAGTGGCGCCCTTTCCTTCTTTCCCTTTTGAGGGGAAGGGTTCCCCTTTCAACTCAACCAGCCCAAAAAGGATGCCCAGATGCCCTTTTCTCCCCGCACTGGGCATCTCAGGTTATGTGTGCTTCTTGTCCAATCCGCAGAACCTGGATATTTCGGACCTGATACAAAGCCCCCAAGAGTCACCCTTTGCCAAAGCTTTGCACGCTTCATCCTCCATTCTTGTGGTCACCAATCAGGTCAGCAGCATTTACACCCGCATTTGGTGTGTTTACGAAGCATTCCTGGGCTATACGCTGGACAAACAAATCCGGACGGCGAGGTCACCTTTGCGTCTACTGCCGGACATGTTAGCGGTCTCCGGCACCGGCCTTGCCGCCTTGGGTGCGCTCATTTTGATATTAATAGAGAAAGCAACCTTCAAAGGCTTCCACAGATCCTCTGTGGTATATGAGGTGGAAGATGTGAGGAGAGCAGGCTTTGTTTCGACTGCGGTGAGTGTTGGTGCAATCCTGTTTTTGTTCTTGATGAAGAAGCATGGCTGGATCACATGCCAGCTTGCAATGTATGTCTTCAGCATGTGCTTGGCCGTGTTCTTGGCAGCGGACATATGCTTGAAAGGCTTTACTTCAGAGCCAGCGCTCTCTGCATTTTTCATCGCAGTATTTGCGCTACCTGCGGTGGAGGGAGACCGGCTGCGGGCCGCAGAAGCGAACCGGCAAGCTCAGCTGCTGCGGCAAGGCTTCACAGACACGGTCAGAAATGCGACCAGTTCCAACCCCGTTGATTTGAACAATATCTTGGTCGAGATCGAGCAAAGTGGGCAATTGAACGCAGTCGATGAGACAGTGAAGGCACTGCAGGCTATGAACTTGTCCACGAGGGAATTGCGTCAAGTGACCAAGCGTGTTGGGCCGCTTGGCAATTGTTCGGGCTGGAGCAGAGCAACTTTCACCTGTGTTTGTGGCCTCTTGGTATTTCAGTTTGTTCAGATCAAAAAGTACAGAATCGATGAGTATGGGCCACGGTTTCCCCTCATGACACCTCCTGCAATTTCCTGGGTCCTTCTCAGCGCCGCCGCACTGGAAGCGATTGTGTGGCCCGTCATGTTCTGTTGCTTGCCGGTTGAGAGAAAGTCCTTTAGCGCAAGATGCTGCGTCTTCTTGTTGCTTTTGCTTCCTGGAATCTTTGGCGTCGTCTGGACTGGGCGTTCATACGATATGGCCGCGAACCTTGCGATCATTCCATTCGTTCTTTTCTTGTGCATCCTCGGCCCAGGGAGGATTTCGCTGGTTCCCTGCGGCCCAGCTCTCCTTCGATTGCTCTTCGGCCGACGGCCCTGGGGGTCTCGAGACCCGGATCCGAAAGCAAGTGACTCGCCTGGGCCAATGGATGTGCCACGAGATGTGCCAATTGATGTGCATGAGGAACCTGAAGCCGTGCAAAATCCCGATGCGCAGGGTGTGCAACATGAAGAACCGGATGACGCCTTGTCCAGTTCTGACGAAGGCAACACACCGGGGTATGTTGTAGAAGTCTTCTGAGAGATATCACGTTTCACAAGGTCTCTCAATGTTTCACCATGTTCATACTGCTTTTTTGATGCATGCATTGACACATGCGCAAATGTATCGGCACAATACCAGTAGCGCCGGAGAAACCGCTGTGCAGAAGTTTCAAACATATAAAAGACTATCGTTCCTTTTTTTTCCGCCCCTTTTGCTCTCCATGCTGTTTGTCATCGTTCATTTGTTCATTTTTCCTTTTTTTTTTTTGTTTTCATTGTTTCTTGCCTTCATTCTTCGTTTCCTTTCTTTCTTTCTTTCTTTCTTTTCTTTCTTTCTTTCTTTCTTTCTTTTCTTTCGTTCTTTCCTTCCTTCTTTCTGTCTGTCTTCTTCCCTTCCTGGTTTCTTTGATTCTTAACCAATCTACCAAGCGGCAGTTCAGTCCGGCACCGCTCCCTTTCCCGCGGTTTTCCTTTTGAGGCGCTCTCGTTTCGTCCGCGTCTCAGGTGGCGAAGCCCATTCCATGCGCGAAAGCCAGCGGCATGGCGCCGTGAAGCTCCTTTGCTTTGCCACGTCTTTTGTGCAGAAAACTCTGTCCGGCTCACTCGGTGAGACTCGGTCAGTCGGTCAGTCGTCAGTCGCTTCCGTCACTCAGCTCACTTGCGCGCTGGTTGTTATTGCTCGCCACTCCACTCACTCCAATCATTCCACTCATTCCACTCACTCCACTTGCTCCGGCTAAAGAGACAGAGACGGGTTTGGCCCTGCAAATTGCCAGCGCATTGTAGCCGCGCGCGGCCGCTGAGTTTTCAACTCGTTCCTGCATGATCAAACCTAAAGTAGAAGATAGGTAACTTTCGGTTTGATCAGCTCGGTTTCGAGTTTTGCTCACGCAGTGGTGTGGCTCCCTTTGGTTTGCCTGGAGCCAAGTATCTTCCCCCAATCGCGTCTCCCTGTGGAAGGTGCTGGTGCCTGACTGCCCGCCACAAGCTCAGAGAGAGAGAGAGAGAGCGACAGCTTCCGCCTTCCGGCAACGCCTGGGCGATGGATCTCCAAGCCTTCAATTTTCCGGATCTCCTTAATTACTTTATTTCGAGTGATCCCCACCTTTGAAAATGCAAGCAAATCACTGGCACGCAAGCTCTTTTCGCAAGGCCAGGTGCAGATTTCGTGGCAGGCGCAGCACTTTCGCAAGGTCAGGTACGGATTTCGCGGCAGGCGGCAGGCGCAGCACTTTCGCAAGGCCAGGTACAGATTTCGCGGCAGGCGCAACACTTTCGCGAGTGCAGTTACAGATTTCGTGGCAGGCGCAGCACTTTCGCAAGGTCAGGTACAGATGTCGCGGCAGGCGCAGCGCCTTCGCAAGGTCAGGTACAGATTTTGCGGCAGGCGGCAGGCGCAGCACTTTCGCAAGGCCAGGTGCAGATTTCGTGGCAGGCGCATCACTTTCGCAAGGTCAGGTACAGATTTCGTGGCAGGCGCAGCACTTTCGCAAGGTCAGGTACAGATTTCGCGCAGGCGCAGCACTTTCGCAAGGTCAGGTATAGATTTCGTCAAAAAGGAGGGATAGAGACCCAGATAGATAGATAGATAGATGGATAGGTAGATAGAGAGAAATTGGTAGATAGATAGACAAGAAATAAGATACATAGATATGTAATTAGGTGTTTAAAAAATCCTGAGTGGTGGGGAAAAAGAAAGCGCGCAGTGCCTGCCGAAGATTTCTGGATTTCTTGCGCTGCGCGCACGAATGTCGCATCCGCCACTATTGAGCCCACAGGTCAACAGACGGGCAAGGAAGTCACCTTCTAGTGACATGAGGTTCACTCCCACTGGATGTTTCCACGCATCCTTAGTGCGCCCAAGGTCGAAAACTCCTCCTTCGTTGGGTGCAGCTCTCAAGCATCAAGCTTCTCGACTAGCTCTTCCAAAGAACACTCACTGGTCAGAGAACCGCGCGAATGCCGTGCTGTGAATACAGCAGTTCACCAACACGAACAACGCTGGTGTCGAGATGCTCCTCAGCAACGATGCTGTCAGGCCCCGTCGGTGACGTAGTGTGGGAGCCTTCCCGAGCAGAGCGCCTTTTTCGGGATGAACTCATCCCAAGAGTGCTTGCCAGGAATCCATGGGTTGTCGGCCGTCCTAAAACATGTTGTTGATGTCTCAAATTGCTCGCCCTCATTGCACTGAAAACCATCATCGGCCATATCGGGTATTGGCCTTCAACATCCACGGTGTGTGTCCCTTCCCGTCGGCCCTGAAGACCAGGAACCCTTGGCGCTCCGAACCAGAATCTCGATTTTCGTAGCGGTGCTCTTGGTGCTGAGGAAGAAGCTTGAATCTGCCATGTAACTTGCACCACAGCAAGCCAACAGCAAGCAAAGAAGCTTAAACAGTATGGGTTGAGCCGAAGGGCCCTCAGAAATAACGCAAATCTAGACACAGGGATAGACACATAGATAGATAGACAAATAGATAGATAGGGAAAGAGGGAGAGAGAGAGGTAGATACAGAGACGAGTAGATAGAAGGTAGATAGACAGACAGCTAACTAGATGTGTAGAAACAGAAATAGATGAAGATCATGGACAGAAAAGAGTAGATAAGTGGAGAAAGAGAGAGAGAGAAACAACATGATAGATGGATAGGTAGATAGGGAGCAATAAGATAGATAGATAGATATGTAGATGTTGTCAGACAAAAGATAGATGAATGGCTAGATAGATAGATAGATAGAATGGCTAGATGAATGGCTAGATAGATAGATAGAATGGCTAGATGATAGCTAGATAGATAGATAGAATGGCTAGATGAATGGCTAGATAGATAGAATGGGTAGATAGATAGATAGATAGATAGGGTAGACAAATAAATGGATAGGTAGAGAGCGGGAGATGGATAGATACAAGGTAGATAGCGTGAAGATGTTTCCAGCCATATCCCAAATGCAGATGCGCACTTCCATGTTTAGCTTCCAGATGCTTGCTTTCCGCTCAGGGTCAGCGCTGTGAGCAGCTTCCTTCCCCTCACAGGACTTGCAGCACGCCGAAGAAAATTTGGTGCTCCGGTTCGAAGGCTTGGCGAGTTACCAAAAGAAACTTCTTGCGCATCACTACTTTTTGTTTGCGTGATAGTGCCACATGTAGATTGAGAACAAGCTAACAACGATGACCACCTGAAAATAGGGCAAAAACAATCGGTGAATCACAGATGCCATTTTTTTTGCGTATGAAAATGCGTATACAACATTTGTAGAGTGATAACCCATTGGCTGTTGGTAGCGCCCAAACCATTATACTGGTAGAACTAAGAGTCAGCTCGGTTTTGGGTGCTGCTGACTGCAAGCTGGAAATGCCTTTGCCTTGGTTGACGTTATTTTTGAATCTGAGGGTTTCGCTGGACTTCCCGAACGAACGTCCACGCCGTACCAAGTTTCCTGGTCTGGTTGGATGCTCCCACGTTCAACCTGAACAGAACCAACGGAGCTCCCAATTTTGTTGCTGGCCACGGCATCACATCTGACACGATGCGCCTTTGGCTCAAGCGATATAAAGAAAGCTCAGCTGCCGTCTGAAACCTCTCAACGGTGGCCGCAGCCTCAAATGGGTAGCTTGGCGGTCGGACGGGTTGCTCCAAGGACTTCAAGAGGCATGGCCTTTTTCCTGCCTCGCTTTCCGATGAACTGTAAACAAGTCTTGCCCTGACTTCTGGGGGTTTCTCAAACTTGGACCGCTCAAACAGCTGGTTTCCTTTGGGTTTCTGATTCATGGGGGGTTCTCCCCTAAGGTCCCCTAAAACAGCTGGTTTTCTTTGGCTTTCTGATTCATGGGTGGTTCTCCCCTAAGGTCCCCTAAAACAGCTGGTTTCCTTTGGGTTTCTGATTCATGGGCAGTTCTCCCCTAAGATTCATGGAGTCTTCTCCCCTAAGATTCATGTGGGGTTCTCCCCTAAGGTCCCCTAAAACAGCAGGTTTCCTTTGGGTTTCTGATTCATGGGGGGTTCTTTTGTAAGGTCCCCCTAAAACAGCTGGTTTCCTTTGGGTTTCTGAGGGGGTTCTCCTCTAAGGTCCCCTAAAACAGCTGGTTTCTTTTGGGTTTCTGATTCATGGGCACCCTAAGATTCATGGAGTCTTCTCCCCTAAGATTCATGCGGGGTTCTCCCCTAAGGTCCCCTAAAACAGCGGGTTGCCTTTGGGTTTCTGATTCATGGGGAGTTCTTTTGTAAGGTCCCTAAAACAGCTGGTTTCCTTTGGGTTTCTGAGGGGGTTCTCCCCCAAGGTCCCTTAAAACAGCTGCTTTGGGTTTCTGATTCATGGGGGGTTCTCCCCTAAGGTCCCCAAAAACAGCTGGTTTCCGTTGGGGTTCAAACAGCAAATTTTCTTTGGCTTTCTGATTCATGGGGGGTTCTCCCCTAAGGTCCCCTAAAACAGCTGGTTTCTTCTGATTCATGGAGGTTTCTCCCCTAAAATCCCTTAAACAGCTGGTTTCCTTTGGGTTTCTGGTTCATGGGTTTTTTCCGCTAAGGTCCCCTAAAAAAACAGCTGGTTTGACCAACCCAAAGGGGGGCTTTCATATGCAAGGCTTCCGCATCCGATCTCGAGCTGCTCGAGGTCACCTCACATTGCAGCGGGCCAAGTGGGGTCGGCCATGGCGGTGTGTCCTTCTGTCTTGGAGTTGGCACCCATGTTTTGGTGGTTTTGAAGGGACACCACGTGGAAGATGGGCATTTTCGGGGCGATTTCCTCAAGTTTTGGATGTCATCTACTTTCAGGACCTCCCCTTTCCAGTTTAAGACTCTGAGTATTCACCCAGTTGGGGTGACAGAAGAGGCTGCTGAGTTCAAACAAACAATGTGCAGAGCACGTCACATGCTGTAGGTCCAGGCAAATTCAATCAGCTTCGCTGCAGCGAGCTGCAGCCTTTCGGAAGGCATTTGCAGAGAAAGTTCAGGCCAAGGTTGGTTGCTTGCAGTGTCGGGCCAAACCTTTTGATAACCCCCCCCCTTTTGATAGGGAAAGCATGTTGAACCAGTGGTCTTAGCCATTGCGCTCGACTTCTCGTCCCGGCGAGGTCATATCCTTCACTAGGGCCTCGCACTCAGCGAGAAACGCCAGGTCAGGCGAGGTCAGGTGTTGTTTTTTGGTTTGGGCCGAAAAAGCAACGGCATTACTTTAACACAACCCATCAGGAACCCGTCAGGTTGGTGGTTTGAATGGTTTGGATTTGAATTTGAAGTGGTTCTTGTAGGGTGCACATAAGAAACCACCCCATTTCACCACCGAAGAGATTTGATTTGTGTCCGACCATTTGGGAAGGTATTGCCCATCAAAATCACAGTTAGTTGACCGCACTGGCTTCCTGATTTGTTGAATGCTGGCCTAAAATGTGGGGGCCTACTTCGGCTCACGGGCCAAGCTGTTATCGCATTGCCTCGCGCCCCAGGCCTACTACTGGAATCATGGCATTCCTGAGCTCATGCCTCGCACCTCAGAACTGCCTTCGCACACGGAACTGGTTTCGATCTGCCTTGAAAACGCGCCTTGCTTTGAGGCTATTCATTTCTGACCAGCTCCACTACTTTCAACATAGCAGCGCGGAGCCTAATGCAGCGCGTGAGCCGTGAGCCTCCCTCATTCGGCTCCGCGCGATGTGAGGCGCGGACTATGATCCTCGCTGTTGCCACGTCATCAGCTGGAAGCTCAATGCTGCTACGCTTCAGGTGCATCTAATACGGTACCATGGTCCCTGAGTTCCTAGAGGAAATTTGACGGAGGAATGGCCTTCCTTCCCGCAACACAATCACCCCTCATTCCCCCAGAATCATGACTGAATGTGGATTGAAAGTAAAAAATAATTTCGGCTCAACGCCTTGTATTACACCTTGTAATTAGAATGGGGTACCCTCCCACCAATAAACATGGAACCCGACAGGGACCCGGCAAATGGTCCAAACGAAGACCCCAAAACGTCAGGTTCTCATGTAAACTTTGCTGCATTTTGATTGGATGTTAGGACTAACTAACTTTTTGCCAACTGACGGGTTTTCCATATTAAACCACTAAATTAAAAGTTATAGCCACTTTTGGCAGGGCTTCGCAGATTGCGCAACCGAGTAAAGTGGTGGGTAGTACCCATTGAAGGCCTCATACCGTCATACTCACTTCCTGAGTTCGTGAACTTTAAAACTTTTTGAGAAGACCTTTTTTTGTGGTACTAAGAAAAAGTTTGGACTTTTTCTGGGCCATCCACTCAGCTGAGAGTAGCTCCTTGGCCTTCCTGCGCTCGAAGTCAAACTCCGCTCCCCGAGTTCTTCGCCGCGATGGACCTGCGGCTCCCCGTGCCGGCCGCCGTTGAGGCGGGCTTTTGGGGGCGTTTTTTTTTTGGAGCGTGTGACGTTTCCATGTCGGAAAAAGCCATGTGCCACAGAACTGCGCTTCCTGCAGGTTTGGGTGGCACCTTTTTTTAAAACCCTTTGTGGGTTCCATGGGGGTTCCGCAGGGGTCCATAGGCGTTTTTTTAGGACTTTTTTGGATACCCCCCCAAAAAGCCCCCCAACCAAAAGGGATTACCCCCAAAAATGCTTTTGGACTTTTTTGGGATACCCCCTCCCAAAAAGTCCTTTTTTGTTCGCCCCAGAAACGCCGAACTGCGAAAAACCACCGGCCGAGGGCGTTTGCTCCGCGCTAGGAGCTGACGGTCGTGGCGTTGCTCTTGCTGCTGGAGCTAAGCTTCACACGCCGGCGGGGCTCCTTCGGACTGGCTTGGGTGTCCATATGTACGTGTGTGTGTGACACGTACACCATAGTATATATATAATATATATATATATATATATATATATATATATATATATATATGTATTATACACATATGCACAGAACACAACTGTAGTAACTTCTCGCAAGGGCCCAGTTTTTGTTGGGCCCCAAGTTTCTTTTGCGACACAGCCATTGGATATGCGGCGCTGAGCCCGGATGAGTTGTTGCCACAGTTCCTGGGGTTTCGTAACAGGGAGACCACGACGCAGGCAGGAGAAGTCCAAGAAGAGCAAAAGCATCGGCAGCGACAAGAGCGGGGCTCAGGGCGAACTCGATTCAGCTTTTTTTTTGTTTCCCCCCTTTTTTTTTTCTCTCTCTCTCTCTCTCTCTGTGTCTCCCCATTCTTTAAGGGTTTTTATTGTGGCCTGTTCCAGAAGGGGTCGAGCACTTTCCAGGGCATTTGCCAGAGCTGAGTTTACTCACGGAGCTCGAGATTGGAAGACCGTTTGCCCACAAAGAACGCTGTGGCTTTTGCGGGGAAGCCAAAAAGAACATCGCTTTTGGCCATATTTTTTTTGGGGGGGGCTCCCCAAAAAGAAGACAGACTATTCATTTGCCAAAATCACCACCAATTCACCAACCACAATGTAGAAAAAGAGGAACCAAGCCACCATGTGGAAGGAATCCCCCCAAAAAAAACGAAAAGAAGAGGAACCACCATGTAAAAATAAAAGGAGGGGGAATCTCGATGTCGAACTTGATTGCACGCCGCTGGGTTTCATTAAAGCTTCGCCTTCCGCCTTTGCCTCAGGCGAGTCCGGGAGGAGGACGTAAGTGGCCTTCACAGTCGACTCCAGGTGCCGGCACACTCGACGTGTGTGCGAGTGTAGATCCCACAAAATCTGACCCCCAGAAATGGCAACAAATGGGAACCCCAACAGATGGTGGGTTGTAGAAATGGTAATTGGTTCCCAACTCAAAACTCGACTACAGTCTCTTCCTTTTGGTTCCCTATGGTGGGACGTTTATGGTACGTTCTTTTTGTGGGGACCTTTATGAATGGCGCAACGGTTTCCATGCAACTGGACTGCAAAACAAAGTCCAGCTCTGTGACAAGCTGGAACCCACCTCCGCGTGATGTTTGGCAACTGCGCCCTGTGCGTTTCGTGGAGGAACAAGACACACAAACAACAACAATTAGATCGGCGCGATCGCAAAACCGACGCCCTTGAAAGCAACAAAGATGCCCCTTGCAAGCTTCCTGGAGGGACTAGTTCGACGAACACCCACAAGAAACAGACACCGGCGCGATCGGCAAACACTTTGTGTGACGAGCTGACAGATCGCGGCCAAAGCTGGCGACACGGACGCTGCTGAAGCGGCGATGGAGCCGGCGCCCGAAGATCGATTCGTGGGGAGGAGCCCGCTGGCGGGGGGAAAAGCACCTCCCGTTGTGGGGGAAAACCTTTGGTTTGGGGGAAAACATTGGGGAACCCACCCAAAAAGGATGGATAGCTTTCAAACAATGGGAAAAGGATCCGCATGGTCATTTTGGGGCCGAAGGGAATATTGATCAACCCTCATGGGACTGGGCTTCCTCCGCTTCCCTTTTTGACACCTCCAAAATTGTCAATTTCAATGCAAGCCATTCAAATTGCAACTTTTGAAGGGGACCCCTTTTAGTCAGGCCCTGATGAGTTTGGTAAACAAAATCGCGTGTTGCTCGACTTGGGCAGGCGAAACGGGGGTGCCCACGGCGATTCTCGGGTGTCCACTCGGCACCAACCCTCCCGTTGGGTAGCACGAGCCGAGGGCCATTCTGGGCAACGGGGCAGTGCGCGCGCCTCGGAGCGGAGGTGAAGGACTCGCACAGACCAACGGCATAGCATAGCAAGAAGCGTGCACGCCAGGGGCGCCCCAGGCGCCTCATTTTTTTGGCGTTTTCGGTTTCGCTTTCCTCAAGAGAAGAAAAGCAAGAAAGAAGGGTTCCCCCCCCAAAGAACAGGCACAACTCCGGTGGATGTGTCCTTCCTTGCTGTCAAAGCAGGAGCATAGCAGCAAGCCGAGACACGTGGAAAGCCCTGGTAAATCAGTACGATGTTACCTGTGGGCTGCTGCTTTTTGCATCGATGCAAGGCTTGCGCTTTGACCTTTGGGGGGCGTGGTGGCTTTGGACTTGGACGTTCGAGCGCCCTCGCCCCCCCCCCCCCCCCATTTTGGATTGAGTTCAAGGGTTGTTACGAAAGCGTCATGTATGGCTAGCAAGACATTGCGGCTGTACGATGCGTCCCCTTGCAGAACGATGCATGCCTTCCCATGGTTCTGGGGATCGGTCCAAATGGCTTGAGGCCGAGCCTGGTGTGCTACGGAGCGCTGATCTCTGCCTTTGCCAAGGCTTCTTTTTGTTCGGAAGCGGTGGGGAGTTGACAAAGACCGAATGTGTAGGGCCATATTATATAATATATGAACGTTTGGTATTATGGGCTATGGCTTAGTTAACCGTTAGTTATGGCTGCACTACGGGAAAAAACTGGTCCAAAATGGTCACGGGTTCATATATTTGGGCTTATGCATTCAGCCTTTCAAGTTGGAACGGGAGCTGCGATGGAGTGGTTGATGGATTGAAATGATTGACGATACTCCCAGTTTTGCTTCTCAAAGGACTGGCACTAGCGGTTTGCTTGCTTGGAGTGGTTGGAAGGAGTACGGTTTCCTGGCGAACATGGAGCGCAACTGCGGACTCCTGTGAGCCTTTTTGCCTCGAAAAGGGTTCCAGGCTAGTTGGAGGCTAGGGAGCGAGGAGATGCCGCGTTTCTTTCAAATGTTTTGGCGGCGATTTATCAGAAGTCCACATCTCCGGTGTTTGGATTTGAAGCAGGCAAGCAATTCACACTCCGTTGGACGACACTTGAATCAATGTGCCAAGCGCTGTCGCAAATTGCCGTGTGTGGGTCCACCGATTTGCACTTGAGCGCTGGGTCCCAGAATCACCATTCCGAATTTGAGCCTCCCTTGCGAACCATCCTGTCAGGATGCTAAGACTGAGATACATTTTGTGATATGTTAATCGGAGGTTGCATCAGGAGCGCCACCTATGGGGGTTGGGTGTAGAGTTTGGGGATGAGTTTGATTAGAATTAGATGGCGATGGTTTAGATTGATCTTATTCCATTTACCGGGGCCATCTATTCTGCCAAAAGGACACCTATGCGCATGAGAAAGCCAACGAAATTTCCCAGGCGGGCGATGTGAAGCGCGCCGAGCACTGGCTGGAGGCGGTGGGGTAACATCCGGTTCGCAAATTGCTGTTACTCTTCTGTCCACGTCAGGGTTGTGGGATCACTGGGAGTTTATCCAACCACTTCTGGGATACCAGGGATTTTTTCTTTCTATGAACAATTTAGTCTTTGGCCCTTTCTGTTGTATCACAGGTTTGGTCACTCCCCACGGCCGCCATGGAACCTGACGTTTTGGGGTCCGATTTCTCTGGTTCCATGTCAACGTGGACAGGAAAGGTATTCCCATGAAAACGAACAAATAATCCATCAGTTTTCACAGGTGAGCGTGGCAAGTGGTCGTGGTCAACAGGGGGTGCCGGCTTCTTCTCTCGTTCTGAAACCAAGAGGGAGTTACACACCCCAAGCTTCAACCATACGTTCCTCTATCTTCCTGCCTTCCTGCCTTCCTGCCTTCCTGCCTTCCTGCCTTCCTGCCTTCCTGCCTTCCTGCCTTCCTGCCTTCCTGCCTTCCTGCCTTCCTTCCTTCCTTCCTTCCTTCCTTCCTTCCTTCCTTCCTTCCTTCCTTCCTTCCTTCCTTCCTTCCTTCCTTCCTTCCTTCCTTTTCTCCTTCCTCTCCTTCCTCTCCTTCTTCTCTTTCCTCTCTTTCTCTTTCTCTCTCCTTCCATTTCTAGCCTCTTCAACCCACCTTAATGTGCCGCGAATTGAGCAAACTACATATTGTAGCTCCTGTGTAACGCTGTTATCCGCAGTGTGGTCTATGCATGTACACGGGATACAGTTGTCCCTGTGAGTTACACATCCTGATTGCAGTGCGCACTTTGCACTACAGGCATGTCGTTTGCCGCATGCTGCATGTTGCAGGGCCATGTGCTGCATTTTACGTGCCGTTTTGCGCGAGACGGCAGGCCTTAATTCCCATTTGGGTGTGGCTCAAAATTAAACAGGTTTTGGTCCATGTTTCCACTTGCCAGGGTTCCATTTTGGTATCGGTTTTTTGAGCCACAGCCATTTTGGGGTACCGGCACGGCAAACCAAAAAGGACGAAGCGTCCACATGCTTGCACTTGCACCCATCCCTTGCGCAGGCGCTGGAGTCTTCAAATGTCGGGAGCCGCCGACCGAGAGGGCTTGCCGATTTCTACCTTGCCCTCTCAAAAGCGTTGGATGGTTTGGGGGCTCAAAATTCGTACTCAGGCCCGAGGAAAAACGGGTGAGACAACCACGGCAGTCCAAAAAGCACTTGTTATGCTCGTCTCTCGGGCTCAGGTTCAAGTTCCCCGTTCTTAGGAAGTCTTCTCCAGATTTCCCAGCCCGGGCTTCACGCCGTCACAGAAGAGGAATCAACCCCTAGAGACCCTTCCGTGCACCTGAGGCCCCAACGGCATTTGCCTGAACATGGCCTGCCCGGCCACTTGCACTGGCGCGTTCGAGCTGGTTTTCGACTCTCAAAGCGACTTGTAGGTTTTCAGACTTGGGGCAGGGGCGAGGGGCAGTTGTGGGTGACGCGATGACGAGCTACCGGATTCAGAGACTTCCAGCGACCCTTCGCTGGTCCTTTTTTCTGCGGGCTGTGCGTAAGAGCAATGAAGCTAGAAAGCGTGTGACACGTGAAGGCCCACATACCCACATCCACCCATACACCTCCACACCCCACCCCATACACAAATACATAAACAAGACACATACGCTAGCACAGGCAAGGATACACACACACACACAGACAGGCGTCGCAAGTACGTCTTTGTTCAGTGTATATCTTTCTTTGTGCACACGTGCCCGTGTGAGCGCAGGTGTGTGTGTGTGTGTGTGTGTGAGTGTGTGTGTGTGTGCAGGTGTGTGTGTAGGTGTGTTTGTCTGTGTGTGTAGGTGTAGGTGTAGGTGTAGGTGTAGGTGTAGGTGTAGGTGTAGGTGTAGGTGTAGGTGTAGGTGTAGGTGTAGGTGTAGGTGTGTGTGTGCGTGTGCGCGCGCGTGCGTGTGTGTGTGTGTGTGTGTGTGTGTGTGTGTGTGTGTGTGTGTGTGTGTGTGTGTGTGTGTGTGTGTGTGTGTGTGTGTGTGTGTGTGTTTGCCGCCGCACGGTTTTCTGTTTTCACCTAGTTTTGGAGCCCCTTCTGTCGCCAGTTGATCAGCGCCTGCGCCAAATCCAATGCCGTGGACCGTGCCGAGCGGCGACCTCAGCGCGCGGACACGGGCGCGCGTTTTTTTTTTTTTTTTTCAGGGCACGCTTTGCGGCGTTGGTTATTAACGGGAATCCGGAGGGAACCAGCCAGTTTCGGGTGCCCCTGAATTTTTAGAGAGGTGCACATCTCAAATTTCAAAGTCAAATTTTGCACCCCGGACAAAGCAGAACACATGGGTGATTAAAACGGCCTTTTTGGCGAAGGTTCATCACTTTTGCAGGGAACACCCGCCTATTGATAGGACGGGTTTCTGAATCCGGGTCAACATTAGGGGCCAAGACCTTGTTTCAGAGCGTGTTGCCCCCTAATATGATGTATCCCCTGAAACAAAATGGCACACCCCCCTATGATTCAAGCAGGACTTGATTCATCTTGGAATACCATTGAATTGAATCAAGCTAGACAGTAGACAGTATATTTGTTTAATGCCTCCTTTGCGATGAACCGACAAGTTGTCCATATTTTGAGACATGCACATATTGGCCTGTTAATCTTGTTCTCCAGCAGCGTGATCTTGCACTTTTGCAGTAAGACACCTCAAGTTGCCTCTCTGCCCTTTGCTGTGCCATTCAAGCAAAGCCAATCACAACCAACCACGACCAAAGCCAAAGCCACCTGCAACTCCAACCAACTAATTAACGGGGTTTCCGAGCCATGTCCCTTTTGGAATCTCCAAAAGTGGAAACCGATCTTTTTTTTTTGTGGAAGCTGCAAGAAAATTGATCAACTTTTGATTCCGGGAAATCCAGTGACCCTTGACCAAAAGCCAGCAGCGCCCATCGCCCGTGCCCGATGCTCTGAAGGCATTGGCTGGCCAAGATGCCCTCCCTGGGTTTGGTGCCGAGCGCTCGGATGGAGCTTATGGGGGACAACGGGGCAACGCGTCAAAAGGCACCTTCCTCTGGTTTAATTACTGTGGATGGTTGCGAAATCCAGAAATCGCACCACCTCTCAGAAACCCTGGAATGATGATTCGATTCCCTAACGAAACTACCAACAAATCATGGGTTTGGTGTGGTTTTCAACTTGGTGCGATTTCTGGAGATCGTAACCATTCGCACTAGGAATGGTGATCCGCCTGGGAGCACTCCCCGCAGTCACGAGGAGTTTTGACCACGGCACCATGTGGCCGGCCATTCGTCGGAGACCGTTGGCCTTGCTGGAGCAGACTCGGTTCTAGCACCATGTGGTTCCTTGGTCTCCGCGAGGAACTGTTGTTGGTCTGTCTTTCTCTCTTTCTTTTTTTTGCTCTTGCATGATCAACACCTGGTCTATTTCATTGAGACAGTCAGTACCATCCACAAAATCAAGGACTTGCGAGCAGCTTGGCTGATCAACAACACATCTCCAAAGCGACCATCGAAAGTCAAACCCAGTGGGCAGGAAGCCATGTTCGTCGTGAGACCGGGTTGGACTGCGTCATAGTCCTAACCACAAGTGGATGCACCCGCCCTGTTACTTCTTTACATGGTTCTTGGTAGACCGTTTCAATACCGTTCGGTTTTGATTTTAACTCATGTATCTCCGGAATGGTTTTTGCTCAGCAATCCACCAAGCCGTCGCAGCCTTCGCACAAAAGGAGCACTTCTCCCAAACCTGAAAAATCAATGCTTGAAAGGTTTGGAGTGGCTATTTGGGTTGGAAATTCAGATCCAGCTCCAAAGGACAATACGCCAAGCATCAACCGGTTGCACTGTATTCTGCGCCTATTTTAGAGCGAAGCTCACCAAATCGGGTATTAAAAAAACTCGAGCGAAAAAAAGACATGATGAAGGTCCGAGCTGCTTGAGGATCCACTTCTGGATTCAGCTTTTGGAAGAGTAACAATTGCACAACACACCCTGTTTGGTATCAAACATCACCTTCTCAAGTTTTTCACCTCCAAAGAAGGCGCCTCCCAGACCAAAAGGCCCCAGTTCGCGCGTGGCTGGCCCCATGGGTCTGCCTTTTTGTTGGAGTCGTTACCCCTTTGCTGGCGTTTTAGAGCGACCACCAAGACGAAAACCGAGCGACAACCAAGAGGAACACCTGCCATTTTTGGGGGTTGCCCCTAAAGCAAGTCACATTGTCATGAGGGAATCGCCCCGCAACCCAAAGGGGGGCCCTTTGAGAACCAGGTTGCGTCGCATGTTCGTTTGGCTCAGTCCGGACGTGATGAGCTACAACGCGGTGATCGACGCCTGCGCGCGCACCGGAGATGTGACACGCCCGGCGCCTCGGGGGCCCTCAACACCCGGGTAGATGATTCGGTTGAGGGACAATCCCCTGGCCATAAGTAGCTCCGGAGATCCGCCTTCTTAATTCGTTCACATGGGCTTCTGGGTCGACTATTTTAATATCGGGTTTGGATTGTGACTCAACTGGCGGCCCTGTTTTTGGCTGGTATTGGAACAGAAACAACAGAAGCTGACCTTTCAGAACCTACCAGATATTCTGGCCTTCCAGAACGAAACCCATTGCAAACAATTACCCGGCCGTGATCCGTTCCTTTTTTTTGCCACTTGACATCCATGCTTTTGCATCCAGTGAATCTGGATACCAGGTCCACAGGTCACTGCAACCCCTCAAAGTGAAGGGTTTGGGATTTGGAATCCAAAAAAGTAGATTCCTCACATGGATCCTCTTGAAATGATTGATTTTCGTGTAGTTCCTTGTTCAAACTATAAACAGGTTCCTGACCTTGGGACATATTCCCATTCTTACAAAGCTGATGCTTTCACAGCGCAGCACTTTGGCCACACGTCGTCTCCTCAGAAGAGTGTTGTGACACATGTTGTCGCACTCGAGCAGAAGCTCATGACAGGGCGGCAGTGGATGAAATCTATGGTGATCAAAGCACGGGTCTGCTGCGGTACCTCTAAAACCCCACGGGGATGCATGGAGTGACACACACGCACACAACCAACTTGCAGGGAGCGGTTGTTGACCAGCCGCGCGCTCCGCACACAAAAATCCGCCGCCCGCCGGCCGCCTGGCGTCGACCGGTGTCTCAGCCGAGGTGCCGAGGGTTGGCTGGAGAAGATGAAGGCTGCCGGCGGCCTATCCCAGGCAGAAGGTGAGGCAAGGGAGAGGCCCAAACATGGCCAAAAGGCGATCGTGTTTTTTGGCTTCCCCCCCAGCAAAAAAGACGAAGAAGAAGAAGAAGAAGAAGAAGAAGAAGAGCTAGAAGAAGAAGAAGAAGAAGAGGAAGAGGAAGAAGAAGAAGAAGAGCTAGAAGAAGACACATGCATGGTGGTGTTCCTTTTTGCTATCCCTTTAGAACCACCTCAAGAAACGTCACGCCCATGTCTATGTGTATATATATATATACATATATATATATGCATACACATGTTTCTATATAATATTGGTGCGGACATCCGCCGTTTGCCACGTCTTCTCATGGGTTTTGGGTAGACCATTTTGATGCCATGTTTTGATTGTGACTCACCTGGGTTCCACGCGGAGGAAGCCCTCGATATGGCTTCACCTGAGGGCCAGGTTGTGGGACATGGGAACACATTTCGACTAAGGCAACCCTGTGACAAAGGCACGTCTTTCATAAGGGAATCACCCTGGGAATCACTAAGGGAATCACCCTTTCTTAATGGTGGTTTGAACCCCAGGGATCAGTCATGGGAATCAGAGCCTTTTCACGGGATATCTCGCAACCTTCACTGGCGGATGGCTTGGTGTAACTCAAGCCGAGGCTGGCACAATGCCCAACGTGGTCAGCACGGGGCACAGTGTTCTCGCGAGGCAGACACATGGGCATGTCCCGGTTTTTTTGGGTTTGGCTTGGGCACCCCGAAGCCAATCTTTGGGGTATCTGATCTTGAGAACACGACCGGATCGTAGGCTTGAGATGTGCATGCAAACCAGTGAAAAATATGGTGCAGCAAACGAAATGGGTACCAAGAAAAGCGGATGCGATGTGGATTTGACACGTCTCAAAACCACTTCCATGGACTGACGCTAAGAATGGAAGCCGTTGCCATGTCATGACAAGACTTAAAGCCACTTACATCCGTGGACAGAGTGTCTGCATTGAGGCTACAGCTCCGTGCTTCACGCTTGCGCTCGCAGTTGCCCGGACGCTCGAGCAGGTTTCGCCTTGCAGTGAACTGGGGGGTACGACTCAACCTGGTGGATCATGAGTTTTGGACTCAGAGTGAAGGATTGCTTGGGGCGAATCATTCCCTATGGAACAGGGCATGCCTTCCTTCTCGTATCCGGTGGCAAAGCTTGATGAATGGAAGGCCGAGGGCTTGAGTTTCAGGATCGGGGCAACCACAGCCCGCCAGTGGCCTCGTTTGGGCAAAGGCTCAGCGTCGTTTGGGGCCGTTTCTTCCTTTGCGTGGGTATTTCTTTTTTAAGGTTGGACATTTGGACCCTCAAAATGTGTAGTTTTCCTTTTGGTTTCCTTTAAACCACAGAAAAAGAGGTACCATCAAAAACAGACACACCTTGATGTGTAACTTTGGCTGCCGATCCTCGGCACGATCAGCAAATGATCACTGATGATCATTGTCATCCTTGAGCCAGGTAGCGATGCACCAAATGCCTAGTAGGACTCAACGGCACAATGGGCACAAGGTGCCCCACAATCTAGAGCTCTCTGAGAGGTGGTTGAGTCATCCGTGGAGCCCTGATTCTTTGATGCAGGCTGCCCTGATTCGTAAATCGGAGGTCGAGAAATAGGCTTGGGGTTGAAATCCCCGGTTAAAGTGGCACTTCTTGGCTGAATTCCAGAAGGCGACGCAAGCCTCGCGGAGCAGTGGCTCAAGAGGATGGAGAGAGAGGCGCAGAAGTGCGGATGACTGAAGCATCGTTGGGCTATGTCTCTGTTTGGGGTGCCCCCATTTTGGTGGTTGCTTAGGGAAGCCAAATGGACAACCATCATGTTTTTAGGGGGCGGGAGGTTCTCCTAAGAGACACACCCGTTGCCTTTCTCCGTTGCCCGGATTTTGACAAGTGGTGTATGGTCATTGAGGGAAAGGGGGGCGAGCTCTAAGTTTCCCCACAACCAGGAGAGTCACTGTGTTTCCCACGGTCCTCTTGGGGAAACAAGTCGTTTTGACAGTGGCCTCATGTATTTGCGGGAATCTGATTTGCTGGGCTGACAGCTTTGACTTCGCCAATAGGAAGCACTTTTTTTGAGGCAGTCCAACCTTTGACCGATGATGGCTTCCTTGAGACTGTTGGAAAGAGGAGCACTGGACCACTGGACCTGCTTTTTGGTGAGAGAATCCGAGCACTAGAAAACCACTGGACCTGTTTTGCAGCAGACCTTCCACTCAGGAAAGATTTGGCGCGACGTCCCTCAAACCTCTGAGAACCGCCCAGCCCACGTCGCTTGGACTGCGAATCCGGCCAAAGGGCGCCGAGCCGAACGCCATCTGCTACAACGCCATCATCAACGCGCGGGCGCCACACGCGCTCTGGATTCGGGGGAAGCGGCACGAGCGCGGCAGAGTCGGGGAGATGGACCTGATGGATCCATTCAGCCAGACTGGTGCGGAGAAGTGGGTCCAATTCCGGGTTTTCAAGTGAACGACTCCGGTGTGTGTGTGTGTGTGTGTGTGTGTGTGTGTGTGTGTGTGTGTGCGTGCGTGCGTGAATTTTGAGAAACGCATCTAGTTATACACATATATGTGTGTACACATATATATATATATATATTTGTATACATACACACATAGATAGCCACACACACACACACATGTATTCACATGTGTATATATATATATATATACATATGTGCATAGATAGCCACACACACATATATATATATACATACACACATAGATAGCCACACACACACACATGTATTCACATGTGAATATATATATATATACACATATGTGCATAGATAGCCACACACACATGTATTCACATGTGTATATATATACATATGTGCATAGATAGCCACACATATATATATATATACACCTATATATACATACACACATAGATAGCCACACACACACACATGTGTTCACATGTGTATATACATATATACATATGTGCATAGATAGCCACACACATATGTATTCACATGTATATATATATATATATGTACATATGTGCATACATAGCCACACACATATATATATACACCTATATATACATACACACATAGATAGCCACACACACACATGTATTCACATGTGTATATACATATATACATATGTGCATAGATAGCCACACACATATGTATTCACATGTATATATATATACACATGTGCATAGATAGCCACACACATATATATATATATGTATATATACCTAGATATACATACACACATAGATAGCCACACACACACACATGTATTCACATGTGTATATGCATATATACATATGTGCATAGATAGCCACACACATATGTATTCACATGTGTGGATACACGATATGTATGGATCCCCACGGGGAGGGAGACCTGCATCCATCGCCCAGAGGGGCTCTGAGTCGCTGAGGCTTGGTGCAAGGAGGGCAATGCCCGCCGTGCCGTGCGGGGCCCGGTTTCGGGGCCTTTGGGGTTCCCTTTGGGTCCCGTTTGGGCGAGTCAATTGGCTTCGTGACAGGACATTCTGCGGGAGAAACGCCGATGTAGGGCGTTTCAGGGCCATTTCCGGTAGACTTTCCTGCAACGAAACCCTTTGTGAATCTTGGGAGTTGGAAGCCTTTCTGTGGCGGGTTGGACCTTTGTATCCCCGAAGTCTGATGTGTCCACTATTCAAATTGGTACCCATGGGTGTTTCTGACATGGCACAACTAAAGATGGTGTTCCTGTGGGTTTCCCTTCCAACCCGACAAGGGGACTTACCCCTTTGAAGCATGCCCTATGGTTTCCTTTAAGGGCATCAGGTTCATTCGCAAGCCCTCACCAGCAAGACAAGAGAGATACCCATTGGGTCATTTGGAAAAGCGTAGTTACTGGGCGTTCGCACGCTTGGAGATCCTTGTGGCATTTTCAAGATGTGCACAGCATCTAGATTGAAATGGGTGGCGCGGCCTTTTAAGGTGGGCACGGTTTTCCTTTTGGTTTCCCTTTAACACCAGCCAAACAGGGGTACCTCCAAAAAAACATCGACACCCACAAAAAGCGCGTGCCATGCTTGGAGCAGCTCAACCTTGCGCTTGCCCTTGAGAAATCCTTTGGAAGGCCAAAAGCTCTTGACCCATATCGACAGTGGAAATTAATCAGAAAGCTGATTCTCCAACTCCTTTCAATCTGATTTACAACACCTGGCTAGAGCCAGGCCGCGGTTGCATAGATGGCTGTGGGTCAAAGTAGGTACCCAAGATGGAGCCCTGGTAAAAACATGGACTAAAACCTGTGGTCTGGTGGTTTAATTCTGACGCATACCCAGATGAAGCTGCTGGCAGCTGCTTTTTGGCAGACATGGCACCCTTCCCACGTCACCTCCGAGTCCGAGTGGGTTTTTTCGGGGTTCCCCGGGCTCCGTTAGGCTTACTGGCTGGAGCAGATGTCCCACCGTGGCGCCCGGAGCTTGGAGCGCCAGCCGTCTGCCGACGGCAGATCGAGCGTGTTGAACCGATAGGACCCCACAGAGTCCGATGGTTCGCACGACACAGGACCGTCGTCGTCGTCGTCGTCATCATCATCGTCAATATCATCATCATCATCATCATCATCATCATCATCATCATCATCATCATCATCATCATCATCATCATCATCATCATCATCATCATCATCATCATCATCATCATCATCATCATCACGCTTCCTCATTCCTTTTTCACCATCCTTTTTCACCATCCTTTTCTGACTCACTGTCTCTTGTTTATTCTCTTTGCCAACGCCGTGTTTGGCTCCAGATCAAGCTTTAGTCCTGAAGAACAATCATTTGTCGTTGCCCGAATCATGGCACAAAGCGTGTCGTCCTTTCTGATCTCCCGCTTGCGGGACTTGAACGTGCAGCACGTCTTCGGCATTCCTGGGGATTACGTCTTGCCTTTTTTCGATCACCTGATCGAAGAGGGAAGCCCAATCCATCACGTTGGTACCTGCAACGAGCTGACGGCTGGATACCTGGCAGATGGGTACAGCAGAATCAGGGGCTTTGGAGTCGCTGCAGTGACGTTTGGCCCGGGCGCTTTCAACGCAGTGAATGCGGTGGCCGGTGCATATGATGCATGCGTCCCTATGCTCTTAGTGTCGGGTGCCCCACCAACAGCAGAATATCAGTCCGGGAGAAAGCTGCAATTGCATCATTCCGTTGGAGGCGACTTGAGTGCGACACTTCGTGTTTTTACGCCGATTACGGCTGCAGTGGCTCGCATAGATTCTGCGGAGGAGGCCGTGGCGACCATCGACCGGCTGCTCCAGGTCGCTTTGGATCAGAAGAAGCCAGTGTATTTGGAGATTCCCTATGACATGCAAAAGGCCAGAATTCCGATGCCTGGGCCCTTCACTTACCAGGCCCCTTGCGGAGACCAGCAATTGCTTCGTCGGGTGGTGGATCAAGTTGCCGCGGCGGTGAACAAGGCCGAGAAGGTGGGAGTCTTGGTGGGTTTGTTCGTGGACCGTGACGGGCTTGAAGATGTGGTCGCAGAGATGCTTGAGAGCAGCAACCTGCTCTTTGCAACGACGTTTGCCCAGAAAGTCGGCTACTTGGAACACCTTCCGAACTGCGTGGGCTGCTACCAGGGCGCCACTTCTCCCGAAGTGCTCGATGCCACGGAAGGTGCCGACATACTCCTTACCATTGGCATGCCCCGAGCGGAGTTCGATCTTCTTGGAAGCACCGGCTTCAAAGAGGAGTGCGTGATTGAGCTGGGTCATGACTCGGTGAACTTGCAGGGTACTGTGGTGCCGGGCATTTACTTGCAACAGCTGCTGCCTTGCCTTGCCGCGCAGATCACCCCGCGTGCGAAATCTGAGGTGGAGGACACATTTGCTTTCAGCTACACCAGGCTGCCCGCCAACCCCGAGAGGAAGCCCCTGACCATGGACTTCATGTACCAGCAGCTTGCACACTTTGTGCAAGAGGGCGACATCGTTGCAGGCAACACCGGTGGCTATGTCAGCATGTCAAGGATGCGCCTGAAAAAAGGCACTGTGACAGCAGGACCTGGGAACTGGGCATCTTTGGGCAGTGCGTTCCCGATCTCGATGGGTATGGCCTTTGCGGCGCCTGAGCGTCGTGTTGTGTGTCTGGACGGAGATGGTTCTTTCCAGATGACGGGCATGGAGCTGGGCACTTTGCTGCGGCACAACCTGCGCTTCATGCTTATCATCCTGAACAATTCGGGGTACACCGCCGAGCGGGTCATCCACCCGGAGCGGGAGGACTCATACAATGACATCCAGGTTTGGAACTACCACCTGCTGCCAGAGGCTTTGGGTGCCGGAAAAGGTATTGGCGTCGAAGTGTCCACCGAGACCCAACTCTGCGAGGCGCTGACTTCATACCAGGGCGATGGGCCGTGCGTGCTGAATGCCAGGTTGGACAAAATGGATGTGCCAGAGTTCTTTCAGAAAATGGGCGACATGCTTCGCCACTAATTAATTTGTTCTTCAGTTCTGCTGTTCTCTGCGTGCTTCCATACAGGCGTTGGACCCAGAGAAAGCCCGAGCCGCTCTTAGCCAAACTCGATTTGTACAGTGGAGCTGCTTGTGACACCGTACTCAAGGCCGTGTACAGAACGAGGCCGTGTGTTTGAGCAAGTCCGGCAACTTGTGCTGACTTGAAAACAAATTTCTTCGCCAATGCGCAAAAAGGCCAGAGGAGCAGCACCGGCGACCGCTGCAACCCCTGTAAGTACCACCCACAACCGTTGTGGTTTCAACTTTCAACACTAGTTTCCAAGCGGCGCGACACGGATTTCTGGGCAACTGTGGCGACAACTGTTTCTTCACAGGGATTTCAGGGGGGCAAAGGAGCAATGGACGGCCATTTTGGTCTCAGGGGAGCCGCAAGAAACGATCTTTGGCGCCCATTAGGACATGCAGCATCCAATTTCGGAACCCAGCAAGAACTCAAACGAGTCACCCAAACGGGAGAGGTTTCGTTCAGCCCTTCTAAGGTATCCCTTTAGCTGGTGTGGCTTGCTTCGGGTTTTGGATTGGAACCCCTGGTTTTGGTGGGTAAATGGATAAGCAGACCTCCAAACTGGGCGTCTCTTTTTGAGGTGCCCTTGTTTTTTTTTTTTTGGGGGGGGGGCTTAAAGGAAAGCCAGCAAACAGGATTCCGAAACTCACCGGGGCTCGGAGGAACGCAGCGCTCGGCTTTTAGGTGCAGCCCACGGTGAACAGCTACAGCACCATCATCGACAAGTTGGCCAAGGCGCGAAGCGCGGCGCGTCCGGCGCGTCGCGAAACGCTGGGCGAAACGCCTAGGACTCGGACCCTGACAGAATTCGGGGAGATGCCTGCGAAATCAAACGTTTTTTTTTTTTTTTAGCAAGTAATATATATATATATATATATATTATTTTTTTCATTTTTTTTCCTCCGGGGGGCCAACCCGCTGGACATCAGAGGTTTCGGTGGGGGTTCATGTCCACCAACCACTTTTGAGGTGGTTCCCACACTGCAAAACTCGTAGCCGAATCCAGCCAACAGAGGTCCGTCGATTTTTTCTGTGGCCAGCGATCATTGAGTTGATGGCAATCAGTTCGGATCTCTGTGTAAGAGGTTGGTTTGGCTGGTTGGCTTCTCTGGGCATTCTTCCCAGACCAAGAGGCAGTGCACGACTCTGGCACATTTCTGCTTGTATTTGGTGTGTGGGTGTGTCTATATGTTTTCAGGTACCCTTTTGGGGCTTTAGAGGGAAAACCAAAGGAACCCACCATTGTGAGGGGTCCCTAAAAAAGACACACCCATTTGAACACGGCAAGCATGTGCCACCACTAAATACAGTATCAGCGTTGCCAGGCTTGTCGTCAAGATGTGACCCATGATATCTCCCCATCGCACACGCGAAACTCGAAGTTTCCCGTATTTCTGGAGGTTTGTCAATTCGGCACCCCTTTTGATACGCCCTTGAAAAGGCGGCTTGAAAAGGCGGCACTGGGGTCCTTTTCAAGGGGCCATCCTTTTGAGACCCTCCATTGACGTAGACTCCATTTGCACGCTACAGGATCTAGATGGCTTGCCAGTGCAATGTGGGAGCTTCTCTGATGGAAATGGTTCCTTTTGCTTGGTTGCACTGGATTTTCATGAACATCATTTGGATTGCTGTGAAACACAACCCCTTTGGGTCACTATATGGGGGTGTCTTTTTTGAGGGTACCCTTTTTGGCAGGTTTCAAAAGGACACCAAAAGGGGGGGACCGCTCATTTTATGGTGTCTCCTTAAAAAGGGACGCCCGGAGAACAACCGGTAAGCCGCCTTGGTTTGTTTTTGCAGGCCGGTGACATCGACGGGGCCGAAGACTGGCTGACTCGCATGGCTGAGGCAGGCACTCAGGGTCTGAGAACCATTTGGATGGCTCATCTTCCAGAGCAACGCAACTGCATAGAAAGGCCTTGCAGGCGCTGCCCAGGCTCCACCCTTGGGCGAAAATGCACCCAGGTCTTCTTGTGAAACATCCTTTGAGTGAGCCTCAGTCAGAACTCGGGTCATTTGGTGAAGGTTGGTAAGGGACAGTGAATGGTTCTGGGTAGATCATGTCAATACCAGGTGCTGATTCTTGAAGTAGGGTTCCCTGCATTTCCCCTCAAAACATCACCCCTACCAAGGGAAACTCACCTATGGGCCAACAAGGTGATGTTTAAAGCCAAAACCGGAAATTAAAAAAGGGGGTGCCAACTCAAAAATTAAACACTCATTTGCCAAGCGGTTGAAGTGGTTGAAGTCAACAGGTAGGTTTGGGCGTGAAAACCCTATTTCGACACATGCCCACATGGTGGGGCCAAAGTCGGCATGTCGTTGGTGGAAGTTTTCTGGAAGGCTCACTGGTGGAAGAGGCACTTAAGAGATCAGAGGTGGTTTTCTTCCTGTCGCCAGGGGATTTATTCAAGGGCTCTCTCAGAATTGCAACCGTTGGACAGGTTTTGGAAACAACATGCATTTGGCTTTGCCGAAGGCCGCTCTTCACTAATGCCATGCCTTTTTGTCCAATTGATACCATCATTGCTCAGCATTATACACGTTGGCTTCTGTTCAGTCACTACTACATCCCTGTGGCGGCCCGCCCCGTTTTGGAGTGCGAACCAGGTCAATGGGAGACTGCCATACCTACTGGACAACCAATCAGGTGAATGTGTTCAGCCGCTCATATTCCCGGTTTAAGCAAGTCAAGGTTGGCAAAGCTTGTTCAATCAGTCCCTCGCATTGGAAGAGAAGCCAACTTTGGAGGTTGAGACACGGGTCGTTACATCAATTGACGGTCTGGACGGGTTGCCCGAAACAGACAGGGCAACTTGCTTCAGCGGCCCTGACAGGGGGAATGCACGGATTTGATGTGTATCTTGTTCAAAAAACCACATGCAAGCTCGCGAACGTAATTGGATTATGCTGTCTCCATGAAACATGCCACAAAATAGACGACTCTCACGTTGTCAACTTGTGGGAGACTGGCATATTCACTTTGTTTTTTTTGCGGTGTTTCGCGAGCCCCGTCCTTTTCAAATGAGCCCCGGCAGTGTTTTGTGACGTTTTCAAACCACTGAATAACAAGTTTCTCGTGAGAAACAGTTGTTTTCCCAGTGTTTTTGCTCGATGACCATCCTCATCACCGACAAAGCAGGCAGCCACAACAAAACCGCAGGCAGCGAAAGCAGCTGCACGAGGACAGCAAGACCTGCCCAGAGCAATGAGCCACAATCGGAATTGATGCCAGAGAAGGGGAAAGCAGGGGCCAAGGCCTGCGCAGTCAAAAGGAAACCGCTCCAGCGGACACGCACGAAACCAGGATAGGGTCGTGTGACTGCGTCACCAAATCGAATAGGGAGTCCAAGTATAAAATGCAAATTTGAAAGAAAGGAGCAAGCACAGGATGAGCCGCGAACAAAGACAACACGCCTGCCAAGCGACACAGGAGCACAAGACCCAAGGCAAAATGGGCATCATCTGACCTGAGCATGAGAAGTAATGCTGCGGGTCCAAGACGCAGTACCATGTTCTGCGATCATCCCCCGCCTCCCCACCCCCTCCCACTCCCCACCCCCTCCCCACTCCCCAACCCCCATCCCCACTCCCCACCCCCCATCCCCACCCCCCATCCCCCCCCCACACTCCCTCCCCCCGACATCTCCGAGCAAACTCCCCAAGCCATGATATGTTTAAACATGATGTCATCGTGTCGGGGAACTTAAACATGACATCTTGTCGGGGAACCCCCCGTCTGGAGGGTCAAATCAAAACCCGGGTAAGTGAAGGTTAGTAAGGGACGATCCCAGCCATAAATAGCTGCGGCCGCCTTCTTAGTTCTTTACATGGTTCTTGGTCGACCATTTTGTGTAGCGGGTTTTGATTGACTCAATTGGAGTCGAATCGCCTAGCCAGAAAGCAACGCGTGTCCTCCGTTTGCCAGGCTGGAGTTGAGGCGGATGCCGTGAGCTACAACATGCTCTTCAGCGCCTGCAGCAAGCCCTCCGGCCGCAAACCCGCATTTTGTTTGACGTGTTTGCCGCTTTGCCCAAGCGGTCAGATAGTCAACCACCCACCCAACCAACCACACAACCAACCAACCAACCAGCCGGCCGGCCGGCCGGCCAGCCGGCCGGCCAGCCAGCCAGACCAATCCCTACTTGTTCAGTGTCACTCATTCTTTTTCCCTTTTTGTTTGGTGGGTTCAAGGCCCACGAAAACGGAATCAATCCCAAAGAAAGAAATGGCTCTGTTTTCTACCTCTTGGGTCGCTGGTTCCAACTGGGATGAGCTGCATTTCTGCACTTCTCGCTGCTGGTGTTGTCACTGTATCCAGTGAGTTTTGCACAAAACAGAAGTCGCTGCATTTGCAAAGAAACGCTTAGGTTTAAGCCTTAAGAAAGCACTGGGTGTGCGTGTGTGTGTGTGTGTGTGTGTGTGTGTGTGTGTGTGTGTGTGTGTGTGTGTGTGTGTGTGTGTGTGTGTGTGTGTGTGTGTTTGTGTGTTTGCGTGCTGACACATGTTGGCGGTGAGTGTTTTGAGAAACGTGCATCGTCTCCAGTCCACAATTTCGTGGAGTCGTGCACAGTCGTACGCAATTGTGTTTTTGGAAAGGCCGCCATCATTCCCCCTTGTGCGAAGGCAAGCATTCGTCAGAATCTAGAAGATTCATGCGCCTCTTTGTTGCACATCTTTCATGCCAAAGGCATACGTCGGTACCGGGCCTCAAAAAAAAGACAAAGACATCCACAGCCACAGGACTGGTGACGCTGCCCGTGCTGGCACCTGAGACTGCGGATCGGATGTGAATCCAAGTTTTTGGCAAAACAGAAGTCGCTGCATTTGCAATGAGCCGCTTAAGTTTGAGCCTTAAAAAAGAAGCACTGTGTGTGTGTGTGTGTGTGCTGACGGCGGTTTCCCCGCTTTCCTTTTTGTCCAGCCTGCAAGCTACCGATTGGCCCGGACATCGGCTACGTGGTTTGGTGTGCAGCTTCCAGGGTGGGGTCAAAAGGGCCCCTGGGGCCCAGAGAAAAAATCCCCAGCCCTGCAGGGTACCCAGAAAAAAAAAGAAGATCCCAGGGCTGGGGAGACCTGGCTCGTTTTTCTTCGAGGGCTGCTGGGCAGTTGATCTCTGTGGGATCCGAGGCCTCGAAGCTCTTTGACCAGATGTTGAAGCGCCGGGTGACTCCGAGCCGCCCTGAGAAAATGCGAGCCGAACCGAGAACCGAAACTCGCTCCAAGTGTCGAAGGAGCGAGGGGGATCCAACTCCAAAGGAGTTGGCTTTTCCTGTGGGTTTCCTTTTACGCCAAGGTGAAAAGGTGACCAAGTGCCGCATGCTTTGCAGTTCGGCCTGGCTTCGGGCATGCCGGAGCAGCAAGACAGCAAGACATGATAGAGCAGGCGCCAGCCACAGCTATGCTGACTTTTGGCCGCTGAGGAACACAATTTGCTTCAACCTGCTGATCAATGCCCATGCTCGACAGGCTGCGGTATTTGATTACAGGGTCAGTAGGCATTCTGAGGCGTTGTTTGCCTGAAAGCATCTTTCATTTTGTACGGGCGGCCAGAGGATGGGCGATTCATCCCTACTGTTCTTCAGTGTGGATGCTTTCCTTTTGCGGTACCGCCCAGGGGTCCCAATTCCACCACTTTTCCATACGGCCAAAGGCCCGGTGTCCACCCCAGCCGCCGCCTTTCCCAATGTGTGTCGTTCTACGTGCGGGTGATTTGGGGGTTTCTCAGAAGAGAGCAAACCGCCCCCAAGGAACCCCAAGATAAGAACCACCCCCGTTTTCAAAGGCCCGATTCCTATGTTGAGAAACATCCCCGCCATTCTTTGGGTGTGTCTCTTCATTGAGGGCAGGCCTTGTCTTGCGGTTTTAAAATAAACCAAAATGAAAAAAACGAAAGGCGCCATTTCGGGGCTCGCAAATCCCGAAAATAGACGAGCCACCCATTTTTATTGCTCTCCTTTTCCCCGTGTTCGAGGCGGACGTGCAGGGAGTGCTGCGCCGTCTCCGGCAGATGCGGGACTGCGGCATCCAGGCGGACCGCGTGAGCTTCAACACCTCTCTCAAGGCGGCGGTCAGGAAAAAATCGCTGCGGATCGATCCGATCGGCGCGTCTTTTTGTTCTTCTTCCTTTGTTGTTCGGATAAAACTTGAAAAGTGGTCGGTTGCACGTGTTGTCTTATGTTTTGGTTGGTTGCATGTTTCTTCTTTTGTTTGGGGGGTGGAGGCTCTTGGAATTACTTGTGGGGATTCTGCAAAAAACAATCGTGTGGTTGCATTTTTGAGAGGTCTTCAACATTACTTCTGTGGGACATCCTTTTACGCCACCATGGTGCTTGGATATTCCTGAAAACATGTCACTTCAATAGACCCATGGGCTTTGTGAGAGAAGAGTTCCGGCCGACTCCGGGCTGCCGACTAGAAGAATGTGATTCGCCCCCCCGATTGTTAGGAGCTTTGTCTTGCTGATCTCCAAAAGGACTTGAACTGGGGCGGTTCACTCAAAGAAAGGAACACCCGTGTTCAATGCAGTGTGGGGGTGTCCAAACGAAATTCTCGGTAAGGGTGATGTTTCGGGGGAAATATGGGTTGGTCCAAAAACTGGGTGAACCTCCCAAATCACACCATCCTGAACTCCCCGAAAAAGAATTTGGGTATGTGTTTTGTTGAGGGTACCCTTGTTTAGGTTGGTTTTAGCAGAAACCAAAAGGACAACCACCATCTTTGGCCGCCGAATCCCTATTTTGACACATATCCATTTGTGTCTATTATGCAGGGAACCCCCAAACATGTTGGTTTTCCTTTTGGTTTCCACTCAACAACCACCAAAGAGGGGGGGTACCCTCAAAAACGACACGGCCACATATCCATGTGTCCCATCTGATCCGTGATCCGAACCACGCCCTTTGCCCGGTGCCAAACCAGGCCTTTGCCCGGTGCTCTGACCCCAAAGCCGCCGAGCGGCTGCGGGGGTGCTCGGTGATTCGGGCCGGGGCACACCCTGAACTTGGCGGCTCCTTGTCAGCCATCCGGTTCTTAGGCTTGTAGTTGTTTTTAGTTGGTGAAAGTTGGTAGAGTTTCCGAGTGCAACCCACTAAAAGTTTAAAACTTTGAGCAGGGGATATGAGGACAGCCCAGTGAAATGGATGCGGAGTCTGTCCTTGTTAGGGAAACAAGACACACCCATATGTACTGTGCTCGGATTAAATCCAGAGGACCATGCTGATCAGGGGCGGATCCCCTTTTGGAAAGAGAATGATCTATTAAAGGGGGTTCTCCGGTTCGGGTTCCTCAGGAATAATCTGAAGATAGTTCTATCTGTTTTTTCGTCGAATGGGGAAACTCACAACATGTTGCGGTTTGTTTATGGATTTCGTGCAAGCGCAACCCAAAAAAGGCACCCTTTAAAAAACCTTCGTTGTTAATCCGCGAGATCCTTCTGCCAGATGGTCGTGGTGCTCCCTTGTTGTACTTGTGTCCCACTACGGATTGCGGATGAGGATGACGGATCCCCCAAAGAAATCGCTCCAGACTTCAGATGTTCGAGGCAAGGGAACGGTTCACCCCTTTGGTTTGCGAGAGACAATGAGGCTTGATGTCAGACAACTTGCTGGGATAGGTAGGGAATGCCCTTTGTCCGGGTGTTGGTGGAAGGAACCAGTGTTGGGGATTCGCGAAAGGATACCAAATTGGGGGTGTTGAAATCGGGGTCATTCCATTTCTCATTCCCTGCCATGATGTTTTGTGGTGGTTGCCCTAGTGGTCACTAGCCATGTAAAGGACCTTTGGATCAACCCCCCCATATAGTGGGTAACCAGCCATTTCCGACGTTTTTTTTTTTTTTTTTTTTTAAATATATATATAAAATAAATGATGGTTCCTTGGTTTCCCGACACAGGCAACTGGATCCAGTGGGCAGAGTGGTTCTGATTTTCACAGGCAACAGTCCGTTATCTTTGATGGTCTGCTCGGGGAGGGTCGCAACCTCCGGGCCGCTACTCTCTGCGTGTCGGGGCTTCCTGATGCAAAGGCTACATTACAAGCATTTGAGCTAGCCAACCCGAGACCAAAATCATCTAGGCCCTTACGTTACCCAGAGCTTGTTGAAAAGGAGAACCAAAAGGACAACCCGCCCATTTGGGGATGCGGACGGGTCCCCTTGTAGTAGATTCCTGCATGTTCTGGCCGAACCTCTGAACATTGGGGCCATAGTAGCGATTGCATGGCCCGACCCGAGTCCAAAAAAGTATTTGCGCCCTGGAGCACTTTGTGGCCGTTGTGGTTCACGCAGAAGGTACAAGGAACACCCACCCACTTTGGGTGGTTTGGGGTTGAGGACTTGAGGCGATCCAAACAACCACAGGATCACACCCAAAATTTTGCTTGTTTGTCGCAAGCAGATGCACCCCCTCAACAACATCGTAGCTGTTTTGCTCTAGTGGCACCTATGTCAGGAAACGCACAGGTTGTAGTTTCTGTGGGAAGATTGGCAGGCACCTGTCAAGGCATTTGGGATCCGCAGCCATGACAGGGGCTCAGGGCTGAAGATCTCATGGCATGCATCAGGTTTTGCCTTCTGGCAAGTGGGTCGAAAATAGGTACCCACAATGGGATCCTGGTAAATGCAAACATGGACCAAAACCCGTGGTCCTTTGGTGGTTTGATTCTGACCCATACCCTTGTGACACAGACATATGATGAAAGTAGCTAAGGATCAAGGTGAACTTGCCTGTGCCTACCACTTTTGGGTGACTTCGGTAAAATCCATGACGGTGTTGTTTGCCACGTTTTGCCAAAAGAATGGCAGAGCCTGAGGCAGAGCTTCTGAGAAGCGAGCCATGGACCTATCCCGGCGCCATCCGAACGGATGATGCGGAAGTCCTAGCACCAGAGACATGTGAAGTCGTCAACGACCTCGCGGCCGCGGTGGAAATCGACTGCGGGCTCCGGGATGGCTGGCAGGTGCGCTACCCGCACTCCACGCTTCAAGTTGAGGCCTCCGGCGACCTGAGAGTTTCCGTCAGGCTGCGCGATGACCCCAAAGTGGCGGGCTCTCGCGCCGTCGGCGGCGGGAGGTGGCTGCTGTCGCAGGACTTCCAGCCGTTCGGCGCCGACGCGGCGCGGGTCATCCGAGAGGAAGAAGAGGCTGCCAAGAGGGAAAGCGCGCTGCAAAAGCAGCGGGAGCACGAACTTGCCGGAGAGCATCAGGCCAGAGTGAGCGATGAAATCCTTGGGAAGCAAACGCTGCTGTTGTTGTTAAGCACCTTCATCCTTAGCATTTTCCTTGGATCCATGGTCTTTTGCGCAGTGTGGTCCGTTGAGAAGAGACCAGACCAAGTCCAAGCGATTGGCCTCGCCGTGGCTGCGCTGCTTCTCTGGTGCTTCGCTTGCGGCGGAGGCTTCAGCAGCTTTCGGCTTGCCCACCATGACGCGACTTTGAGCGACGACGACTGGCGAGCCGCGAGCTCCAGCGGTTGCTTCCTGTGCTGCGTGCCCTGCGTGGGCCTCGGCTGCGTGGTGGCAATGACCGTGGCCTTCAGCGAAAGCTCCGCGGTGGCGCTGGCGGTGCTGTGGCCTCCTTTGGGGTTGTTCCTCTGCAGCTGCTGCGGCGCCGTGTGTTGTCAATGCCTGGGGAACGAGACGTGGACCGACCGGGCGGGCGAAATTGCGGTGACCTTGATCTCTTTGCCGGCGCTGATCCTCGAGACCTGCTTCAGCATGGTCGGTATCGAGGGCTCGAAGCAGATTCGTGCCGCCCAAGGCTCCTTGGACGCGGCGCTGCGCGCCAACCAGCGCACGATCGCCTTCGAGGGCAGCGTGCTGCCAGGCCAAAGCACTGTCACCTCCTGGCCTGGCAGCTATGAATCCGCGTGGGATGGTGCGTGCCAAGATCAGCTTAGCGCGGCCGTGGTGTTTCTGCCGAAAGGTTCACGGCACTTCGGACATCATGACGCCATCCCGGCGTCGCCCGAGCTGCAAGATCTGCAGGGCTCTTGCTGGTGTTTTCCCCTTTACGGCGAGCAGAAGGAGTGGGGCTGCCGGTGGTGGACCCGCTGGATCCAGAACGTAGAGACAGCAGTGCAGCAGAATTGCACTCTGGAGGTGTACTATTCTGAGGGCAAGGTCGGCAGGGGCAAGGTGAAGAGTTTCGACACTGCCGGGGCCGAGCACTTGCGCAGAGCACAGATTCTCAGGAAGAAGCCCATCTTCGAGAGCTCCGACCTCTTCAAAGAAGCAGCAGGCCTTGAGCACCTCTCCCAAGAACGCGGGCCAGACTCCTCCTCCCCCCACTCCAAGGAGGTCCATCGGCTCTTCCTCTCCTGGCTGCCCGAGGAGGAGCGCCGCTGCCTGGAGGACGCCGAAGGCCTCGGAGAGTCCCAGAAAGCCGAGGTGGCGTGGCTGGAGCGGAAGAAGTATCCCTACGTGGAACGGGAGGTCTCACTCGCGGCTTCGCCCACGGCGATAGGTGCCAGCAGCCAGGGATTGGGCGTGTGAAAAGCCGGTCAACACCTGTGTCCACTTGTTGTCTAAGTCTGTTTCAAGACACGAAGTAGCCTTTGTTTTGGGTTGCTTCACAAGTTTTGAGTTGACTTTTGTTTTGTATATTGACGCAGGTGTCGCCATCAACGTTCCTTGCCACAAGGCAAGTTGCAACATGCCAGAAACAGATGGCACCTGCAGCAGCCGCCGTGCCCGCCCACAACAGGGCCAGCGCCCTGCGCGGTTGGTTTTTGCGCCTGCTCGCCAAAAGCAAGCGCATGCCTGTGCCGCAACGAGGTGCCACAAGCAGGCGGTTTCGCGTTTTTCCGGTCATTTCGGTTGGGTAGTTTGGGTTGCTCAGGCTGGAGGAGATGCAAGCGGTCGGCCTGAAACCCGACGCCGGAGGCCCGATTAGGCCGAGGAGAGCGTAGCCTTGTCATGCATTTGTCCGACCAGAAGGTTTTGCAAGGCGGGGCCCTGATTGAGGAGCGATGAGCAACCCTATTGCTTTGTTGTCCCTCCTTTTGGGGGCTTGCTCATCCATTCAAAGCATGTTTGCGCTCGGCCGGAAACTGCACATGTCCCTCTCCCGACGGTTTGCTTTGAGCCCGCTCCACAAGGGAAATGAAGCCAAGGGGAAGATGTCAATTTGATGTGGCTGCGGTGCCTGGAGTTGCAGACCTCTGGGTTGTTTTTGCGGCATCCAGGTTTAGTCTGACCGGCACCCTGCCGGGTTTTGGGGTTTGGCTTGCTATTGGGTCACCATAGGATTTCAAACAAGAAACGGGGCCGGGGGGGGGGGGGGTTAAAGGGAAAGCAAACACACAATTCTAGGGGTTGATTCGCCATTCTTTTCAAACATCGTTCTTTTCAAAAACCGCCCGTTTTTTTTCTTATTTTTTTCTTTTTCTCTTTATGGTTTCCTGAAAAGAAGGATCCCTGGCAAGAATGGGGACGGTACCCCTAGAACAATCTCACCACTTTGCGGGTCCCTGCTAAGGCACACCCTGTTCGGCAGAATTTGCATGTGGCTCAGGTCGCCACCTACAACACCTTCATCGCCATGTGCATGCGCGCCAAGGACCCTTTTCCCCGGCCGAAAACGGGTAGACCGCCGTGGCGTGTGTCGAAGGCACCTCCGCTTTGGAGGACTTCTTTGTGGGAGTTACGTTGGCCGCGTTGACATCCATGGGGGGGTTGAGCTTCCCTTTTTTCTTTGGGACACGTTTTTTTTGGAACAACCACACCAAGAGGAGTTCGTGCTTTCCAACATCTTAGCCAAGTTATGGACACCCACCGAGCGGCACAACCCCTTTCCTTTCGAGAGGCCACGGGCTTCTGATTTTTCACAAGGGGCACACGCCCTCAGGTCACCCTTAATTGAAGCCCTTCTTGTAGAGGCTACATGGGGTTTTCTTCACCTCCAAACCGATTCGGCTCCGAACCACCCTCTTTGAGGGAAGCTGACTTCAGCTGAGTGGCTGCGTCTCAAAATGATGGGGAGAACCCAAAGTCATCTGGCCATGGGTCAAAACCCCGTACCCGCAGTGAACATCCCAATCCCCACCAAAATAGGTTCTAAAATGGGTGGTGAATTCACCTATCCCAAAATGAGATCTCATTGGTTTGACCCACAGCCATATAAAGAATCTAGCCAGAAATAGCTGCGAATATCCGCCTTCTAAATTCTTGAAGCATGGTTCTGGGGATCGACCATTCTAATACCGGGTTTTTTGGGATCCTGATTTGACTTTGGCCCTTTATCCCTAGAGCTTTCAACCATCCAGGACCATCTGCCTGCCCATGGCTGGTTTTGGGGTTTTGAGCAAGTGACTCAAATAGGTTCTAAAATGGGTGGTGAATTCACCTACCCAGGTGCACATCAAACCCCAAAATCTCAAATAGGTTCTAAAATGGGTGGTGAATTCACCGAAAACCAGCAAAAATGGGTGGTCCCAAACTGGTTTTATTCACCTACCCCAAAATGGGATCCCATTCTCCCAAACCCCCCCAAAAAAACCACAAAAACCCAAACATGGTGCACCTCAAACCCCAAAATGGGATCCGATCCAAACCGGTTTCGACCCAAAGTCCTCTGCCCATTTCGAGGACGCCCAGCGCGCTGAGACTTGGCTCTGCCGCATGGCCAGCGCCGGCGTCAAGGCGCGGACCGTCGGCGCAAGCGTCAAGCGGTCTTCGTCTTCGGCGGTGGCGGTGCAGCGCTGTAGGGATTGTTTTTTTTCCCCAGCTGAAAGCTTTGGGGTCTCAGCCCATGCTGTTGCGGATATCACCTGAGCTACTTTTTTTTGGGTGGGGAAGGGGAATGGCCCCCCCGCAGAAAAGGGCCAAGCGCTTTTTTCTTCTTCTTTTCTTCCCCCGGATTTTTTCCCCTTTGGTTTCCCTTTACCCCCCCACCAAAAAAAGCACACAAAAGAAACAACAACAAAACGGGTACCCCTAAAAAAGAAGACAGACTCAATGTACGTGAAGGGAACATTGAAGCCAGATTTGTGCACAAACAGTCGCCCCTAGTCATGGATTTTCATGGCTTTGTCCGGAAGTGCGACGTCAGGCCGACGCTGTGAGCTACTGCACCATGCTGGGGCCCAAGGGATTTTCTGGACTCCAGTGGAAACCATCAGATGGGAAGACGATCTCTTGTTTGTCCGAAACTGGTGGGCGTGTCTTTTTCGAGAATGTCCATTGCGGGGTTGTTTCAAAGGCAAAGGGATCCGTCCGCGGGAGACAATGACGGAGTGTTGGAGTTGGCACCGTTCTTGTGAGAAACCGACACCCCTGGATTCTTTTTTGTTTGTTTGTTTCTGCCACGCTCTGAAGATCAGAATGCCTGGAAAGAATGGGATCCTGATGCCAGTGCAAATTCCAAAAGAACAGTGGCAGAAGTTTAAAAAAAATGGGGCCCCGGAGTCGCCTTGCAGTGCCCTGGTCATCCGTTTTCTCTCCCCAGTCTCAACGCTTCGCTTCGTCTTGAGACAGGTCGTCATTGCCCGCGATCTGAGGATCGACGCCTTTGCGCAGAGCGGCGAGTTGCCAGCAGCTCAGGGGGTGTACCCAGCCGCAGCCTTTGGTTGGGTTGGGCGGTAGTTGGTTCTCCCCCCGGGAGGCAAAGCCCGGGCTTCGAAGGTTTCTGGACCATTTTCCGCTGGGGACCGTTTGGTGGGTTCCAGGTTAGTGGGTGGTCACATGTTCAGATTTTCTTTAGGCTGGTTGGGGGCTCAGGTTTCCTTCACAAGGATCCAGATAGTTGGAAGTTTGAATGGAAGGAACCACGCCTTGGCTTCATTGGGATATTCTGCTAATTGTTCCTGCCCGCATGCATTTGGTTGTAGCATATGTCGACCATCCTCTCCTTTTGTTTATTTCGTGTCTTAGCATAGAGGAGCTCCTAGCCGGTCCACTTCCATGAGTGGCAAGAGGGTTGTATGCTTGAGAGTTGGCAGCCAACCACAGAACCAGGGGCTTGAATTGGGGGTTTCCGTTCGGCCCCCAAAGGACCATGGGTAACTTTTTCCATTTAGTGGGAAGTATCATCTTTTTAGCGGTTTCCCCCAATGTTTTTTATTTTTCCCAAGCTTGATCAATTTACGGTGGCTTCCATCCAACCGATCGTTACTTTTGGAGGTTCCAAGAAGGGAAATCGATCAACTCCCAATTGCCGAACACTGCTTGTGAGTGTGAAACTTGGCCGACGCCCGCTGCAGGCACCGTGCAGAGCAATGGCCGGTGCCTCAATCTTGGGGGTGGGGCTTGCTTGGGTCTGCGCGGGTGCCAGGATTCTTGTGGGCACCCCCAAAATTGTGCCTTTCCTTTGGTTTGACTTTCAAAGGCCAGCAAAAAAGAGGCACCCCCCCCAAAAAAAAAAGAACAAAACAAAAACAAACAGGCTCAACTGTCTCCCTTGGTGCTGCGTTGGCCACGGTGTGTTCCCTCTGCCCACGGTGTTTTTTCTTCGACATCCCTAAAAGGGACGCCGGCAGCCACCGCACAGCCGCGGTTCCGCAGGCTGGAGAAGATGGAGAAGTCCGGGCTCCAGGCCTCGGATGGGCGATCTTCACTTCGAGCGAAGCGGAAGGAGCGGACATCGGAAGTGGTTGGACCTCACCAACCAATGGGGTGGGGCCAAGGTGTTTTTTCCACTTTTTTCCCATTTTTGTTTTACACTTTTTTGGTATCAAGCAAAGCTTTTTTTGTTTCCCAAGTAAATGGGGACTTTAGACTTTAGTTTCCCCTAGAAAATGGGGAGACCCAACATGGCCGTGTTACAAACATTGCTTAGTTGGGTCCAGGGTTCTGTTTATTGATCCCCCCAAGAATGGCCAAACATGGGCCTGCCCTCTTTTTTGAGGCCCCAGAAAAAGATTGGTCTTCGAAAATGGCAAGGAGGCTCCTAAAATGGCACATGGGTGAATTCTCAAATTGGGATCCCCTAGAATACCAACTAAAGGGGGAGTTCCGAAGAATCCAGGTGAGCCCCCCCCCCCACAAAAAAAGAAGAGAAGCAAAGTCGGGTTTTCCTTTCGGTCCTCGACACAACGACCAACAAGTTGGGGTGCCCTCAGCAGATCCGCGTGGGGCAGGTGGGTTCGAGCACCTATGGCCTGCTCATCAATGCGGTGGCCGCGGGCTTGTTCACAGGGACGCCTGTGGGACGAGGAAAAATCACGGCCGCTGGCAAAACATCACAGGGTTTCATGGAAACGTTTGGCTTAACCCTGGCCATGGCTTGCTTTCAAGATCAGCTTCCCTCTAATTGGTGGTTTGGAGGTCGGTGGTTTAGAGGTTGGGGGTGGTTTCCCTGTACCCCCTGCAAGAACTAGGGGTTCAAATTCCCAAAGCAATCCAAACAACCAACTTTTGGTTTTGCGCAAAGAGACATGATAATTCATTGGACCATTTTCCTCACACAGAACGTTCTTGTGGATTCTTGTTTATATGTAGCGCGCGGAAAGTGGCTCCTTTCCTATTCCTTTTTTGCCATTGTTGATCTTCTCAAAAAGGCTTGCAAGATGGTTGAGGCAGAAGATGGATATGGAAAGCGAGCTCTGTTTTTACCCATGGGACGGTGCCTTCTTTTTCCGCATGCCCACAGCTCTGACAAATGAACATACATGAACACTACTCGACCCCAGGCGAAGATGGGCGACATCCAGCGGGTTGAGCGCATCTTCCAGCGCATGGAGCAAGCTGACGTGGAGGCCGCCTTCCGGAACGGGAACGAGCTCGCTTGGGTGAACAAGGGAATCATGAAGCCATAAAGGGTCCTGACTTGGATTTCCTGTTTCCACATGTTTCTTTTCTTCTATAGCCAGGGGCAGACCATTTCGATGGAGTCGGTGAGCATGATTTGGATGGGGATTCATGTCCACTAACCACGTTTGAGGTGATCCTTTACTAATTTTCATAGCCACAGCACGAACAACCATGAACATGACATGAATGTATCACTGTATCACTGTATCACTTCACACATAGGACACCCCCGTTGAGGATAGTTCAGGTAGTTTGGTTTCCTACCAACCGTCGGCCAGAGGCCTCTTTCACACATGGCTTTGTCATAACGATGGGAAGTTTCCTTTGGTTTCCTGATGGCTTCAGTTTAAACATGATCATCACCATCATCATGTCTGGCTCCCTCCTCCTTTTTGCACCATCCTTGTTCATTCTCTTTGCCAACGGCATTTTGGCTCCAGATCAAGCTATTGTCATCCTGAAGAACGAGCATTTGTCGTTGCACGAATCATGGCACAGAGCGTGTCGGCCTTCCTGATCTCCCGCTTGCGGGACTTGAACGTCCAGCACGTCTTCGGCATTCCCGGAGATTACGTCTTGCCTTTTTTCGATCACTTGATCGAAGAGGGAAGCCCAATCCAGCACGTTGGTACCTGCAACGAGCTGACGGCTGGATACCTGGCAGATGGGTACAGCAGAATCAGGGGCTTTGGAGTCGCTGCAGTGACGTTTGGCCCGGGCGCTTTCAACGCAGTGAATGCGGTGGCCGGTGCATATGATGCCTGCGTCCCTATGCTCTTAGTGTCGGGTGCCCCACCAACAGCAGAATATCAGTCCGGGAGAAAGCTGCAATTGCATCATTCCGTTGGAGGCGACTTGAGTGCGACACTTCGTGTTTTTACGCCGATTACGGCTGCAGTGGCTCGCATAGATTCTGCGGAGGAGGCCGTGGCGACCATCGACCGGCTGCTCCAGGTCGCTTTGGATCAGAAGAAGCCAGTGTATTTGGAGATTCCCTATGACATGCAAAAGGCCAGAATTCCGATGCCTGAGCCCTTCACTTACCAAGCCCCTTGCGGAGACCAGCAAGTGCTTCGTCGGGTGGTGGATCAAGTTGCCGCGGCGGTGAACAAGGCCAAGAAGGTGGGAGTCTTGGTGGGTTTGTTCGTGGACCGCGACTGGCTTGAAGATGTGGTCGCAGAGATGCTTGAGAGGAGCAACCTGCTATTTGCAACGACGTTTGCCCAGAAAGCCGGCTACTTGGAACACCTTCCGAACTGCGTGGGCTGCTACCAGGGCGCCACTTCTCCAGAAGTGCTCGATGCCACGGAAGGTGCCGACATACTCCTTACCATTGGCATGCCCCGAGCGGAGTTCGATCTTCTTGGAAGCGCCGGCTTCAAAGAGGAGTGCGTGATTGAGCTGGGTCATGACTCGGTGAACTTGCAGGGTACTGTGGTGCCGGGCATTTACTTGCAACAGCTGCTGCCTTGCCTTGCTGCGCAGATCACCCCGCGTGCGAAATCTGAGGTGGAGGACAAATTTGCTTTCAGCTACACCAGGCTGCCCGCCAACCCCGAGCAGAAGCCCCTGACCATGGACTTCATGTACCAGCAGCTTGCGCACTTTGTGCAAGAGGGCGACATTGTTGCAGGCAACACTGGTGGCTATGTCAGCATGTCAAGGATGCGCCTGAAAAAAGGCACTGTGACAGCAGGACCTGGGAACTGGGGGTCTTTGGGCAGCGCGTTCCCGATCTCGATGGGTATGGCCTTTGCGGCGCCTGAGCGTCGTGTTGTATGTCTTGACGGAGATGGTTCTTTCCAGATGACGGGCATGGAGCTGGGCACTTTGCTGCGGCACAACCTGCGCTTCATGCTTATCATCCTGAACAATTCGGGGTACACCGCCGAGCGGGTCATCCACCCGGAGCGGGAGGACTCATACAATGACATCCAGGTTTGGAACTACCACCTGCTGCCAGAGGCTTTGGGTGCCGGAAAAGGTATTGGCGTCGAAGTGTCCACCGAGACCCAACTCTGCGAGGCGCTGACTTCATACCAGGGCGATGGGCCAAGTGTGCTGAATGCCAAGTTGGACAAAATGGATGTGCCAGAGTTCTTTCAGAAAATGGGCGACATGCTTCGCCACTAATTAATTTGTTCTTCAGTTCTGCTGTTCTCTGCGTGCTTCCATACAGGCGTTGGACCCAGAGAAAGCCCGAGCCGCTCTTAGCCAAACTCGATTTGTACAGTGGAGCTGCTTGTGACACCATACTCGAAGCCGTGTACAGAACGAGGCCGTGTGTTTGAGCAAGTCCGGCAACTTGTGCTGACTTGAAAACAAATTTCTTCGCCAATGTGCAAAACGGCCGCCTTAGCAACTATGTCTGTAGAAATTTTGTGGATGGACGAAATCCATCTCGCACCACCTACAAGACCCTGGAACGATTCGATGGTTTCCAAGTGGTGCGAGCCGGATGTCGCAACCATACACAGTAGTGGCAACAACTCTGGCGACACTGTAGATGGACGAATTCCTGCACCACTTTGAAATCATGGGAAACCATTGTTGGTTGGTATTTACAGGGGAATCATCATTCTAGGGGTTGCTTAGGTGGTGCAGGATTTCGTCCATCCACAGCATTTTTTTTTCACAGGCAGGCTTTTAGGGAGCAAATGAGCAGGACATGGGCGCCTCAAACGCAAACTTCCCGCAACGTCATTCTCTTAAACAAAATGAGTTTGTCTTATAGCTCCCCTAAAACGGGAAGATTATTTTGGTGTCCTAGGTCCCCCAGTAGTGCCCTTTTACTTTTTTTGTGGGGGAGGGTTCCCCTGCTAAAATAGACTACAGACAAAAAAAAAAGTTGGTACTAACTTATTCTAACTTCTCTACTGGAGGACCTAGAATCTAGAAGGGAAGCCAAAAGGAAACCAAAAGGAACCCCCGAGCCATTTTGGGGGGCCCAAGCTCAAGAAAGAACACATCCAGGAAAGGGGGCGTGTGATCCGTTGACCCAAACGATACCTCCCATCGCCGTGCCAGGTCAGCGGGGCCACCTACAACGCTCTGATCTCCGCCTGCGCGAAGAAGGCGTGGTGCTGTGAATCGGGACCTTTCGGTTTTCTCTGTTGGTTTTAAAGTTTTAAAGTTTTTTCTTTTTTCCAGGGGTCTTAACCAAATTGAAGAAGGGGCAACCGCCACAAACACCATCAAGCCCTTGGGGGTCCAAGGGGCAACCAACCAAACGAATCATGAGTTTTGGGGGCCAAATCCCTGTTTTGATTCCTCTTTTGACACACACACACACACACCCACACGCACATGCACACCTATATTCATCCATGTTTGCAATCATCACTTACACTATATACAGGGTGTGACGGCGCCCCCAGTCGCCAGACTACCACTACCACCACACTCGTTGAACCGCTCTACTCACGTTCGCGATATCTGTTGACCGGGTCTCATTGCCGGAAAACTTGGTGAGACGTATTTTTTCCAGCAAATGAGGACGTCCGCGAGCTCCGATTTTAGTTCTCTAAATATATCGATGATGGCAATGCGCAGCACCAATATGCAGCTGGCAGTTGGGCCCTTCCCAATGGTTTCATGGTTGCTTCCACAGCAAATGCGCAAGGCACAAGTTGAGGGGGTTCCATTATTTCAAGACGTACACCACATCGGATCAGCTCACCGCATGCCTTCCAACTTTTGGCATCAAACACCGGTCCATGACAGTGACATCCTCAAGAACACCCCTCACTCTCCTGCGAGCCCCGAAAAAAAGCAACCATTTTTAGAGTCTCATTTTGGGGATCCCTTCCCTTTCTGGGTTCCATGTTCTAATCTACCGGGAGGAGCTGGCGCCTTCTTTTAGGAAAGCACCCTAAAAGTTGGATTTCTTGAGAGCTGCTCGGGCCGCGGGGCCCCGAGCCCACGTCACCCGAGCTTCGAAAAAGCGAACGCTTTGAGGGGGAAGTGGACCGCGCGGAGTTCTGGCTGAAGCGCATGCTGAAGTCCTCGACGCAGGCCCAGTCAAGGGGCCGTGGGTCAAAACCAATGGTACCATTTTGGGGTAGGTGCACCACCCATTTTGGTACCATTTTGGTACCATTTTGGTTCATTTTAGTTTTTTTTAGTGCAAGGGCCCTCGGAGGTTCTTAGAGCCGCTGGAGGAGTCGGAGGATTCTGCATGTCCTATTTTTTTGGCCACGTGGAAGGCTACTCCCCGGATGATTGAAGGATCAGTAATACCTTCTTGCTTTTTCAGGAATTCCTTCCCTGCAGATAATCCGAGCCAGTCAGATTGCAGAGGAATCTGCTTTTGCAGGATTCCGTTTTGGGTTCCATGTGACTTGCAGAAGCGCGGACTGTAAAGCGCTGTGACCCTGCAACACTCGTAAGAGCTATGTGAGCCTGTTCCTACCTGAGCCGGCGACCTATGAGCCAAGCAGGTCAATGGTTCAGCAACCGGAGATGGTTTTGATCTCCATGTGACAGCGAGAAGCCATGAGATAGCTTGAGTCCGAGACCCTTGGCTGCCATCCCCGATTTGTTGTGGATGGAAGAACCCTTGGAACGATTCGATTCCCCCGTAAATACCAACAAACACTGGTTTCCCATGGTTTGAAGGTCGTGGTGAGAAACGGAGTTCGGAACCATCCACATCAACCAATTCTCCCAGCGAGCCATTGGCGTAGCAAACACCCCGCGGCTTTTGGCCGTTGTCCGATGCGACAGCGACTTGAGGCAGACGTGGCCAGCTACTCTTCGGTGATCCACGCCCGGGTGCCAAAGTTTGCGGAATGGTTCACCCCTGCACTTGGCTGTGAACCCATTGGTGGCAATCCGTCTTTTTGGAGTTGGTACCCTTTTTTGGGTGGCTGAAAGGGCTGGCTGAAAAAACCAAGGCCTGAGAGAACCCACCGATTTTGGACTGTCCCCTCATTTTGAGGCAATTGGTCAACATGCAGTGAATAGCTCGCGATTGGTGACGGGTGTCTTTTTTCAGGGAACCCACCAAAATGGTGGATGTTTTTCTGGTGTCCCTTAAAAACCACAAAACAGGAGTACCGTGAGAAAAGACACCCACAAGGGCTTCGAATGAGTTGAAAGGGGCAAGTGCACCTCTGCACATTGGCTTTTTCGTGGTCCTTCCTTGGCTGGCTATTCCTAACATCCCCATTTTCAACGCATCCACCAATACATTTGCAGGAAGGAATCCTGGGTCCAAAGTCCTAAACACGTTCCTCATGGCGATTGAAAGGGACACCGGGGCCAAAAAGCAATTCGGAGAACTGCGCAACAAGAACTTCAGAATGCGCCCTGGACAACCGCCCTGGAAAACCGCCGTGCGCCGAGTGCTCGCTCCCCTCGCCTCGAGCTGCGCGAGTAAGGCCTGTGCAAAGGCCAACGACCTCCAGCGCGCCGAGGCCGTTTCGTGTCCCGGGGAAGTGGCTCAAATGTTGCGGGTGGGTTTGTCTTCTGGAGAGGGGAGCCCTTAAGCAGGGCTCCTTAAAAGAAATTTTCATTTTTTGCCACCATTTGAGACAGGTTGCCTTTTCAACACCCAAGATAAAGGGAGGCCAGCATTTACAAGTTGCAATGTTCAGGCGTATAATGTAAGGATCCCTGTTCAATGGGTGGTGCTTTGAGCTTCGCAGTATAAATGCCCTGGCTTTTGGACCGTTCCCGCAGCATGGTGGCCAAAGTCTTAGGTGAACTTCCGCGTTGGACTGCATGTTTGCACGCAGTGCACATGCTGGCCAACATGTTGATGTGCGCTTTCAAAGTCACCGAGCCACTATCCCAAGAAAGGGCTGCTCTGAAGTGCTGCATGAGTGTTCTCCGCTTTAGCAAACTCCCATGCCACGGCCAACATGAATGCATTTGCTTCCATGTCTCCCTCCCGGCAAGTATCGTTGCGAGCGGAAGGCCTGGATTGAGCAGATGGAGAGGGATGGCGTCTTGGCCTTGGCAAAGCAGAGAGCACAAGCTGAGCCATTGCCATTCGATCACCCATTCTTCTAAGGGTTCATTCCTTCTCCATTCTTTCCAAGCATCGTTCTTTTTCGGAAGACCTGCCGTTTTCCTGGGGTTCAAAGGAGGTTTTCTAGAAAGATCCGGATCCCTGGAAAGAATGGAAATGGAAGGTAGCGCTAGAATTCTATCTCTGGACCATTTTGCAGGCCGTCTTGGGGTTTCCCAAAGGTTATGTATGCTCAGGGTTCCCCTTTTTCCCAATACTCACGAAAGTGGACAGGAGGTAATCCTCGATTTGAGAAACGACATCGATGATCCTGCCTGGTTGATGACTCTGCAAAACATGGAACCTCCAAGTCCACCAGTGTAGACACGCTTTCCTCCACTTCCCTTGGAGCCTCCGGAAGTGGCAGTTTCAATGGACAGCTGCCATACTTTGATTTGGGGAAATCCAGTGCCCTCGTTTTCTCCAATTTTTTGGTGGATCCCCTCCCAAATTTTGGGTTCTGTTCAGTTCAGAGGAACCTCCTTTTTTGGGGGACCCTGTTTTTGGGTGCATTCCGTTGTTGGGTGCTCTTTTGACCCGTTTTTGGGTTCCCAGAGAGTTCTCACCCGCCGCCTTGGCCTCCAAGCTGAGGTGCAGGCCAATGTCGTGACCTACAACAGCGCCATCAACGTGCGGCGCGCAGGGGTTGAACCCGGCACGCGATTCGTGAAGAGCCAGGGGTTTCTTTCACACGCCGCACCACAGAAAACTCCCGCAGGAGTACATCTCAGTTTTTGTTCTTCTTTTGTCTTTTTCTGGGTATTCAATAATTCAGAAAACCCTTAACTTGTGGTTAAACGGAAACCTCTCCTTAACCACCAAACCACCAATCCAAACCACGCCGCACCGAGGAAACCTACTCAAGAGTATTCATCATGTGTCTCAAATTCGGGGTACCAAATGGCTGATTTTGCTTTGGTTTTCCTTCAAACCAACCCAAAAAGTTGGCGCCCGCGCCCACATGAAACTTGCCTTTTCCTGAATCGAGCAGCGACCCGAGGCCTGTGCGAGGTGTCCGCGGGCCCGGAAATTGTCGCTAGTGGCACCCCCATCAGTGGGTGGGCTCCCTGAGTCCCCCTTTTTCGATAAAAAGCAGCAACATGGCAAGGCGCGGGCCAAAACATGTGGACGCAAGGGTAAGTTGATAGGCCAATGAGGGGCGCGTGGCAGAGGTCCCCACATGCTGTGCGGGCACGGGTTGGCGAATAGATGCTTGCCTGGCGGCATCAGGCGGTGACGTGAAGCGTGCTGAGCATTGGTTTCATAAGCCAGGAACTGAGCACAGGGTAGTCGAAGGAGCAGTTAAGCTGACTCGAACCATGTTTCATAGGTCATAGACCATCATGCCTCGGCCAGGCAGGCTTGCGAATTCCGGGCGCGTGGTGAGTAGCCTCCTTGTTCGGATGTGCCTGAGTCTTCGACCCAACTTGTAACTCGGCCAGATTGGGGAGAAGTTGGGGCGTGAGGTTGGGGAACATGAGAGGCTGCATAGTTACACGTTGTTTCCGTACCACGACTCAATTTGCTTCCAAAGTACTCCTTTTGGTTTCTCTGTAACACAAAAAAAGAAGTACCCTCAAAAAGACACCCAACCTCCTTCTACGAATTGGGGCTCTCCATGGAGCGGCAGAAAGCCTTGCTGGAGCTTCCCCTCCCCTCTGAAGAATGGCTTACTCGACTCAGTCGAGACTATAGATCACGTGGGGATTATAGAACATGTGATATATTTGTATATTATGTATATATATATATATACAATAAACATGTATACCAATCAGTACACCTGTGTAACTCATATACATCATATATATATATATATACATGCATGTATATATATATATATATATTACTTGAATCTGTGGTATACCTTGCTTAGAGGGTCCTCGGTTGATCCAACGGGTTCTGAGGATGGTGAAGCAGGGCATCCAGCCCGGGGTGCTCACCTTCAACTCCATGGTCAACGCCTGCGCCAAGGCGCGCGCTCCGAAGCCCCGGGCCACTTAAGGGGGAGAGGGGTTGGAAGCAAGCTTAAGCAGTTGAACTCATGGGGTTTGAATACTACACGGGGTGAACCAGCGGTTTGAAGTCATGTGGAGAACAAGGGGTTGGCCTAGCTTTAGCAGGCTGTAGCAGGTGCCTGCTAAGCCTTTTGGAGTTTTCTTAACCGCGAGCTTTGCTGCTGCAGTTGGACGAGATGTGAGGTCATGCGCAGAAGGGAGCCACCCTAGCAGGATTCCGCATGCGCTTTGTTTGCTTCAGTTTTTCGAGCGGCAGAATGGCATGTTTGACTCATTGTGTTTTGTTTTTCTTTGGGCTATGATTGACCGCCTTGATGCCTGGCGTGATCGGCGACATGTGCACTTCGTTCCCTTGAGCAGCGTGAGACGAGCCAAGAGGTCTTTGTAGTTCGGGGCAACGGCTCGGATTGCTCTCTCGGACCGTGCGCCACGGACGGATGTTCGATCAGGTAACCCTTGGTTTGGATTGGTTTGGGGATTCTTGTAGAGGGTAACTTGGAAACCACCAATCCCAACCACCAAACCACCAAGCCACCAAGCCACACCACCACATCACCACACCACCACGCCACCAAATCACCAAATCACCAAATTCCCAAATCACCAAACCACCGAACCACGAAGCCACAAATCCAAATCACCAATTAGAGGGACCCCGCAAAATGGGATATTTCTCTTTTGGCTCCCCTTGCCCCAAACCAGGTCTTCCCCAAAACGGCACGCGGCTTGACCCGCCTGGGCCCGCCATGATCGTCACGCGCGTGACGCCTGAGCAGCCGCAGAAGAGCCTGAGGCCCGGGGGGGGGCGGGGGGCGGGGGGGAACCCTTGTGGCGGTTTTCGTTTGGGACACCAAAGGTTTTCGTTTGGCCATTCTTTTTTTGGGGGGGTTCAACCTGAAAAAAGGAAACATGAGGGTGTGGCCTTTTTGCGAGGGACCTCTTTTGGGGGGGGGGTTGTAAGAGCAGACACGCAGGGAGTGGTAGTGCACTTTTGGTTGTGATTTGGAGGTTTGTTGATGTCTTGAGTAGTTGCACACTACCAGGGTCCTTGCTCTTTTTTTGTTTCCCCCCCCGCGAGGGTGCACGCACTTTTGGGCCTTATTTAAAGAGGAAACCAAAAGGAACACCATCATGTTGGAGAGTCCGACCTGAAAAAGACACACCCACTTGTTGCCCCTTTTTCAGTGTTTCCGCCTCTCTCTTTTTTTGCAGGGGGTTTCCCTTCCAAACGCCTTCCAAGGGTCCATTTACATTGTTTGTACCTGAAGTGTGGCCATTTTGGGCGCCCATCGACAGCGCAAGAGCACCTGGAACGTGACGTTGGCAAGCCGCCCTTGCTCTTTTTGGCGTCACTTTTCCACAAGTGGCCTATCTCACATGAATCACTGACCAAAACAACTCATAATCTATCACTATCTTGTGGAGGAGATGGCCTCCCAAAAGCAGACAAGTTTCACAAGAACCATGGGATCCTCACGCAATTGCTGGGGGCAGGCTAGGGGCAGCCTTCCTTTTGAGCGGCTGTTTGGGGGGGCTGACTCGACTCGATAGGCTGCTCTGTCTCCATGGTCATGGTGGCACGCCTGAGCGCCTCTGCAACCAACTGGAGGACGGTGTTTTCTGGGTGCATTTGGTTTCTATTAGAAAAAAGCAGAACACTGTCACATGCATTGGGGATTTTACCCGCAAAAAAAAAAGCATCAGTCGTAGAGCAAGCTCCGTGCAGCGTGAGCCTTCATGCCTTCATTGCGGGGAGCCAAGGACAAACCCATTTGGATTTGTCCCTTTGAGACCAGCGAAAAGGGGTTCCCCCCAAAATCAGACCTATTTAGGAGAAACCCATCAGGATTTCGAGGGCCCCACTTCCCCATCTTTATTTAGGGATCCTTTCGTTTCAAGCCGCCAGAGAAGTGGAGATGGTTTCAAGCCACTGGTGAAGGGAAGATGGATCAAACCTTGTAGGACGGGGATTCCTCCATTTCCCTTTTTGGAACCTCCAAAAGTGGTTAAATCGATCGTTTCAATAATGGAAGCCCGCCAGCAAAATGATCAAGCTTAGGGGGAAACCCAGTCACCCCCCCCCCCCCCAGGACTTCTTCAAGCGCGTCAGCTTCTCGCAAGACACACTCCCGGCATCTTCGGGCCTCCCGCTTTCCGTGGAGTGCCGGTGCTTGCCAGCGCCCTTGCCGGAGGAGAGATCCGAATTGAAGGAAAAGGGGGGGAGCCATACAATGAAGGAGGTTGCAAAATAGGGGGGGGAATAAACGGTTTTGTGTGGGGTATAGGTAGGGGTCTAGGGGGTGTAGGGGGGCTATAGGGGTATAGGGGTATAGGTAGGTTCCATTTTCTATATTCCGACATTTCGGCAGTTCCATTTTTTCTTTTGGACGAGAAACATGGAAGGTGGGGGTCGCAGGAGAGCCGACGGCCCAACGGGCGGCAGTGGTGGCGCTACGACGAGGACGGCAACGGCGACCGGCCGCTGGCAGCGCGGCGAAAATAATGTGAAGCGGAAGCCGCGGGGGGGCTGCGTCGCCCGCTGGAGGGCAAGGCGAAACGAAATTGATGTGCAAAGCTCCAAATGAGCCACAATCAAAACCCGGGTAGGTGGAGGTTAGTAAGGGTCACTCCCCGCCATAAATAGCTGCGGCCGCCTTCTTAATTCTTTACATGGTTCCGGGTAGACTATTTCAATGCCGGGTTTTGATTTTGACTCAAATAGGCATGCCTCCTGCCCATAAGTGATTTGCAACAGGTTGCTAAAAGGACACATTCTGGCCATATTGCAAGTCAAGTGTTCGAGCTTTGGAGAATCTCGTGAAACAAAGGAACCATCGGAAATCCCTGGTAGCCACCACCTCCAAACGGCCTCCCAGTCTTGGTCTATTTCAGCCTTCAAGGGAATCTAAACAAATTCCGCCCACCCCCCGTCCAAAGTTTCAAAACCAACAATTCCAACACCATCGATCCCCCCCCCCCTTTCCGGCGCTTCCTGCGACCCACGGCCCGAGGACTGGGCGGAGATGGAGTTGGCCACCAACAAGTTGGCCGAGGAGCTCTGGCGCGCGCGGGAGGCCGACCGAGACCGAAGCGATTGGTTTTCTCCTTTCCGGTCGAGCGGGCATCGAGTGCGAGAACTCAAGCCGAAAAGTTCGCCCCGGTTTGTTTGGGCCCCGAGAAAAGTGGGCACAGGTTGAGGGATCTCGTTTTTGACTTTGCGGGTGGGCCGTCTTGAAACACGTGTTTAGAGGGCGGTTTTGAGGATGTTACTTCGACGGACACAGTTTTCGGCTTTTGATTGAAGTCACTTCCTCTAAACATGAGCAGCCAAGGGATGGTCACTGCACGGTTTTCCTTGAGGGACTCCACACAGAGACGAGTCTCGAGTGTTCTCGTTTGGTCGCGTTCCTGGGGCGCGCCGCCGTCAAATTCAGGGACACCACAAAATGGGCTAGCATTGTCCCAGAAACGGTCCGTTGTTGCCCTCCAACATTGAACCCACCCAGCAGGATTCTGCGTGGCTGGGACAAGATTCCTTGCCTTCAGTGGAGGATGCATCCGGTTGGCGTGCAGCTGTGTGCTTTTTTTGAGGCCTGGTACCCGTGCCAGGTTGGAACCAAAATGTAAGGGCTACCCGTTTTCGGATATTTGTTTTTTGACCGAAGAGTGAAGGGTAAGCTGGAGTTTGTTTTTTGATTTTGTCAGGTTGCTCCCCTTTTTTGGATTCTTTGTTTCTGTGAGAAGCTGCAGGCGCAGCAGCCCTACGACGGCGTGCTGGGCTTTTCCCAGGCGAGCGAGAGGTGTCAGCTAGCCTTTGAGCCGTTTTGAGGTTGAAGGTTTGTGGATTGGTCATCCTTGCAGGGTCGCGTTCTCGAGCCACACTCAAGTAAACTCTTGGTTGGCCCAGAGTGACTTGATGTTGAGATATTTGGTAGAACGTAGTTTTCAGATATTGAGATACATACTTAGGTCATCAAACTCGGCAAACAAACAATCCTTGATCCAAGCCTTCTTTGACTTTATCACTGAGCCACAATCCAATCCCGGCTAAGTGGCATTTAGCGGACAGACCCAACCGTAAATAGGTGCGGATATTTGCTCTTCTGGTTCTTCAATGCAGATCTTGATTGTGCAAGTGAAAGACGCCCTTGAATAACCATGATGAACATAGAACAGATTAAGATATTGGGAGACCAGCCACTTCCAACGAAGCCTTTTGTCCTAGGTGTGCCTTTTGGTTGGGGTTCCCGTTTTGGTTGGTTTTGAAGGGACGCCAAAAATCCAACGGAAAGACGCCTTGCGCCTTGCCTTCCTCAGGGCGCAGAGATGGTGCACACCCTGGCGCTGCTGAAGCACGCGGAAGACGTGCGCTTCGCGCAGGACGGACGGGTCGGGTCGGAAGGAGAGTTGGTCGGGGTCCGGCACTTGGGAGCCCAAGGAACCACAGGAGGGACAATGGTTCGACATTTTAGCACCTTTGAACTGAAATTCCTAAGTGCGAGGAATTCCGGACCACCCTGTTTGGCACCCCTTTCCAGACACAACATGTATGAAGTAGTCGCCCACATAAACCCTTTGATGTTGGCGTATGTAACATACAATGAATGTGTTGGTAAGCGTCACCCTCTTTAACGAGACCATTTTGCTGTTGGTTGGTGAGCAACAAACATCATCCACTACACACCAGGTCCTGTCAAATTCATGCCTACTGGTTGTGAGATAGATATGGGCCGGGACGGATGCCCCTTTGCTCTTGTGGTTTTGATAGGTACTTACATGCCCCGAATGCGTGCCATCTAGAGTGGAACTTCCGCCCTTGGTCCTCCCTATTGAAAATTCAACAACCACTCCAACCCAACAGTGAGTATGACTGCCAATTCACGGGGAAATCACTGTGAGGCTTCTCATTTGTTTGCTTTGGGGCCCCGGTGTCTCTTTGAACCACCCTTAAAAGCGGTTGGTGGACATGAGTCCCCTAAATCATGTCCACCAACGCGCCCCCAATGAATCATACCCACTTGGGGGGGGGGGGGCGTGGAATTGTGCCAGTCAGTTTCACCCAAATTGCAGTTGCTAGTAACCTATTTCCGGGCTGGCTCCCCTATTCGGCAAGGCTTAAAGCGTCCTTTTTGAGGTACCCCCGAAAATTTCCTTTTGGATTCCCCTAAACATCAATACAAAGGGGGCTTTGCCTAAAGAGTCCATTTTTGAGGTACCCCCTAAAACTTTCGCATTCCCCTAACAAACAACCTACAAACGGGTGCTTCCCCCAACAAAAACACAAACACTTAGACTGAAGCCACTCCCCCCACTCCCCCCCTACCTCGAAATGGATCCTTTCTCCAAAAACAAGGCCAAAGACTTGGGCCGAAGCCGCCACGGGTTCCCCCCCCCCCCAATCCAATGGATCGCTGCAGGACGGGGTCTTCCCCCGGTTCCTGGTGAGCCTCAGCGGCGCGGTGAACCCCGGCCACTTCGAGTGGCCCTCGGGCAACGGCCCGCCGCCCGAGGTGCAGGGGCCGACCTTCGGGCCCCAAAGGGGCACGCGCCTCGGCGCTTGGTCTGCCTTTGGGGTGACTTTGGTTTGGTTTGTTTTCGTTTGGTGTGGTTTCGACTTGTCTTGTTTTTTTTGGTTTGTTGTTTTGTTGGCATGGTTTGTTTTTTTTTGGTTTGGTTTTAGTTTAGTATGTTGTTGTTTCTTTGAAACATGTGTTGCTTCGTTTTGTTTGATTTGATTTGTACTTTTGCAATTGGGTATTTGTAGCAGCGGGCCAGCTGTGTGAGCATTTTGCCACGCCGCGACCTCCGACATGTCTATTGTGTTTGACATGTTTTTCGTGCGCAGGATGATGACGCCGTGCCTCTTTGTGGGGGACTACCACTCGGATAACTGGTATCTCACTTGTCCAAAGCGAATCGACCTTTTGACCTTTTGGGTTTCCAAATGTTTGTCCATTAGTCAAGGTTCCAACAGGTGTTCACCTTTTGTTTCCAGGTCTGGGCAAGTGAGGCAGTTGCCTCTTGGCAACTTTTTGTGGGATTCGGGTTTCCCTTTTTCCCCGAAAAAAAGATGCCCACTTCTTTCCCCCATGCAGCAAATCCATTTTTGCCGAGGTACCCCTCCAGTCGCTTCTCCGGGACCCAGGATCTTTACGCGGACAAGCTCGTGGTGCCGCACGACCAGCGCCACGCGGTGCCCAAGCTGGACCCCCAAGCGGTGAGCCAGGTGCAGCGGTTCCTCCTGCGCTTCGCCAGGCGCTGAACGAACCAAAGGACGGCAGGTGGGTGGGTCCATAGGCTGGGTATGGGCGTGGCTGGTCAAGGTGCCATTTTGGGTACCTATGTTTGAGCCACAGCCGTATGGGTCAAAAAATTTCACCAACAGGACTCGGACCGCGGGTTGTAGTCCATGGTTCCTCTTGCCAGGGCAAGCCCTTTTGGGTACCTGTTCTTGAGCCACAGCCAGGTGTGCTCGTTGGTTTTGGGTGGAAGTATAGATGGCCCTGGTTGGTGTCCTTGGATGTTTGTTCGGAAATAGATGGCGATTCCGGGTTGACCTTGTTGCATTTTCCAGGGCCATGGATTTTCCCAACAGGACACGGGCATGCCAAAGCGCCCAAGACGGCGCCGGGAGTCTGGACCCGTACCAGTCTAAGGACTGATTGCAGCTCCCACGAGCTTTGGAGCAGCGCATGGGATGCGAGATGCCCTTCAGACATCTCGAGGCGAGATGCCGACCCCATCCGGGATCAAAAAGGGTGCGAGCTCGCCGGTGCGAGTTCGCCGTGGGCGGTGCCCCGCGCCGTGCGCCATTTGCGAGGTCGGTCAGAAGTCGGCGATGTGACACACCTGAAAAGAACACAAGTCTAGAAGGGCCTTTCTGAAGGAAACGGATCCAGGTTCCTCCAGAGATAGATGCAACACGTTGCATCCCATGCCCTGCCAGCGCGGGGGTCTCGATAAGAGCTCCCAGCCAGGCGCTGGATGTGAGCGGCGCGGAGAAGTGGCTCCAGGACCGGTCCGGGGGCTGAAACGAGCGGGGGTCCCACGTGGTTTGGGGATGTCTGATTTCAGGTTTGGGACACATGGTAAACATGTTTTGCGGATTTGGGTGCGTGGTGCCCTTTTTGTACCCTTCGGTTTGGTCGGCTTTAAGGTATTTAAAGGGAAACCAAAAGGAGCACCAGCATGTGTGGGGTCCCCTATTTTGCCCACATAGCCTTTTGCAGCATCTCATATTTGCCAACTATGGTTTCATGGAGATACGTACCGACTGCAGGACATGCCTAGCCACGGCGTCCAGCCAGACGACGTCACCTACAGCACGGTGCGCTGGAAAGATGCGGAGATTGTGGGCGAAGGATTTCTGGGTTTCAGCATATTTTTAGTGCCCTCCAATAAAATGAATCGAGGGCACTTAAAAGAAGCTGGTTCATAGCGATTGCCGAAAAGCCGTTTTATGTGCCGTTTGAGGCGCTTGGTTTGACAGTTGCAGCGGGTGACAGTCATTATCTTCAAAATTCCCTTCTGAATGGGGATTTGGACGGGACCCGCACCCCAAAAGATCCCAAAAGCAAATTTGAGAACTGCTCAAACTGCAACCACTTGAAGGGACTCAGTATTCACGTATTCAGTTCCACGCATGGGTTTGTCAACCACATGCTGCTCCGCTGCACAAGTTGAACGATTCAACACCTGAACTTCCGGGATAGGATCGACACATCCACCATGCTTCTTGAATTCCTGCGCAAGTACATGTGACCATTTGCGGGGAGGATTTGTGAAACGCGCCAAAGGCGCGATCGACACGTGCATCGATTTTTGGAGTTTAAGAAATCCACAAAGCCACGGTACCAAGGCTTTGTTCAAACATTGGCCTTTCCGCATTTTGTTTTTTCTCTATTTAGGTCCATTAGTCCCTTGGGAAGAAGTTCACACAAAAGTTTGATCTATTATTATTATCTTCTTATCTGTATCTTATTAACTTGTATATCTTATGGTTATTTATCTCCATTCTTTTTTGGGGTTGAAGAAGAGGCGAGTCCTTGAATGTCGACCTCACATTCGTTCTCAAGGCTCAGTGGTCCAAAACCGACCTTTGGTTTGATCAGACTTGGGGGTGCTAGCCATCGGATCCCTTCGGCTTCTCGTTGTCTTTAGTTGGTTTAGAGGTGGTTGGGTTTCCGAGTATAGAACCAGGGAGATCAGAGGTAGATTAGAGTTTTCTTGGTTTTGATCAGAGGTAGATCAGTATAAAGCCAGGGTTTTCTGGGTTTTAGCAGGGGTTTCCAAGTAAACCCACCAAATTGGCTCTTTTAGAAGGGAGATCAGAGGGCCGGATGGATGCGGAGTGTGTCTTTTGGGGTGCCCGGCAAGCCCAGCCCAAAATGGCTTTGGCCGGGGATCTGAAAGCGGACGTTTTCAGCCGACACGTGACTCAGGTGATCCACGCCTGCGGAGCGGCGCAGGACTCGAATCATGGGCTCACGGGCCCATGTTTTGGTCCTTTGGATCGGTGAGTTTGGTTGGGCATAGCTGGGTAAGCCGCTGGTGTAGATTGGTTGACTTGAGCCATTTCCAAACAACAACCGTCGATTTATGTTTTCAGAAGGCAAGCGACGGTGACGCCTGGGTCCTAAACTTTGAGCCACGCGCCGTGCCAGGAGCCTGAGCGAGCTGACAAGTGGCCGGGAGCCCTGGGCGCCGTATGTGTCAAAGGCGGGCTGGACCAATTGATCATCCGGATAAACCGCTTGGTCAACACGTGGCTGTCTCACTTGGGGGGGGATGCTTCAATTCTTCTTTTGGAAAACCCCCCCCATTTCTGTGCCAGGTTCGGGGTCCATGTTTGTTCAGGAGGCCAGAGGAAATTGTGTAGTGCCAAAGGCCAAGAGGCCAAGAGGCCAAGAGGCCTTGCAGCCCGGCTGTGTTGCAAGCTTCCCGAGTATCCAGCCACTCGACGATGTCGCGTTCCGGGCTTGATTTCATTGCTGGCTTGATATCTGGTTTGATATGGTTTCCAGGTCAATCCCATGTTGGTTTCTTCAATGTTCGCTCGAAGAGCGGCTTCCGATTTGCGCACACGTGGTTCCCCCCAAAAGAAAGGAGCGCGCCTATGCCTTCCCACTTTGCGACCCCTTTCACTTGGCCGAAGGCTTTGGCAGATAGGGCTCTAAACCCACTAAACCATTTGGAAGGTTAAAACTCAGTACCCTCTCTGCCACTAACATGGCACCTGAAAGGGGGGTCCCTCCAAGAGGAAGCTGATCTTCCATGTACCCTCCCTCAGGTGCCATGGCAACGTGGGATAAATACAGTTCATAACCCGTAAATACAGTTAAACCACGATATCAGGTGCACCTACCCCAAAATGGTACCATTGGTGTTGACACACAGCCACATGAGCAGCTTGCACACTTTTTTGCCAGCCCCCTGACGCACTGGTTGGTGACCGTACTTGGCATTTTGGACATGGGAGAAGCAGTAGTTGGGGGGTGTGGTGTAGTCTATTGTTGGTTCGGGGAGGTCGGTTCACAGGGACCCGCTGGGCTTCTGCACCAGAAATGCTTGTTTGCCCCCATTCACGGGGTTCCCTCCAGCACAAGCGGCCTGTCAGTGCAATTCAGCCCCCCAAAATAGAAGGATACATCCCCCAAACCCCCTTTTTTACAAGACTTCTTCTCTAAATTGAATGGTAAATGGGTAATCGCTTGACTGAGCTGGTACTGCTTTGAGCGACTCTGAAGAACGGTCCGTATTTTTGGACGACACGAACCCCCCACCTCAACCCCCCCACGGGACCTGAGGATGAACGCTATGCTCTCCACGCAGAGGGAGCGGCCAAGCTCGCGCCAGCCCAAGGAACTGGTTTTTGATCTGGGGCCCATGTTGCTGGGGTGTCAGATTGTTTGGGTCATCGAAGCGCTGGTGTCCGCATTTTTGCAAAGCACTGGGGTCATTGTTTTCGTAGCCGACTACTTGGGGGGTGACTTGGATGATGGTAGAAGCATGGGGCAAGTTTTCGTAAGATGCCAAGCGGTTCCAAGCAAACCATCAGGGTCCAAGGGTCCAAAGCTAATTTTGAGAGCCCAAGGGACCCAGGTCTGCGAGAGCAGATGTATGGCCCTTTGCTTGCCTTGCAGGGTGCTCTAAGTGGGCTTTGGGCGAAAGAAACGACCACCTTGACCCCTTGTACTGGGTCAGTATGGCCTGGTCGGTCGGTCGGTCGGTCGGTCGGTCGGTTGGTCGGTCGGTCGGTTGGTTGGTTGGTTGGTTGGTTGGTGGGTTGGTCGGTGGGTCGGTTGGTGGGTTGTTGGGTTGGTGGGTGGTCGGTTGGTGGGTTGGTGGGTTCGTGGGTTGGTTGGTTGGTGTTGGTCGATTGGTCGGTCGGTCGGTCGGTCGGTCGGTTGGTTGGTCGGTTGGTCGGTTGGTCGGTCGATCGGTCGGTGGGTTGGTTGGTTGCCTCTATTTCCCTTGTCTCCAAGGCAAAGCAAAAGGGGCATGCGGCATGCTCACATCAATGGGGCGCTTGCGATGGCATCGTTCAACCGACATTCCAGGTCCAAAGGTTTGCATTCTGAGGTCCCAAATGGGTCCCGGTTGTTGCCCTTGGCGGTTCCCAGCCACCCTTAGCGTTGTCTCACAGGACCCCTCAAATAGATGGTTTCCGTTTGGTTTCGCGTTTCATCCAAAGAAGGTACTCCCCTACACAGAACCCCCCAACAAACGGCGACCCATTTGTAGAGGAACATCCTTCAACAACTGGATCCCCCTTTTCTGCTCCAAGTTAAACAGAGTGCCAACCCCATTTGGGAGTGGACCCCTCAAAACGGCTGTTTTCCTCGGGGCTCCTTAAAAGATACATTTTGCAACCATTTGAAACATGGCGTTTTCCAAAATAAAGGGAAGCCAGCATTTACAAGTTGCAATGTTCAGGTGTATAATGTGATCCCTGGATTCGTTGTGAAGACCGGGCGCGCCGACTCCAAGACGAGCCGCCCAACTGCGACCGAGCCTTGAGTCGAGCCGAGTGCGTCTCAGGTTTTGCTACAACTCCGTGGCGCAAGCCTGGGTGCGGGCCGCGGCCTCTGAAGATGTCAGCTGGCTTTTTACTACCCGCTCACCAACTAACATGGAAGTGCGAAAAGGCCAACTAACCAAGAGGAAAGTCGTCTTTCTACAGGGGTTTGTGCACTTCCATGTTAGCTGGTGGGAGGGTAAGGGCGCGTCTGCTTTGGAGGAAACTTGTTTGTTGTTGCTAGGTTTTAAGGGAAGGCATTTAAAGGAAAGCTGCTGCGCCATTTTGGGGGGTCGACCTAAACAAAAGACATGCCCACCTTGTCTTGAAGGGTGTTTGGGAAGCATTGGAATTCCGAACAAGGGATGGTTAGCGTTCATTCAGAGCGGTTTCCCAAGATTCTGACCCCCTAAGAGGACCACCGAAGCTTTGAGTCGTTTTTCACCACAAGCTCCGAGGGTGGAAACGTGGATCGCGCCATCTATTGGCTCTCCGAAGCCGAGCGTGGCCGCCTCAGCTTCGAAAGCCGTGATGGCAGGCTGCTGTCGGTTTCATGCCTTACCGCTCATTCCCCACACCCTGGGTGTGGGGCTGTGGGGCTGTGGGGCTGTGGGGCTGTGGTTCCCTTTGCGCTTTCTTTCTTTGGACCTGGGTTTCTCGCGCGTGCATCCAGGTCCTTCACGGTCCAAGCACCCTATTTCCTATCAGGTCATGGCATCGAGGTCTCCTTGGCGAGCGGCGCCGGCTTGGTTTCGGTCGGTGTGACTCAGGTTCCCCCGGCCTTCCCCGATCCCTCGTTTAGTCTGACCTACGTTGGACGCCTTTTCCTTTTTTGGAGGCTCCTGTTTTTGCGTAAAGTTGGAGTCTTGCCGGAACCTCCTCTAGGACCTGCAGATCTCTGGCTTCATAGCTTGTGTGCTCATCCGTTGATGAAGGCCCTTACTTGTGGTGCCCTCGAGCGGTTTTTAAAAAGAACAATGGTTGAAAATAATGGGGAATCAACCCCTAGAACGGTCCTTAAATAACCAGGTCTTTTCAGTGAAATGTTTAGTTCCTCAAGGCTGCAACAAATCCACAAACAGCAGGTTGAGAGTATGACCAGAACTAAGTGTCTGGAGTGGGGTTCATCATCAGGGCACTGATCCATCCATGTGCGCATGCTGAGGCCTCTTTCTTGTGGGAACAAACTGAGAGAAGCTGTAAAGAAAGGTTGGGGACAAGTTGGGAACATATTGGGAAGTCGGGAAAAAGGTTGGGACAAAGGTTGGGCATAAGCTGGGAAAAAGGTTTAGAACAAGCTGGGAAAAGGTTGGGAAAACGTTGGGAACAGTTGGAAAAGGTTGGGAAAAGGTTGGGACAAAAGTTGGGAAAAGGAGGGTGCTTCTGTGTACGGCGACATCGCTAATACACATCGTCGAGGTGTCATGCTCTTTAATATAAGTTGGAGCAAATTTTTGACTGGGCAGTGTAATTTGGGTTGCTTCGTGCAGACCCTTGCACGCTAGGAGTACTGCCTTTTTCATTTGCTTCAAAACATTGTTTATTTTCCCTTGTTGGTTTTAAAGGGAATCTATCACTATTGGACATATATATATATATAGCATTATTATTATTATTTTCAGGGGGCTTAAGCAAATGGAAGGCCAATGGCGAAGGGCCGCGAATGAGCTGAGTCCGACACATTCGCCAGGCGTGAACAGCGTGGTAAGTGCGCTGACTCGTGCGCGTCGCCACGAGGAGGCAGTGGCAGGGCTTTGGGCTTTTCATCGGGAGCTTCCAGACAAATTCTGTCCAGGGACCTGTCCAAGAACCGAAGGAAGCAGCTGGTTTTTGAAGATGACCGATGGTTTGAAAGAATGGGACTCAACCCCTAGAATGGTTTGAAGAAAGAGGGATGCGGTTTCATGCCACCGCAACTTGTGTCACGTTGAGTTCTTGTCAAGCTGCATAGGCTACGGCAACCTCAGAAGGGCAACCCAAGCAAACACGCTTGAACGAAGACCATGGAACCTTTCAATCTTTTGTGCTAAATGCCAATCTTTCTTCAGGCTTTTTTTTTGGGATTCCATGTTGTACCCCTTTGGTGGTTTGCCGCTGGTTCTTGCGATGCAAACCACTCTTTTTGAGGAAGCTGAGTTGCAACCCCTCAAAGGGCGTCCATGGTTTTGACCTCAAAACGATTTGGGAAGTCGGTTCCTCGCAACACGGAGCCAAGGAGCCCCGAATGACCACTAAAGTCACTGGCAGAAGTGGAAGATACTTGGTACTCCACTTGTGAGGCTTTAAAGGGAAACCGAAAGGACAACCGCAATTTTGGTGGGTCCCCTGAAAAAGACAAAGCCAAGTGGACGCTACACACATTTCCGCTTTGTTGTGCGGTTGCATCTTCTGGAAGTGGCATTACATCGCACCCGGCATCGGCAGGCTGACCGGTGGTCCGCCAAGGCGAACCGCAACGGCGGCAACGCCGCCCCGGCCCGAGCGGATGGGTTTCGGTTCCGGGCGGCCACTCGTGTTCCAATGGCCGGCAACGTGGGGAAATCCCATACTTGAAGAACGTCCCCCCCCCCAAGAAAAAATCAATAACACAACAAAGAGGCAACGCACCAAGCCAGCTGTTTTGCTCAGGCTCTTAAATTGCGAACGACTCCACAAAAATGGGTACACTCCCCCAGACTACCAGCTGGAAGCTTGCAAGCTCCCGAACTTCAGACTTGGTTCCAGCCCTCCGGGAGCTTGCTGTTCTGAGTGTACGGACTGACCTCACCCTTTGACTCCCGACTCGTGGCCGGCGTCGCGGAGGCCCGGAACCTTGGCAGGACCGAGAAGCCTCGCCAGGCCGTTCGCGGGAGACCCTCGCGAAAGTTGACGGAACTGCCGCTTTGAGCGCGAGCTCATCGGAGGGTAAGAGCGAACGCCATGATAAAAAGGTTTACTGGCAAATCCGATTCTGAATTAACTCAGCTTTTTTTGAAATCAATTATTGTAAAACTTGCAGTTCATGTCCAGAGGATCGCGGTATACGAAAGATGTGCCAAGTTGGGCTGCAACGACTTGTGCTTTTTTTCCAAACGGCGCTCAGAGCGCCTCACACCAGGGAGATCAGATGTTTGGAGTGGAACTTGGAGTGCCAGTTAAGTATCACGTTTTCGGCCGGTGCATGCGGTTGTCTGGGAAGAAAGGCTGGACTTCAGCTAAAAGGACAGGAGAGCAAAGGGATCCAGGAAAAGAGAGCTTTGCTTGCCTGGATAATTTTGGAAGAATTCCCACTTGGTGAATCCACCAAATTCACTTGCACCATTTCGGAGAGCAACCCACAATCCATGTAGCAACCCCAACTCATGTCCCAGTTCCTCGCTTTTTGGTTCCATCGAGGCTGAAAACCCCCCCACCCGTCCCGTCCCCCGACAGCAGCCCGCAGCCCGCAGCGCTGGCTCTGATCGGAAAGACGCAATGGGCTGTGGAGCGCTGCACGTCCAGGCGCCCTCGTCCCGCCAACAAAAGTCGTAGGGCCGGAATTTCGGGCTTTTGTTCTGTTTTTAAACCACAATGTATCAGGTAAGCTGTCAGGTTGGCGGTTTGGGTTGGTTTGGATTTGCACTGATTCTTGTAGAGGGGGCATGGGAAACCTCGTAAGACCTCAAAACCGCCGGGCTCCAAACCACCAATGAGTGGGATGTGGGTGATTGCGAGGGTGTCACTTGGACCGAAGTGAAAGGAACCGCATGCATTGCCACCCTTGAAACGGTAAGCTGCTGACGTTTCGGCTGCATGGGGTGGGTTGGCTTCCGACCTCCAGCTAGGGTCGGAGCCTGTTTTTGTCTAGGCCGGAAAGAAGAACTAGTTGGCCATTTTTTGATCGCCAAATTTCGATCTGATTTACACTCAGAGGATTTGTTTAGCCTCTCACTGCAGCCGACTTCGGGATGTTTCAAGAAACGGTGTTGCGCTGATTGCGCTGATCGATTTGCATTTTGTATCGGGGTCCAAGTGATAAACTAAGTAGCATGTGCTCGTGTTCCATTTCAAGCAGCCGAACCGCAGCTTGGGAACCTGGCGGGTGCTATTGGGCCTCTTCCTATTGTATCTGTTGGTATTTCCTTGCTTTTTGATGTTTTGCTTTTCTGGGGTCCCTTGGTTTTTCCACTAACCACGCAAGATTAAATCTAGTTTCTGGCTGGGGTCCTAATTCCAAGTTCCGTTCAGAAAGTATCACAACGTGAGCTCTGTCATGTTGAGGCTGATGGATGAGCCTTGAACACTGGAGCACTTGATCTGTTTCTTGGTTTTGCCTGCTCGTTGAGCCATCTCATGGTTGTTGTTGGGAAACATTTTACATGTTTGCTTATTGTGGTTTAGTGGGAAATCCCCACTTGACTGCTAACATTTAAAATTTTGCTCCCCTTGCGACGTCAACCAAGCTCTCATCTCCTTGATGCGAACATGGCTGATGATAGGGTGCGGGAACCTCACTGTGGGAACTTGAGGCACACCGAGCCATTGGCGAGGTTTTGGTGGTGTTTTCCCATGTGGCTGTGGCTCAAAACACCGGTACCAAAATGGAACCCTGGTAAGTGGAAACATGGACGTAACTCCCCCCCCCCCCCCACCCTGTTTAATTTTGAGCCACAGCCATGTGGACTTTGGAGCCTCCGGCTCATTCCGTCGACTTCTGCTGCGGCCGCCAGAGAGTTTCCGAAAGAGTGCGCAGGGAATCAGGGAATGAACTTGCAAATGAAAGGACACCACCAGTTGACCACTTGGAGGGTTTCTCTTGGGATCATTCCATCTCTCCTTCCCCGAGCAGCAAGAAGCCGTCAGGCAGAGCCCTGTGTCCACGACGAGGCGATGAGCCTTGAGCACGCTCCCAGGAGCCCAGCCGCGAACGCGGAGCCGGACGCGGGGAGCGCGGAGCCGGACGCGTGCCGGTGGCCGCAGCGCATGCTGAAGGAGGCGGAGGAGAACGGGTGGCTCCTCTACAGCGTGTTCTCCTATTTGTCCTGGGCCGACAATGCGAGGAGACACCGGCAAAATGGGCTTAGGTGTGAGGGGTCCCCTTTTTTTCTTCTTCCCTCGGGTTTTCCGGAAGTTGCCGCGCGCGCCTTTTGCGGGCCAAAGTTTGTTCCGATTCCACAAGAAATGTAGGCTGAAGTTGCCAGACACCCGAATCTGGTCGGTTCTATCAACATCAGTTTCTCAAGATGGTGGACCGCTTTAGATTGGTATCAAAATGGAAACCCACGGGAACACCAATTCGGGAGGAGGTTGGACCTCCAAAATGGTTTCCGCCGCGGTTTTCCTGTTGGTTCGACTACAAAACCAACCCGAAAACAGGGGGCGCTGTTGGGGTGGGACAACTCCCACAAGCCACCATGCGGAAGGTAAAATGTTCCGGTGCCACTACCTCCCAGTGAAAAAACCAGCTGCACCAGTTCCCTGGATTTGATCCAGGGTGTCCCATACCGTCAACGTCATCCATGAACTTGGCTCGTCCCTTTCGGGGAGAAAAAAATCTTCTCGCCGCGCTCGGCGCGCGCCAGGATCCTGCCGTGCGTCTCGCGGGACGTCCGCGGCTTCTTGAGGCCCTCGGAGCCTTCCGCGAAGTTCTGGCGCTGGCTCTGCCGCTGCCTCTGCCAGGAATCCCTGCTGTACCTGCCCAAGGACGAGAAGGACGTGGCTGAGGAAAAGAAAAAGGGCGTGTCTTTTTGATGGTACCCGTTTTTGGGGTGGTTATAGACAGAACAAAAGGAAAACCGCCAAGTTTGAGGCTTTCCTATTTTGAGACCACCCCAAAAAGGGCCCCAAAGCCTGCAAAAGGACCGTACGGGGAACAATTGTGAAAAACTGGCTAACTAGCTGAGAAGGGCCAGGTCTGGCAGGTTAATCAGGGAACCCTCAAGATGTTCTAAGAAACGGGTTGTATCAAAGGACAAGCATGTCTTTAGCATAGAGCCAATTTGTTGGAACCACTTGTGGCGTCGCCTGCTGACGAAAAGGTAGCAGGCCTAGAGAGCTGGCTCGGAGCTGAGCGATGGCACACTCCAAGAATTTGTCCTGGAACATGGCGCTCACCAACTGAGGTTGGAAGTGCTGGGGAACCGTTCACCGGAATCCGATGTCGGTTGTGGACATTTTAGTGAAGCCATTGTCCACTTGACGTGTCAAAACTGGCCCGCCAGATGATTTCGGGGCAGCTCCCTTGGACGGCCCTTTTCAGCAGAAAGGGTTATTGTCGACCCCGGATTCATAAGGCTGTGGCTCAAAGCATGGTGCACAAAATGGCCTGGTAAATGGAAACAAAGACCAAAACCTGCGTAGCCCTAGCTCTTGAATTGTTAGCCACACCCAATAAGTCCGTCCTGTTAGAACGGGGCCAGCCCCCATGAGTTGCCTGCGCCGCAAACTTTAACCCTAAACCCAACAACTAAAACTTACACCCCAAACCTGATGGACCTAAATCTCAGCATGAACCCTCAATCCAAGCCAGAACCAACCCGAACCTAAACCTAATCCCGAAGATTGAACCCTAAGCCTAGACCAGACTGCAAACCAAACTCTAAACTCAAACCCTACTCCAAGGCTTTTGCCCCCTAAACCTAAACCCCAAACCTAAAGCTTGGCGAGGCTCTAAACCAAACCCTAGTCCCTAAGCCTTAATCTTAAACCTAGAACCCTAAACCTAAACCAAAGCTTGTCTGCTGCTAACGCGTGGGTGATACCACAGTGCCACGCTCTGAACAGAACGCAGCTCTGCCAGGCAAGCTCTGCTACTTGAGTACTATAAGGGCCATGTTTTGGCCAGGTGGTAATCGTGTGTTTTGGCCAGGGGCAGCATGGGTGCCGGCAACCCAAAAACGGTACAATTATGGGGGTGTTCCCTCCAAAAGGTGGTCTGAGTCCGCACTAAACGAGGACATCCACCCCATCAGAATCAGCCAGGGGTTTATTAATCAGGGGTCAACCCCGGATTCATGAACCTCTATCTATTACTAGGGGGGTGTCCCTGGTTTAGTGGGGGGTCGTCACTGTTGGAGGGGAACACCTCATATTCATGAGCAGGGTTGTTTAATGTGGGGTCAACCTGACTCCAATTTCGACGCAGCTCCCTCAGCTCCAGACGGTCAACTCCCCTTGGGACCGGATAGACCTATTGTCTCACGTGCCGATCGGGTCTTTGAAGCGAACCTTCGAAAAGTCTCCGGCGCAAAACCACGTATTTTACCCCCCAATGGCTGGCCAATTGCCGGCACATCGATTTTGGGCAAAACGATGTCACTTTATGTCTAAGTGACTGCAAAACCAATTTGCTAGCAAGTATCACTCATCTGTACTTAGTGCAATTTGTGCAATGATACAAGTGACCTTCCAGGGTCCTTTGGAATGGGGTTGCAGGGGAAAGGGGAGAGCGGCAAATTTGAGGTTTGGAGGGCAAGTTTGAGGTTGGGAGGGGTTCTTGAGGAGCGTGTCACGGCGTGTCACGGCGTGTCGGGGGGTGGCCAATTGCCGGCACATGTACGTTGAACGGTCACTTTTTTGGGATGTGAGCGTGTCACTAGCGTGTCGCCCCCCCTCCCGCCCCCGCGCGTTGCATGTGCAATGATCATACATGTCAGCCCAACCCCTCAACCGGATCCTGTCTGGTATCCTGAAGTGACGTTTCAACAAAAGTGACTTTGCACTGCACTTTGATGATGGCAAAAAAGTCTATGTGACTACAAAACCATTTTTAAGCAAGTGCTGGTCAATTGCCGGCACTTCACCCAGGACGCCAATTACCGGCCATCGGGGGGGCCTGGAAGGTGGGCTATATGTGACGCAGAATCCGAAAAGATCAAACA